GATCTCACATATTTGATTAAGAATGCCTCAAGTTCAGAATAGGAGTCAGGTAAGATTGAGATGTACATCAATCCAACTTAAAATAAAACTCACAATAAGTTGTATTTAACTTTTGGTTCATTTTTATTAACTATTTAAACAAAGATCATTTTATAGACTTTGACAATATTTGAGAGTGAGTAATTAAATCCATTTGTAAATGAAGCTTTAAAGGAGTATTAAAGCAGATATGATTAATATTTGAGAAGCCAACAAAAGGAAGAAGAAGTGCAACCAACTGATTCATAAATCTTTATTACCTTAGGTGATGTAATAATTGCAATTCCATCAAATGATGAATCCATATTAACATTCACTGGTAAATTCAATATCATTGTCAATACTCATGACACTATGAATGCTGATGAACTTCTTTGTATAATCAAGGAGAAAGGATTGAATGAATATGATTTGATTGGAATGAACTTCAAAATAAAAACATCGGTATCCATAGAATAAGTGCAAGCCTATGTGGCATCAAAGTAATAACTTTACAGTAAATAATTTAATTTATTGGACAACAAGAGATAAATCATTTGGCCATTCACTATGCTCTTGAATCAGAGTTAATAATTAGTATTATCAGAAAATTTAGATTCTCTTGTTGAAAAGCAAAGTATTAAGTTGTCATTGAGTCAATTTCAATTCAGAATTGCATTCACAGATGTTTTGTTTATCTAAAATCAGATTAATAATTAATTGTAAATAGTTAATGATTTAACAAATAATGACATAAAATAATAATAGAAATAAGAGAAAAATCAATAACAATAAAATAGTTTATAGAATTTTGAATTAGTCATTGATGGTATTGATGTAATAATTTTGAATGACATAGAGAATTATTATTAGTATATTATGAACTTCAAGTTATTTTAAACACAAACCAAATTAGAATAGACATCTAGGAATTTTAAATTCTATATTGAATTACCAATCTAATTGCATTATTTCAATTAAAATATTGGAATTTGGGAACCAATAATTGAAAAGTGTGTTATATCAATTGTCTTTTAAAAAGATTTAACAGGTTTTGATCTTGTAGCAGAGAATCAATTAGATGTTCAAATAAAAGAAGGTGTAAATATAAATGTATCAACTTAAATGATCTTAACTGTTTATTCAGCATTGACGATCTTAACTTAGAAATTACAAGCTAAGAACAAAAATCAAATCAATTGTTAAAATAATTCATATGCTAAATACTCAATTTATAATCTTTTGGGAAGTGATGTTCTATGTGAAACCTAAGATAATACAATTATCATAGCTCAGCATAATGAATAAAAGGATTTCGATGTGAAAAATCCTAAATCTAACAATTCAGTTTCCTTATAAATTTAAGGTGACAAAAACCCATTTGAAATTCTTAATTGGAATATAGATAAATTATAATAGAAAATAAAGAAAATTGGAAATAATAGTCCAGTGCTGATTAAGAACTTTGTTGATCAATTAAAGAATTAGAGAGTGATTTATTTGAGTTCTGAATATATCTTTGAGAATAATACTTAAACTCATTTGGACATTGTATTCAAGGATTCTAAGGCCAATCTTCATATTTCTAAATTGCAACCCCATATGTAGGACCAAAATGCAAGACAAGTAACTTGCTAACCTAATTAATATGTGCTTCCATAATTTTTATTATAAAGTGATTTTTATATAAGAAAAGCCAACAACAATCAAGAGAAGTCATAAGCTTATAATATTAAATATTTATAAAAGTGTTTTGAAAATAAGGAAGGTTTGAAACTGTGGTTGAATGAGAACTTCATAATAACATTGAATGTACGTAAAGATCCAGAATTCCTAGGTAGATACATTATATATATCTAACCAAATTTCAGATTATAGAATTTATTGCCATTCCCTGTGACTATCACTACATTGTATGAAACTAAATAGGGGGATGAAAATAAACTACAACCGCTGCAATATTTGGATGAACATCAACTCAAAAGCATTAAGGAAAATCATGCTATGTTAATAAACATAGATGCATATAAGCCTTCTTAGCCTATCCCATTATTAAATAGCAGGAACTTCAAATTGTAGCAGAATGTCATCAACTTATTTGGTAAAGAATGGCAAGGAAGTAGTGGAGGCAAGAGTGAATTAGTTTTAGAATATAATAATACTTTGTTCAATCAAAGTGGTTTATGCAGTGCCGTATTGTATGCTCAAGAATATATTAGAAATGAAACTTAATATGAATTTATAGTATTTTAAGGTAAGAATAGGTAATATACTTCAATTGGTGGGTAAAAGTCAGGGTCAAAGCAAAGACCCTTGATATTGAATAACACAGCTCAATAATATGAATTAGTGTTTTCAGAGAGAGATACGCCTTAAGTGCTTTCGTTAACACCTGCCTAAATTGTGTCTATAGGTACTTCAATTAGTGATATTATTATAAAGAGATAAGAACATTTTTATGTAGCTCCATTAGCTGTTATATCTGAGATTAAATTAATTTAATAAACTTGCTAAAAGGTTGTAACCGTAAGGAATAGAATAATTTTAGTCAATAATTCTGAACATTCAATATGCATCAAGTAATTGAAGGCATTTGAAATTAAACCACAAGAAAGAATGCCTTTAGAGATCTGTTGTGGTGATAAAGTACCTGAATCAACTGAAGGCATTTATCAATTCTAATTTACCTTTTTGGATGATTATAATTGGAGTTGGAGTGGACAAATTGAATGCAATCTAATTGGTGTTTATTATCTGCAATTAAGAAGTCTCAAATTCCCTGAAATAAGAAAATTTGCTTAAATTGATATCAATGAGAGCAATGGAATATTATTTGCAGTTATTAGTGAAACCAAACATGATTAGACACCTTATAGGATTACTAACTTAAGTAAAATGATTCAAGTCACTGTCTTAAATATACCTGCCTCTTTAGATTATAACTAAGATTGCTATTTTGCTTGGGATGAACCAAATAAATAGAATGAAGTACAGTTTGTAATTTGTCCTAAAGTAAGTTAATATGAAGTTGTTGAATATCAATTTAAAATTGATAAGATTGCTGAAGCCAAATTCTTTGTTATTCGATCTCGAATTCCAAATGATGCAGGCAAAATTTTTATTAAATTAAAATAAGAAATGAATGGTTATACCAGGCATGCACAATTCCTTGATTCAAGTGAAGAAGAACTTTAGAGATATAAAGAGAATTCAGGAAAAATATCTAGAGAACCTTAGTAATTGAAATTTGACATCATGATTACTCAAATCAACATAAGTTTGATTGATAATCATGCCGCATACCCTCAAGAAATTATTAATATTGTGTTGTATTAATCCGAAGCCATCCTATTGATAAACAAATAAAATAAAGCAATATTCCAATTTAAATTATCAGCTATGTAGATTGATAATACTTCTCAATTGCACCCTCTATTTCCTGTTTTATTAACACTCCTTCCCAGTGGCAAGGTGAAATAATAATTACCCATTTTAAATGTCTTGATTTAGATGAATCTATAGGCTAAACAATTGCAATTGATTGAGAAATTCTCACTTGAAACTAATCGCTTAGCAATTAAAATCAATGATACTATCATCAAGACTCTGCTCAGCACTATTAATAAAATAACATCTATTATAGAAAGTTAAAAATTAAAATTATAATTGCCATTATAATAAAAGATTGATTGGAGGAAATGTCCTTTACCAGATAAAGTGATCCCAACATATTTTGGATATATAACTATTTATCCTATCATTGTCTAAGTCACGGTATAATGGGGGCGTAAGGATAAGGACCAAGATGCAGATAATCCTATGTTTACATCTCTGTTGTCTGGAGTTGGATTTTAATTAGTTTCAGTTGATGAAGCTGAAATTGTATTGAAAGGAATTCAAATGGAAGATGTTTTTGATAGTATTGATGGCTTGAGAGGTAATTTAATTAAAAGATATCTTCCTGATCTATACGGGTAATTACCTGCCGTTTTAGGTAGTTTAGCTGTCATAGGCAACCCAACTAAATTATGGAAGAACTTTGTATCGGGCATGTAAGATTTCATTGAAAGACCCATTGAAGGGTTCACTAAAGGACCACTTGAAGGTGGAATGGGTGTTATAACAGGAACCACTTCATTAGTAAGTCACACTGTCTCTGGAGTCTTTAATAGTGTTAAGAATGTTGTTGGCACTATTTCCAGTGGTTTATCTAAAGTTACTATGGATGAAAACTATCAATAGCAACGATAAATCTAGAATCAACAATAAGCTAGGAATGTCAGTTCTGGTATATAGGAAGGTTCTGTATCTTTGGTTAAGGGTGTGGCTGGCGGCATAGCTGGATTCTTTAGTAAACCTATCCAAGGGGCTCAATAGGATGGAGCATCTGGCTTATTGAAAGGGTTGTGGCAAGGAACTTCAGGCTTAATCATCAAGCCTGTGGCTGGAGTTCTAGATGTTATCTCAAAAACATCTGAAGGTGTTAAGAATCAATTATCCTCTGATGAATAACCTAATAATACTAGAATCAGATATATGAGACCTTTTTATGAAAGTGATGGATATTTTAAAGAATATAATTGGGTTGAAGCAGAGTGCTATGAAGTGATTAAAGGAATCAAAAAAGGCAAATATGATAATCACAGGTTGCTCAGAGTTGTTAATATGGAGAGAGATAAGAAAACCTTTGGATTGATTTTAACTGACACTAGTTTAATCTTGTTTGATTTGGACCTACATTTAAAACTTTGGTCCATTTTGTATGAGGATATAGAAAATATCATTTTTAGTGGGAATGTCATATAATTGAAAAACAAGAAATCCAAAAGGGCATTTTAGGTATTTTATATTAATATGATAAAGGGTAAATCGATTGCTAGTTTGACAATGTCTTCACCGAACTAAAGTTAATAAATAACAGAACAAATTAAATTTATGATACAATAATTGTGACATAATTATTATATATATATTTTAAAAAATCAAATTTAAGAATATAATTAGATTATTTTAGTACCGGTTAATGCTAAAGTTATCACTTAACATAGTGATACCTAGATATCAATAGAATATTACCTTATAAACAATATACAATATTCCCAAGGGATAAATCTAGTGATTGTAATCAAAATATTTATCAACTATCCATTATCTAGGTATTTTCTTATCTCCTATGTTTAAGCTGTGTTCATTTATTGAGATTTCAATTAATACTGATGAGTTCATCATTATATCAATCTAAATAACATTATAAATATACTAATTCTAATGCGAAAATATTTTGTTCTTCTGATTGTATTTTTAATGATTTATTTGATTGTATTTTATCAGAGATCAGAATGTTTTCGCTTTCTAAAACTTAGATCAGAACTTATTAAAATTAAATTAGATTTCTCAAATTCACATTATCTTGGATATGACATTTATTTTAAACAAACAATTGTTGAATTTCGGCTTAGCATTCTTATTTTAATTTAAGCAACTCTTTCTTAGTAATTTTTTATTCCACTAAATTATTCATCAACACTTCTATTTAATCAACTTCATAACATGTTTATGTGCCTTAGCAAACAAATATGTTTTCATATTTATTTTATTCTCTTTTCTATTGAATTTCAAATTCAGTATACAATTTCTTATATAATGCTTCCTCAACTCCAATTAATAATTTCAATTACTAGTTTTTACTGTGTGTCAAGGCATATTATATTTCCAACTTATCCTTTTCTGCATTTTATTCCTAAATTTCCTTTTTAATCTATAGGATCATATGCTATTTTTCTCCTTTTTCTAATTCCAAACTTTCCAATTCCTCTTAAATCACTTACAAACTTTCTTATTTCATTTCTTTCTCATTCTCTAAATTCTCAACCTATTCTGTTAATTGTCTACCTTCTCGTGAATAAACAGCCATCCTATTCCTCAATTACAACATCTTCTCATCCATTTCTACTAAATTCTTGAATAACACTTATACATAGTCCTTCTTTTCTTTAATTCTATTTCTCGAGACTATCTCTTATTCACTTAACTCTTAATTGTCTTAATCTAATTAGTACATCCTTTGTAGAATATTAACTTTATCATTTTCTAAATCTGATTGCTTCTAAAATAATACTTCTAATTCTTTTTCTATTTTTTCTACAGATAATCTTCTCTAATCCAATTCTATTGCTAATTTATGTTCTTTTTCTGCCCAATCCTATAATTTAACAGCTAATTCATGATGCCTCTCAGCAGTTCTCTTTAATTTCTATTATAAATCATCCAGCATTTCACTTTCTTTTGTAAATTTATCTTACAATTCCAACAACAATGGATCATCATCAAAATAAAAAGTGGGTTGAATAGTCATTCTGGATTGATGCATAGATAATTATTATAATTATTACTCCAACATATCTAATTTCTTATCTTTATCTTTAATTGTTAATTGTAATTCTTCCAATTGAGTCTTAGTTCCTTCAATTTATTAGATGGTTTAGAATATTGGTTGACTCTGTGATTACACCAACTTCTGCAAATCATCTTTTAAATTCAGGTTCTTAGTATTTAAACTAGTTATTTATTAAGATAATGCATCTTCATTTACTTCCACGTCATTAGGATCTACTACTATTGACTTTTATTGTTTCTTTTTATTCAACTGCTTCTTCACTTCCACTACTTACAAATTTGTTATTTCCAGATCCTTCTTCAATGTTTCTTTCTTCTCTTAGTATTATTTCAACTCTTTCTCTTTCAATTAAATCACAGCCTCCAACATTTTAGTATCATCATCCAATTTTCTGAATTGATCATTTAATTAGTCTAAATCCTTCAATTTCTACTTTATTTAAAAGTTCATCTCCTCTTCTCTCACCTTAATATGATATACTTCGTCATTGATTTCTGTCAATTGATCCTATTCCTTCTTGATTTCCTCTGATAACTTCGATCGCTATTTTTCAAATTCTTAGATCTACTCTTACTTTTCTCTTATCTCTCCTTGAATATTATAATACTACTATTTAAGTTTCAATAAGTCTTCTTTAGATTCATTCAAATTTTTTAGTTCTTCATCCTTATTTCTCAGCATCTCTTCTAAACTGACGATATCCATTTCAGCCTTTGCTAAATCATCCTCAAATTTACTCCTCTATTCTGACTTTATTTAAAACTCTCTTTCCAATTTACTTAGGTTTTAATCTATTTCAGACATCCTCTTTTTAATTTCTTCCTCTTCCTTCTCGTAAAATTTCAATTCATCTTCCAATTAATTGAATTTCAACTTTTAATCATTTACCTTTTATTATTTCTAATACACTAATCCTGTATACTATTATACCTACTCTTCCTTCTCAAATACTTCCTTCATCAATCTTTCCATATCCTTATCTAATTTTTCAATCTAATCTAATTAATGCAGATGTTTCATTTATTAATCTGTCAGTTTATTTAAATTATTCTTCTAATCTTCTATCTCCAATTGAATTTTCTTAATCTACTCTTATCTTTATTCCTTTTCTTTATTTTATTTTTCTAAAATTTGAATTTATGCCTGAATTGCTTATTTGTTGCGATCCAACTCTTATTAAATCCTATCAGCCTTATCCTATATTGCATTTTTCAATGAATTTTCTTATTTTATACTATCTTCTAAATTTGCTCTTAAAGCCTGCAATTCAACTAATTATTTCTCTTAATTTTCTGTGTACAATTTTAGATAATTGACTTCCTAAATCACTTGATTCTTTTAATCTAATACCTTTTGTTATTACTTTTACTATTCAGATAAATCCTCCACACTCTAATCATATTATTATTTGGTCTATAAATATAATCTTTGTATTTCTTCCTTCTAAGGTACAATCAACAAAACTTATTCCTTTTGAATTTGTAATTCCTCTATCAACTACTCTAGTAATTACTTTTCCTCTGAAATTTGAAGAGTTAGATCTTCAATTTTTCTATTAATATTTGCACTATCCAGATTCATTTCTGTGTATATCTTAATCTCTTATTCAATTAAAGCATTACTTTATTTATACGAATTCTATTGATCCAGCAATTATTATTCCAATATCTTTGCTTATTCAATATCATTCTTTAATTAGATAATGTTTTAATCTAATTGTTAACTCTCTATGCTTAATGATGATATTTATTATTCCTTCGTTTACTTTACTTATTTGTTTGATTCAGCCTCTTAGAATAACTTGGCTAATTCTGGTGTATATCTTTTGATTTCTGCCTACAAGTCATTCACTTACTATTCTAGCAGACCAACCTTTTCTGCCAAAGGCATTTATTCTCTTAATAAATGGTCTCTCTTCTGTTTCTATTTTCTTGTTAGAATTGATAATTAATAATTTTCTTATGATATTCTCAATAAATCTTCTTGTTTTTCCTTTACAACAATTTGTAAATCTAAAATCAAGTATTCCAAGTTTTTTATTTGTTCTTTAACCTTTTGCTGTCCCTTTTGAAGTTCATTTAATCTTTTAGATGATTCTATATTCTAACTCAACCATTCTGGAACATTTGATTATGACTTACTGACATCTTCAATTAAAGTAACTTGTTAGGCCTATAAATCATTGACCATTGATTCAATGTCTTTATTTTGTAATTTTATTTTTTCAACTTATTCCTATTTGATTTATTGTTCAGTCTACAAATCTTGTAAGACAGTAGTTGAAGATTAAATAAATAATTTTAATTATTCAATCTATTATTGCTTTTCCTTCTTTTATTTCAGTAAGAACTCCAGTTCAATATCATCTTGACTTAGTTATCTGACTGATTCCGTTATTTAAGCAATTTAAATAGTTAAATCAGTTAAGTTAGAATTTTGATCCTAGATCATCTGATTCTCATGGAACACTTATAAAGGCCAGGGCATTGATCTTTGATGTTAAGACAATCTTTATTCTAATTCATTGTATTATTGTTATTTTTGAGTCAATCTTGACTCCATTTATTAGATCTTCTCATCCAATTCCAAATTCTTCTTAACCATCTCATCTGATTTCTATTATCTTTGTTGAAGTTCTTCTTCCATCATATTCTATATTACTTTGTATATTTCTTCTTATCTACTCTTCTTCTCTTACAACTTGAATTCTAATTCATGAATAACATCTTCTAAGGCTAGATTCTGTTTTACCAAATTATCAGCTTATTCCTACAACACATTAATTTATCTATTAATAACAGACACATCCTGGGTTGCCAAAATCTATTGATTGAAATGACTTCTTTTCAAATCACTTAATTATTGTTTAAGTTACTCAATAATCTTATCCTTTTCTTACAATTCATATTTCTAACATTCAACTCTACTCTTTAACTAATCCATACTACTACTGAAACCAGCCAAAATTTATTGTTATTAAACAAATTACTAATCTTAATCCTAATCATACAAATTAATTCCACTATCTCTAACAATACTTTCTCTATCTTTATAAAATGAATTATTATTTTGATTAGATTCAATTTCAAAATTCTTTGATGAATTCAAATATTCTAATTCCTTTAATTTTGATTCTTTCTCCACCAACCTTACCTCTAATGAATGAATCAACTCATCCATTGCTAAATTCTTCTTGACCAATTCATCGGCCTTCTCACATTAATCTTCATTTGTCTTCATTAATGCTTAATATCTTAATTCAACATCTCGTTATTATAATTCTTATTCCTTATCGTATAATTATTTTTACAACTTAGATATTTCTTCATGTAATTAAACAATATTCATGTTCTTCTCATGCAATTATTCTTACATATCCATCAATTCTGTATTTTGAATAAACGATTTCCTCTTAGGTTTCTAATCCTCAATCACAATCGATTCCAATTAATCTCTTCTCTTTATTTTGTAACTTAGTTGTTACTTCAACTCTTGTATTCTATTCTCAACATCTTAATTCTATTAATTCAAATCTTACAAATAAGTATGTTATGACATACTCATTATTTCATCCTTTTACTGAATTTCAAATTTCAAGAACTCAATTTATGATTCCTATTATTTTATTGTCTCCTACAATTAATCAATCTAAAACTAATAATCTTGAGGAATTGATTCATTTTGTGGACCAAATATATTTATTGTTGGTAATTCCTGAATATAAGAAGTCACTGTTGGTTATATTGCTATTTATCTCTATTATAAACTCTAGATTTGCTATTCAACTGAAACCTTGACTTCTATTTCCTCTTGCAATTAGTTTTATAATTTAAACACTTCCTATTCCTCTTTCTTCAATTTAACTTTTAACACTTAAACCTCATTTTATTTTAATTTCAATTGTTATTGAATTATATCACATTCATGTTATTCTACTTCTAATTATGAAATTAATTCCTTTCTTGAGGATATCTTTAAGGGTTTAAGTGAGGTTGAAGAATGTTGCTCATTATCAAACATGCTTATTTAATCTTGGATTAGATTCTAAGCTTATTATTTTTCAAGCAATTTAACCTATAGTTCATGCATCAAATCATCAATTGCTTAATTTTATTTTACTAAGTCATCAATTGCTATTAATTTTTCGGTTTCTCCCTTTATTGGAGCACCATTTCCTAATATAATATTTTAAGATCTTAAATATTCTAATTAATTTTTTGTTTTGACCAATTGATCTTCAATTTGTTATTTTTCTGTTTATTACTTCTCCAATTAAACATTCAAACTCTAAGTGTCTTATTACAATTTCTTTAATTGAACTCTTACTTCTTAATTGTAGGCTTTCTCGACTGCTAATTGCTCATTCAACACAGACAATTACGATTTCATTTATTTTAATATCTTTTCATCTTCCCCATAAGAGTCCATGATTTATTCTAGTTCTTATTTCTACTGCTTCTTATCGTATAGCTTTTTCTCTAACTCAATTAAAATATCGTTTAGTTCTTCATGTTATTTTATAACTTCATCAACTTATGACGTGTTTGGCTTGTAGGATATTCTTTGACTATCTGCCCCTGATTTAAGTTGCTGTAATTCTTATTCCTTATCTTGCAATTATTTTTTTAGCATCACAAACTCCTCTTAAATCTATAATCCAAGTGCATTTAGGGATTTAGGATATGCTAATAATTGATCGATTGGGTTATCAAATATTGGTTAACTCATTATATCCTTTTGATTCATTCTATTTTTCAATGACTTAATCTCATTTGCTTAATCACTAATTATTCTCTCCTATTTTTAGATATGTTAATCAAGATCTACTCTTAAATAATCTCTATACCTTAAATCTAAGTATTCACTACTTTAAGAAGTGAAGAGGTGATTTGTGACATATTGTAAATTATTAAATATAAATATATGGATAATTTATAATTATATATTTTATTTACATAAATCTCTGTTAATTATATTCATTTTATTATTACCTAAAATAAATACTATTAATGTCATATAAATTAAGTAATGATACCTATATCGATGGTAGCCGAATTAAGTAATCATTCTGTAATACAACCTTTAACTTTATTTATGCATAATTAATAGTATAAAATTTAATAATTTAACCGAAATTTGGATTAGACATTAATGATTAAAGACTAATTTCTAATCAATTCTAGAATATGATTTATTTGATCTATTGGAGGATTTGATTTTATTTACAAAAATAATCTTATATGTAACAACATAAGAAGTTTCATTTTTTTGAATTTGATATAAATTAAATAGCATTTAATCTGTTTTATTCAATTTGAATTATGAATACCAAATTTCATCATCATGAAATGATTAATGTTGCTCAGTTATTATATAAATAAATTAAAGGTGAATGATTTTCGATATAAACAAATATTTTATTTAAATTACAACATAAATCACAATTCCAAAAATAAGCAAAAATTTTCAATAGGATTCATCGGTTGTTGATTATTCAGATAATTCACAATAAATTGATGGTTATTTGGCAGGTTTATTTGTATTATCATCAATTAATCTAACTGATTAATAATGATTAATTATCTTTTTCCCTGAGTGAAAAGCAATGTGTATTTATTTTTAAGTGGGAACTTGCTTCTTATTAAAATAGAGATGAATTTTTTCTTTAAAGGATGACCAACAGGTCTTTATTGGCATATGTTTTATGATGTAATAATTATCCAAGGTATGGACAACAATGTCTATTTGTAAAGTATTACTCAAGGCTTAAAGTTCCAAATGCCCACCCCATATTCCATCTTCAGACATTCGTTTAGTATATTCATTGAATGTGGAACCTTCTGGAAGAAAATCAGAAAAAAATTTTCGATTTTTCTAGAGTGATCGGATTGCCATAGAGCGATACTTATTATAATTTTCTTCATTTCCAGTTAGTTAATCAGCAATAGCCCTAAAGAGACAATTTCCGTCCGCATCTACATCTCTAAGGGTCAATCCTAACTGTTACAACCTTTTATTGAATTAATTGAAATATTTCTTCATTTAATTAATTTAAACAGAGTTTTTAATAGGAATTTGAGTTTTTGATAAATAATTTTTGGTGCAAACTACATTAATAATAAAATGAATTATATTAAAATCAGCCAAGCAAAGTATTATAGTATTAGATGTCACTTAGTTTTTTAACCATTTCTTTTTTCATTTAATCAACAAATTAAAAAAACAAGTTATCATTTATTTCCTCCATCATAGGTTCTGCAATTTTAACATTATTATTATTTTTGAGTATATTTATTTTGAATTTAGTATTCGCTTTGATCTATTTGAGTTCCTTATTGTTTAAGTACTTAACAGTAGGATTAATTATTTCAATATCAGGATCATTTATTTTAAATTACTCCACTAGAGATTGATTAATTTCGTTATTCTAATTTGATTAATCTTCCTTTGATTCATTTTAAATTTGATTCTATACATTGTCTACTACTGCTAATTCTGTATTCTCTTATTGCGCAATTACATCATTGTTGATATTGTTAGGTTAATTATTAGTTTAACTTGCAATTTCATTCTCTTTTGAATTAGAGTCTGGAATTTAAAGTTATTCCTATTACTGATTATTGACTTCACTAACTTCGCTAATTTTTTACTCACCTTCTTGTATTGAATTATTTTAATTATTTGTGTCATGCTAAACAAATGTATTATGAATTTAATTTTCGTCATTTTAGGACTTATTAGTATCAATGTTATCAGGATTCTTTTGCGAGAGCTCGATATTAAATTCTTCATTGTTATTTGGAATTTCTACTTGATCAGAAGTAAGATTTTTATTTACATTAGTTTCTTAAGGAGAATCTTATTGATTAGCTATTAGATCCTGGTTTTATTAGAGTGGTTGTTATGATTCTGGATTTTAGGATTAATCAAGCTAAGCCAAAATTTATTACCCAATATTTTCAATGATTTATTATCTAGGTTCATTTTCTTCAGCGAGACCTGCAAATGTAAATTCTTCTTCATCATCTCCAATTTCAATAGCATCCTGATGGATTTCATTGTTGGTTGAGATGTAAGTACATTATGATTTTTTGTGTTATTTAAATTAAGCCAAGGTTCCCTCCCAAGATTGACATCGTAGACATTTGACTTCAATATCACCAACAATTTTGGTTGCTAGAATGTCTTTGTCGAATTGATAGTTGCGTTCAAGTTTATGTCGACATAAAGGACAACTCTTTTTCATTTGAATCCAACGAACCAAACAAGTCCCACAAAAAGTATGCCTAGATATGAAAGTAGAATGATACCCACAAGTGGCTCTTATTGGATTATAAAACACTTCTCTGCAAATGCTGCATAGTAAGTGTTAATTTACTTATTATGTTTTAATTACTTCAAATTATCTCTCTCTAATCATTTAATAAATATATTATAATTATTCTATTATTTAATAAATTTCATTGTATGCTATTCCCGATACTGTTTTTAAATACTTCATTTTCCAGAGCATCAACCACAGAAGGATGATAGAAACTTCTAAATTCAGCAAACCATTCTCTAGCTACATCTGGCTTGTCCTTGAACAAAGTACCATACATATTGACTAACCAAGATCTAGCTCCATGACTTCCCATGAAGTTCTTAATTACCTCCATTCTATCGTAGAACTTACCTCTCAGACATCCTATCAACCATCTGTATAGAAGTCTCGAATCCTTTTGATCTGACAATAGATATGTTTGATCAATCAATTTGTAAGTTTTTTCAGTCATTTCCCCATACTATGATAATGGATTGAATATACTTTTGTAGCAATTTCATTCAAGAACTATTGTTTTTGATAATAGATATAGTTTTTATAATCTTCGGCATTATCTGGAACCTTATTACCCTTGCTATCTAACCAAGCTTTTGCCAAAGCCATTGCTTGGTCGTAGGCATCAGTATGGAAATCCAAAGTTCTTGGAGGCTTTCCTGGAACATACACCCACTCTTTGTAGATTGTTTTTATTTCTTTGATGGAGGCATGATCCTTGCCTAAATTTGTAGCGATCCAGGACAATAAATATCTGTAGAAGACATCTTCATCAATTGATTGCCACTTGAATTGAATGATGTACTATTGTAACATTTTTTGGAAGTTTTGCTTTCCAACCTATTGTTCTATATACAACAACAATTAATATCCCTTATTATATGGAACTTCCTACAATAGATTATAAATCACTTACAGATTAACTGTCATCTGGATTCTCTCCTGAAGTGTTTGGATGCAATGATGAATAGGAGTGATCCATTCCATATCTTGCCATCTATTAAAACATTGTATCATTGGATAAGAATGAATACATCTTTGAGTAGTCTTCTCCGTTGTATTATTCAAGGATCTTTCTTTCTAAAAATGTACAGAATCCCTCATTAATCCACATGTTTGCCCAATCTGAACAAGTGACTGTGTTCCCAACCCAAGAATGAGCAATTTCATGAATTGCAACTCCAACTCCTGATTTGTCTCCTACAATAATTGTTGGACTGGCAAAAGTGAGAAGGGGATGTTCCATACCTCCAAGAGGGAATGATGGTGGCAATATGACAATCTTATAATCTCCCCATTCATATGGACCAATGTAATTGGCTAGAGTATCAACATATTCTTATAAGAATTCCAATTCCTTGGCAACTCTATCTATACTGGTTGGCTCAGTTATCACATATGAACGACTAGTTTATTAATTACCCACTTTTCTTTATTCCAAGTTACCAGCCACTATTGCCAAAAGATAACTTGGGATTTTGATATCTAAAGAGATATGATATTCTGTTAAGGCTTCAGAGTATGAATTCATTCTTTTGAAAGGTCTTCCCTCCAAGAGGTTTCCTGTCATGTAAACCTTGATTCTAGGATCTTTGACCAAAACCAAAGCACTGAAGTACTGTTTGATACTTGGAGTGTCTTGTAATGGAATCATGGATCTGCAATTGTTGTCTTAGCAATATGAATACAAATATGGTAGGACTAAATATTATAGAATTCTTACGTTTGGATTCAGTTTGTTCTTTAGTCATGAAACTTAGTGCCCTGGCTTTTTCGGTTACACCATATTTGATTCTCAATTTAACTTGATCACCATTATTGTAAGACTTTGGGAGGTAGATCTTCAATCGATCCCCTTGCTTCAAGGATTGTTCTCCCATGTTTTCCACTTCATGTTTAAGGACTGTTCCAGTGGCAAAATCATAAGCAATGATAATATCTAATTAATAGACATCAAGATGGATTTCCTTGATGTTGTTTTTAATGACATTGAAATGATATTCTGCTGTACCATTGATTATCTTTTAGTTTAAATCCAATAACCATTCAATATGGAGTTTGTGGATCTAAATCTCATGATAATTACTAAAAGTGTTAACATCTCGATTCAAAGCCTTTATGACATCAATTATGATGACAAATAATATTATATTAAACATTAAATTAATTATTAAAATATATTTTATTCACTTTATTTTTCAATACTTATTTTTTATTCATGATTCAGTAACATAAGTCATAATTGACATGATTGCAATATTAAAATTTATAATCACACATTTGAATATTCAAACATCCTGTTTAATTTAGAGCTATTCACAAGCCACCTCATTTGTCATTTGTCAAATGTCTTCCATTTCCCACAGCAGTCTGTGTGAGAGTGATCATTTGAGAGTCAGAAAAGGAAGAGAATCAACATTCAGATGTCAGTCTATTGTGAATCTCTTATAATATGATATCAATTGAATTTGTATATGGAATTTGGAAATGTGGAAGAATCTATCAAGAAATTGGTTGAATTATATAGATTTTAACAGGTATCTGCTCTTCAGGAGGACAATTCTTATATATAAGCATTCTCTGAAAAATAAATAAATTCATTAATTTGTTGTTTGTTAATTTAACGAATGTCTAAGTGGTTAGATTTGAGCCTAACTTGTACCCAATTAAACTTCAACCAGAGTGTTGCCAACACGTACAGCAATCGTATGATTCTACAATATTAACTAATAGGTAGTCCCATGAATCTGATTGTGGATCTTTACAAGAATTCACGCTATGGACAATTGTATTTAGGAAATATTAATGCAGCCAATGATATTAAATATTTAAGAGAACATTCTATCAATGCCATCGTGGCTGTAATTGATACTAGTGAAATCAAAGTTGATCCATCAATGACTAGATTAGTATCAAAATGTTATCATTTTTTAGTGGATCATGGCTGAAGATGCAGAGAATTTCGATCTCTATCGTTACTTTGATGAATGTGCTAACTTTATCAGAGATCACATTAAGAATACCAATGTGTTTGTACATTGTTATGCAGGCATTTCTAGATCAGCTTCTATTGTTATAGCGTATATGATCAAGCACCTAGGCTACTCTCTCAAAGAAGCACTCAAAAAAGTCAAGGGGGCAAGATCAATTGTTGAACCCAATTCAGGTATTTATCACTATATTATTATATAGGTTTTATGAAACAATTATAAGATTATGAATACAAACAGAATCTCAATTCCCATCAAGGGACTAGAAATGGATCCTCATATCATTCTAACCCTAGGGGATCAGTTACATCTGCTAACAAAGGATCCTTGCACAGTGCAAAACCATCTTTTTTGGATAGAATGTCCTCTGGTTAGAAGGATCCAAGAAGAGAAGCTGAAAGTCCTTCAGTAAGTCAATTTTATGTGAATGGGAGTGCGAAATAGATTAATAATAATAACAATAATAATAATAATCTGAAAAGTTTTTTCAAACAAGGAAGCGTAGGAAGTCTATTGAAATAGACTAACAATGACGACTTCTTCAGGAGATATTAGAAATAAAAGAATGTTGAAAATATTTGGAATCAAGGAATGAGTGGTCATCATAAATCAGCTATTGAAATTAAATCAGATAAAATTGAATAAGTGAAATTGACTCTTTAAACTTTTGGTGTCAAGAATGTGTTTAGTGGATCAAATAGTAATGGGCTACATTTTCATCATAAAGGATTGTCTTAGGGATGATTTCAAATATATGATATTTATTTACTATATAAGATTATCTATTTTAATTAATATAATAATATTAATTAAATCTTAAAAGCATTTAATAACTTCTTTTTTTGTTTTATAAAATTAGTATTGATGATTTGTGACACGATAACCAAATGATGCGACATAGACTTTTCGTGTTACTTTCACAATTGTTTTAACATTTTGTAGACTTTCATTCATTAGTTTGATGAACATCATTCAGAAATATTCTTAATACATATTGATTAGGGATCAAAGGGAACAAGTATTATGATTATAAATAATTATCGTATATATAAATAAATAGATCAATTATATTTAGTTAAGGATTGAGTGCACCCGAGACGGGATGTATATCCTAACTCAGTGAATTTGTCATTGAGCAAGTCCAAGTTGCTGAAGATACTTTCAAATTGAATCCATAATTCTTAATTTTTAGTGATTTGCTCATTTAGTTTATATTGAAATTTGTCATAAAAGGTAAAGAAGGTGTCAAGAAACTTTGAATTTCTTTGTGATTTCAGGAATTTATTGATTTTGTTCGCATCCTCCTTCAAATCATCAGGGATTTTAGTTGTAGATTTCAATTATGAAATTACTCGATTGATTTTGTTCCATATTTGGATGGCCTCATCGATCTCCTTTGATTTGTTACAAGCATCCATTCTGATTTTGATTAGTCTGATGAGAGGTTTAGGTTTTTTTGGTTGCTGAGAAGTACATACGCCCATTGATGATATAATAATTTTAATTAAAAGAAAACAAATGATTTTACCTTAATAACATTTATATTATGAAGTCTCCTTTATAGAATTCAAATTAATTATACGTACATATCAGACAAATATATTTATATATATAAAATATATAAATTTAGTAACAAAAATCAAAGTCAGAATGGATAATCGCAGAAAACCGCAATCCTATCATCGCTAGAGAACTGGAATCCTGGTAACGAACAAACAATAGATGAGAAAGAAGTCACCAAAAAAGACATACTCAAAAGCTATTCACCCGTTGAATTTGCACACCAAGGCCATGTCTTAAAAAAACTTAGATTTTGTGTCTTCAGAAAGGTATTCCTCAGACATATGGGTAGTTCAGAGTATTCACAAGAGACTTTGATTGAAGACAATAAAAGCTGTTGCTGCTTCGATTGCAGTAAGCCCAATAAGAAAATGAAATGTCTATAAAAGAAATTCGGTTTGTTTCGAACGCAGATGTCAATAGTTAAGCAGTAGAGATTGCACATAAGATTTTAAAATGCCGTTTATTGCATTCTCTACTTGATTAATAAGCGAAGAAAACAAAGATTGTTAGAAAAACAGAAGAAGATGTTTAGATACAAAACCAAAGTATTCTTCGATGGCTCTCCTCTCTTGCCTACACAATAACTAGAACATTAAGTTAATGTACATGATGAGAAACATCAAGTCAATATACATTCTCAATCTATTTAGGCTAAAATTATTGATTAAAGACATAAATAAAGATAATCAGTAAGAGTATATTTGTAATAAAAATTACTTGATAAGGGTAATCATAAGCATTATCTCCTTTAGATTCGTAAATTACATTACCCAAGATCCACAAGTATAACCAGAGTTCCTATTGCAATATACAGCCCCTGAGATTCCCAAAAACAGAAGACCAGAAGTCTCCTAGGTGTTCCACACAATTAAAGATATCCCATCACACAGAACACAGTCCTAGTGCCGTCTAAAATTCTCCTTACTTGAATCATTTGACTTCTAGAAACCCTATTGAGACCTTCATTTAATCATCTTTCAGTAAAACACCCAGACCAGTAACAAAGAACATTTAATCTGAATTACTTACTTAAAAACACTAATTTCATTAAAGAAAGAATACAGCAACCACATTAAAAGGATTAGTTTGAATATAAGAAAATATTGTAATTTTTATTTTGTTTAATGATTATTTTTACTCTATTCACTATTATATAATCATAAATAGCACAATTATCATTAAATGGAGATGGTATTAAACAATAACTGCTTCTAATGATAGATGAAAATTAATTGGATTGCTAAACTATACAATTGCTAATCTCCAGGGGATTTGGATAGCAGATTCTCAATTTGATAACAGAAGAATAAATCATACTTGAATCCCATTTGTAATGTGCAAAACAATCCATTTAAAATGATTTATTGCAATTTGAATAACTAAAAAAGAGATTTAATAATCATGAAAATCATGTCCTTATTAAACCAATAATCCTATGGGCATAATCAACAGCAAACATTTTGATCAAAGTTAAATTTGCACATAGGATTGATGCTCCTGCTTACATTAGCGTTAAGAATCATCAAATAAAATATCTCAATGAAAAATTATCAATATCCGCTGAGTCAGATTAGAATAATATTTTAACTAAATTCTATTTAGAAATTCCTCTCCTGAATCCAATCCGATAAGCCATAGAATGGTAGGTGGAAAGTGTAGGTACTATGGTTTTGAACATAACTAAAGTTGAACCCAAATCGTGGTTGCATCTGAGTAAAAATAAAAATGATAAATTCTAAATTTGGTGGGACCTCAAAGAACAAGTATTATTCTGATTTTAATATTAGATCGGATAGGATATGGAGGACTTTTCTAACTTACTTGACAATTAAGAAGAGTACCTCAAAAATAAGAAAAAGCAACAAAAAAAAATAGAATCCTAATACCAGCAGCAATAATAGGCATCCTTCAATAAGAAAAACCTATTTGTTTCATTCTTTTTAAGATTAAAATAGTGGTTTAGTAGATGGTTTTGAAATCATATATGTATATTTATGTAATTGTTTTTCTAAATAATGTAATCATTTTTTGTCATACAAGTACTAAAGGTATTTTTATTTACATGTATTAAATTTTTATGGAAATTCTCACAAGTATTTTCAAATATTAAAATTTACAAATGAATTAAATTATGAAATTTGAATGTTTCATAATTTCAAAGGAAAAAACTATTTTAAATAAGCTTAAATTTATTTCAGTTTATTAGTTGTCTTGATATTAGTTTTAGCAAATATTTAAGTTCCTTTCATTCAAAAATTTCTTTCTACAATTTTTCATACTATACCAATCTAATATTAATACTCCATTAAAATTTTTGTTATATTCCACATGAAATGGATATTATTCAATCAAATATCATTCCCCTTTATTTCTGCCTTCAGATCTTGATGTAATTCAAAAGGATAATTGTAGAATAAATCTGTCACATCAGTTTTATTACAGAACGTCAAGATATTTCAATAGTATTTAACAATCCTATTAATGAACAAGAATTTGTATAAAATAATGTATAATTCAACATATATCTTTTTAATAATCAAGATTTACTCTATGTTATTATCAATGATTATGCTATTTCACTCTCACTATCAAAACGAGGACTTACAAATGCAAGTTATTCATACTCTTTAGCCAATGCATCATTTTTTAATTGACTTTAGTAGATCTAACTAATGCGATTGTAAGACTATTGTGATTTAGATTACTTATAATAATCGATTGCATTAAGATATTTACCTTATTATTCGTAATGCTATCCTAATTGAAAGAGAGCTTAATTTTATCCCATTTCAACAATTTAAGAATAAATTTAGACGTCTTTGTTGATTTCTGATAATTTATCAAGACATTTTTGATTATTTAACTTTGAACCCAATTGATAATAGGTTTGTTGAAGTAATAGATTATTATTATTGCATAAACCCAAATAATAGAAAGCTTCACTACTTTATTTTGTGACAGCGAGAAGTTGCAGATAGTCTTAAAACTTATTTAAAGAATTAGAATTTAAAGAATCCTCATATAAATATTGATATAGTTCTTCCACACATCTTAAGTCTTGATTTAATGCGCCTTATAACAATAAAGACAATCCCTTTTCTTTTTCTTGATCTTATAAATAGTGCAGTCCAAGATAATAAAAAGCAGGAGTGTATTCCTTTTTGATGGCCTCATTTAAGTAATTGATGCTCTTCAGGCTGTCAGTTTCAATTATACCTAAATCACACATTCCTCTGCTTGTATGTTAGCCTTTATTAGCATATTGTTTAGCCAACTATTAATTCTTTTGAAATAGGAATTCGTTATTTTACTAAACTCCTTAATAATATAAAATGGCCAAGTCTAAACATGCTTCAATGTGACCTTGATCAGCTGCTTGTTTAATGTACTGGATTCCTTTTTGGATTTTTTTTTTGTTTATTAATTCTATTTTACCATATTAAAAGATAGATTGCAGATTATTGGTTTTGATATTTGCTTTATAGATTTATCTGGCTAATTTGATATTTTAGGCAATCATCTTGCCTTGTTAATATAATTGAGCCAATGAATTTTTGGAATCTGCAGTACCAATTTAGATATACATTTGAATTCCTGCTTGTATGTCTTACATGCAGTTGAGACCATAAGTCAATTCATGAGCTTGTAACAATTAATTTTAAGTCTTTAAATTGGAAATCTCCTCTTTTAATTTGGTAATCTATTTTTTCAATTCATCAATTTGTAACTGTTGTTAAGGATTATCTTTATAAATTTCCTTAATAACTTCCTTCTCCTTATAAATAACTTCTTATTGATTTGGATTAGTTTAAATTGAAGCAACTTTATGCAGTTTTTTGTTTTTCTCTTGTTCTTTCTTCATATTTGTATAATTAAATTGCAATTCATCCAACATAGATTGGATCAGATTGAAATCTATATCTATCGGATTATATTTGGATTCTAACTGTTGAGCATTTTCCCAGAATGGAATATAGGATATCAAATTATTATACTTAGTTAGAAAGGTTTGCAGCTGAGTTTTGTGATTGCAAAAAGTACTCAATAGTAGTTATTAACCAGCATGTTATAATTCTAAAGCAGAGGTAAATGTCTTCTTGGATTAAGTGTCAGCATATTTATTGATGTGAATATTGAATGCACATTGTTTAGAGGAGATATCGTCCATTATCTTTTATAGTTTTTTTAGTTCTCTTTACATTTCAGTCTTTTATTATTAACTGAGATATGGCAGTGTAATTACACCAGCACTAAGTTTTTCGAACATTTTTTGAGTTGATGCATCATTGATCTTTTTGTTAAAGTGATGGATATCAGCCTCAGCTTTTTTGATTTGTTTTTCTTTGCATTACTTGAGGTAATCAATTAAATTCATGTTAAATTAATTTAATTATGTAGTTATTTTCATATGCAATTATTGTTCCATTCTCTATTTCAATTATCTTTGTTTTGATGATGATTCGACGATATTGTCACTTGAAATCAGACATAATTGCTAATGACATTAAATTGAATTGTTCACTCAAGTTTCGTGTGTTTTTATTGATTTGTGATATAGGTATACAATCACATATTAATAAACAGTCTAGGCATTTAAGGTACTCAATGTGGATTGATTTTTATATGCAAATATTGTGAGGAATATCAACATTACATTTTTTTGGTACTCCTAATTACTATGATCACTTAATTGCTCTAAATATTCCTGATGGTACAAAAACAATGAAATTTAGATCTTTGAGTATAAGAAACGAGTTCCTTTATATTTTGCACATAAAATTTATTGGATTGCTAATTGGATTGTGCTTCTTATTATAGCCATCATGATCTTGGATTCTTATGGCTATTTAAACAACATGCCTTATATGATTTTTGGTAGAATAATCATCATATCAATTCTTTTGATCTACACTCTCTTTTTTAGAAAGCAAGACTTAGCAGAATTTGAAGAATTGGGATTTTTCAATAGTGAATTGCCAGACATTGATATCTCTTCATTAGATTAGAAGTTGAGGATTTCCACTATAAATAGTATGATTTCATGATTGATTTAAGATTTTTAAACACAATTTTTTTCAGTGGAACTCTAAAAGATTTGGAACATTGTGGACAATGATATTGAAATTAAAATGAACATGTAAATAAGAATATATTAATTTAGTCATTTGATTGATAAAGAAAAGAGCATAAAATTGAAGAAGAGAGTCTCTCAATTATTTGAAATGCATCAACAATTAATCATTGAATGTTAAGCTTATTTTGAATTGCACAATAATGACTTACTTTAATTAGAATATTTAATTAGGTAGATCTCAGATAATGCCGACTTATAATTAATTAACAATATACAAAAATACTTCAATGTTTTGATTAGTAAGGTTGAATTGATATCCAATACATTTTTGGATTTCATTGAATTTCCTCAACAGGAAAGAGAATTGTTGAATGATATCAAATTATAACACCGACAACTTCATAAGTCATCTCTGATTAAGAAGCAATAGAGCAGTCTCCCTTATAAGAAATGGGAATTGCACAACCCCTATATTCCCTACATGAATGTGAAAATCAAGGAGCATCAAACAATTAAGCAACATGGAGATTCCTATATCTAGTATTCAATAGCGATCACAATTAATTCAGAAACTCTGATGTCATAGAAGAGATTTAGAGAGTTTCATGAGTTGAATGAATAATTAAAATAATAAGGAATCAAGTACTCATCTTTATTCCCACAAAAGAGTATTGGAAAGTTAACTGAAGTGGATTTAGAGGAACGATAGAGAGATTTAGAAATCTATTTAAAAGTATTATTAAATGACAGAAATAATCATGGCTGTTTGCCATTATTCAAATTTGTAGGTTTGTCTGCAAATTAAGAATCCTTTTTAAAGAAATAGTATTCTCGTATGCAAAGAGATGTAGAGTAAGTAACTTAATCTGCAGTCAAATTCTTGTAATATGATGATGCTTCGGATCAAAATGGAGATAAATATTATAAATATCAATTTTAGATTATCAACCATAATATCTTTAATTAATATCACATCATTTCTAAAAGATACTCTTAATTTCATGAATTACACAGTATTTTGAAAAAGAGGTAAATGTATATTCCTATTAATTGTACAATAGGATTCAATTCTTGCCATTATTACCATAAAAGTTGAGTGCCTTGTAACAGAATATCAATCCAAATCAGAGAAGTGGATTGCTCCTTTAATATCTGAATGAATTGATAAAGAATCCATTAGTTTGTGAGAACCCGCACTTTAGACAATTTATAGATATTCCCTTCTTTGCTTTTGAATCTGATGAAGTAACCTTATCAGAAACAAAGAACTCGTTTAATCAAATCTTTAGGTCATAAGGAAATGATTCAATAATTAAAAAGATCGATGATATGAAGGTAAGATTATGGGATTGAATGAATTAAAAGCTTATATATTTATATCTTGTAAAGAATGAATAAATTGTAAAATGCATTTATATATATTTGTTGAAATACTCACTTAAAAGGTCGACATCTAGATAGAGATCTTTCAACACTGAATATGCTCACTATTCTAAAAATTTAGAGAATTATATTATTTCTTAATGAAATCAAAGTCTTTTAAAATGAAATTATTTATATTAATGATTAAAACTCTAGCCAATTCTAAAATGCCTTAAATAATTTCATAGTTGTTTCAAGAATGGTACTTATAATAGTATGAAAAAAAAAACATGTCAACTAGATAATAAAGCATTATATGTCAAATCTTCAACATTAGGTAAACAGCTGATGACATTTTTGAATTGTTGATTTCAGATTCGAAATGCATTTTCCCTGCGAAAATATACAAATTTGTATTACAATAATGTTGTGATAAAATTAATAAGAATGTGAAAAATGAATTAAAGATGTTGAGAGTAATTTCAATCAAAATATAAGGGAGCTTTAGTAGTATTGAATTAGATCGATTTCTTGAGAGTAAAGAAGGAATTTAGATTTGAAATTTTGATATTGGATATGAATTATATTGATGGGTTGGGAGGTGCAATAGTCAATGAAATACAATTGCAAACTAAGAGACCAGCCATTCTCAAATTAGAAGAAAGATCCTTGCCTCTCTATGAAGAATTCTCTAAAATATTTGAAAAGATAGTGGAAATCGAATCGAATCAATTGCATGAACAGTCAATTAAAAAGAAAAATGAATAGAAACAAGTCTTATCAGAAGATGAGCAGATGAAGATGACAATAATACAATAAGAAATGCCAAAGAACCAATATCTGGTGTATGATGCATCCCTCTACCCAGAGTAACATTTTCTGGAGAAGCAATTCAAAGCTTAATTCAAGTTTGTGCCTTACATAAGTCTTAAACTGAGTTCTAGGGGAACAAAGAAAATAGAATAACAATAATGACTATTAATATAATATGATATATGTGATGTAATTCCTTTCAACGCTCTGCACCAAATGTTCATTGTTCAGACATCCAATTGTAAATCATTTTGGAATGTTCCAATTTACATGATTGACGAAGGAGGTTGCCCAATATTAACAACATTGGATTAGTCAATCTCTTGTAAATCTTAATTTCTCCTGATTTCATTCTGATCAGCAACCTTAATGAATGCCTGAGTATCTGGTATGAAATTGAATCCAAATTCACTGTTCCTGACTCCCTTTGTTAATGGGAACTCTCCCAAATCATGATCAAATTGATTAAGGTTATCTACAAGAGAATAAACAACATATGCATACCTGTCTGAGCATAAGAGTACACACTCTTTTCATCGTTTATGCCATTCATAGTGTTATTGCGTCTTTCTGGGATAAACTTTTAGGGTGGTCTGAATTTCATCTGACAGGATTTAAGATTAGGCAATGAACCCTCCATCAACAAGTCCAAATCCTTAAAGTGATTTAACATATTGTTCCAAAGATTATCCTATCAAATAGATCACATAAACATACTTTACACAACACTCTAGCATTTCCAATGATTATCAATCCGAATCTGGCTCTGGTGATAGTGACATTCAATCTTCTAGGATTGGTCAAGAAACCAATGCCTTGAGTGTCATTTGAGCGGACACAGGAAATGATAATGAAATCCTTCTCTCTACCTTAGAAGCCATCCACAGAAGCAACTTCGATGTCTCTATATTGATTGTAAGGCAATTGTCCATTCCTTTATAGATATGAAAGTATGTATGTGCGTTGTCCTTTATAAGGAGTGATGATTCCAATTTTGTTTAATTTAACTGTGTTCTGATAAAGATAATACACTGCCTATTCTACAGCAACTGCTTCTTGAGTGTTAAGATATGAGGTTCCTGATGCCGATAGTTATTCTTGGCCAGTCACATTAATGAATATCATGGGCTTTTGCTTATTTGGCCAAGGGAAGTTACCAGAATAAGTTCTATCGCTGATAGTGACTCCATTCTATAAGGTACCTTCGTAGAATGTGTTGGATGGAAAGACTGTCAATTCAGGATGCATACGATATTAAACTTACAATCTAACAGGTCTTATTCCTAATTGTACTAATCTTTCAAATAGACTTCTGTCCAAACCAACTGAGGCTGCTTCTCTACTCTAAACAACAGGACCCAATTGTCTGTGATCTCCGACCAAGATTACATGTTTGGCTCCCTTTAACATGGGTAATAGGCACTCTGGCTCTATAGCTTGAGTTGCTTCGTCAATCAAAACAAATAAGAATCTCATTTCTTTAAGTCTTTTATCAGCTGATCCAATACAAGTAGTACAAATGATATCAGCCTATTCAATAATTTCCTTCTCTGCCTCATCTCTCATTCTTATGAATACTTATTCATCCTTTTAATCTAACTCTCCTTGTTAATCTAACAATTCATAAAATGCTTATAATTGATGATATTGTGGTATATCCAAACTTCGCACCTAATTGTGCAATGTCAGAAATTCGATATTCGTACTAACACTTTCTCTGGTTTTACTGCACAGTCTGACAACTTTGACTCCTGTTTTGTTGATCTTTTCAGCCAATTAATCAACGACAATGTTACTGGGTGCACAAACCAAGATCTATCCTCTTTGTTTTTGTTTTTCCATAGCCTTTACTAATTGATAGACAATAGTGGCACTGGTGACAGTCTTACCAGTCCCAGGTGGTCCTTGAATTAATGACAATGGAGACTTCAATGCTTTCTTAACTGCATCTGCTTAATACACATTTAGATCTGGTAGATTTGGAGCAGATAGCTTTTGAGGAATACTCTCCACGGCTGTAGGAGGAGCCAAAGTATCGATTCTTCCCAAGATCATCTTATACAGATAATTACTGGTTGAACTACTTTGAGTAAGAAATGTCTTTAATCCTATTTGCATTCTTTTAAATGTTGTTGACACCCAGATGCATTCGACTGTGTATCCTTCCTCGATATTATTAGGAGGAGGATCATTTTGATGTAATTCCAAACAGATTTCCTCATTATTAATTACTTTGATCACAGTGCCTTTTGATTACCAATTGTAATTCCCATTCTTTAAACTCAATTACATCTCATTCCCTAATAGAGTGTTTGTGTCAAACTCTTCTCTGCCTCCATATAAAAAGTAGGCCAATCTCTTCTTCTTCAAACTCAAATCCCATTTCACTTTCACACTTTATAAAACTTGGCCTTCCTTCACTTACTTATCTTACTCTTCTTCCAATTTGACTAATGGTGAAAATACTTGCTGATAGTGATTAGCATCTTTGTATCGCAATTACACCTCCTTTAGTTATTGATTTGGACCTTTTCTATCCAAATCCTCGAATTTCAATCCTGGCTTTATCTTCCTTTCCTCCTCATACTGATTTATGCGTTCCAAAGTAACCATACGTGACTAAGTATACCTCGACAATGAATTACATTTATTTTATCTCCCTATCCCAATAACCATTCCTAAATACTCTTGTCCTTGATTAGTGGCTAATAATCATTTGAGTCCCAAGTAATCTCTCCCAATTGTCTCAAAGGCAGACAGCCTCGGCAAAGAATCAAAATGTTTTCGTCCTCTTCCACTCTCACTAAAAATACTCAAATACTATCTGTACCATTCACTTGTCCTAAAGTGAACAAATTTTTCTATTCACAACAATAACACTCGATAGTTGTTATTTCCACCTTGTTTTTGCTATGCAAACTGATTTAACTGTGCTTATTCTTAATCAAGTGCAGTATTATGTGTGATCCGCTTTTTGTTGCACTGTTGCAGTACCATCTCTTGCATGTTAAACATTGTGCAACAGCATTGACATCAGATTATAAACAATAACTAAATAATAATCGCTCAACTACTTACTCGCAAGAATGTTAAGCTATTTGAATTTGCTATTCCGTCGTTCTTCTTAATTTTTCAAGTGTGTCTTCCATAAAACTTCTTAAACAAGATCAAATTTTATTATTTAATTTAAATACTATTAAAGAATTTGAGTCATTACAAATAATATATATTAACCTTATTAATTGTACATATCTATAAAACCAAATAAAATTTAAAACCTACTTCATACAATAAAACATATTTCAAAAGGTTGCTCGACAAAATACTCTAATGAGTATTCTCCATTATTGAAATTTCTTTCTATATTTTAATTTAAAACCCACCTTAAGTTTGATAAATATCTAATATTTTCTAAAACATTTATATGGATCTTTCTTTGAATTCAAATCAAACAGCCACTGTTGATTACTCTCATCTTCTTTAAGTCAAGGATCCTAACCCAAATTTTGTATCTGCCATCTTAGACACAACCATTTTTCAAATACTGAAAAATCATTCAGATGTATTCATCTTTAATGATTTTGAAATTTATGATATCGAAAGTGGGAATAGAGCCATTGTAATTGAAAATGGAGTGAAGATAGGGTCAGGTGGACATGGCGATGTTTACTGCTCTTAGAATCCCTAAACTAAACAAAAGGCTGCTTTAAAGGTGCAAAAGGATTGCACTTTCTAAGCTGTCATCCAATATGCAGAGGAATTCAAAATCCAAAAAATAATTGAGGAAATATACCCAGAATCTATCATCAAAGTTTAAGGGAAAGTTTTCATTTCTCAAAATTATGTTGATAGTTACAAAATGCACACTTTTTTGGAATTAGGAACTGGGAATTTGAGACAATATATTAATAAGTTAACAGAGGCTGAAATCGATCATGTTTTCAATTGTGTTCTAGATAGTATTATCAAAATTCATTCAATAAAAATTGCTCACCGGGATATTAAATTGGAGAACATTCTAAGGACAAAAGAAAATGGATGGGTCTTATCTGATTTCGGCTGCTCAACTCAATATAAAACACCTTATGGAGAATATCCAATTCTTGGTACTATTCAATACTATCAAAAATCAATTAGATAGACTTATGCTTAAAATCGAAGAAAATGTAAAATGAATTTATTTAAAAACGATATTTATGCATTCTAATTAGTGATGCTCTAAATTATTTTTCCATAGAAATCTATAATAGAATTGCATACTATTCTAGATGAAAAGTAGATGGTGCATCCAAGAATTAACTAACTTTATGATAAGGATTATATTATTATTAAGAGAGATTTGAGTAAAATTAAATTCACTAGATAAATAACATCCTCAGATAATGATTTTGATGTAAACTTTGATCAAAAAATCACAGATTTTAGATATCAACCCCTGATCTAAAAAATTTTTAGTATTTTTTTAAGATCTAAACAGCTCACTGTGTTTCAAAACACGGTCCAAAAATACGTATTTGAAGAATATCAAAAGGACGAGCAGGATTATGTTGAAGTGATGTATATGTTGAAAGATTTTCATTTAAATTATGCTTAGTTCAATACAGTTTAAGAAATCTTTGATCAAATCAAATTTGAAAATTTATCGAAATTAGAATATGATTTATACTATGATGTTTTTGCAAAGAGAGGCTCAAAAATTTTACAATTAATGCTATGCCAACGATATTAAAAGATTTTGGGGAACAATAATAGCAATCTGCTTCTCTAAGAAGCAGAGATCCTTTATATCATGGGTCTTTGGGAAGATGCCAAATCCATTATTAATAGTATCAAAGATCTATCAGAGTTAGAGAGTGACGAGATAATTTTAAAGTATTGTTGTCTTAAGGCTCGGTTAAACAATTAATGGGTTGATAATCATGAAGATATCATTCAGTACTTAAGAAATTATAAAGATACCTTTTAAGTACTATTTGAATGGAAATTCCTATTGATTGATTCTATGTGGATGGACATATCAAAGAGAAAGATTAATAAAATTTACAAAAAATATTATCTAACAAAAGAAGTTATTTTAAAATAAAATGCTAAAAGTCATCCGACCAAGGAAACATTTCAGGTCATTCATATATAGAAATTTCTTGAAAGGCCATATATAGATTATGAAAATCCAAATTATTGGAAATTTATAAATCAATTGAAGAAACCCCTTTCCGAAGTGCAATTAATGAAAGAATATTTACATTATGATAATTTTACAATCTTCTATTATTGTTGGATATATCTGGAGGGGTCTGACTTTTTTGGCGAGAAGTATAAATATGAGATGGAGGAGTTCATAATATTTATAGAGGAGAATCTCTAAAATTATTATTTCAATTGGGTTATTTTTGATTTATATTCTCAATTACTCACCTATAGAAACGAGTTTGAAATGGCAGAGCTTTATAATTAAAAAGCCTTGGACATAGTGAAAAATGATTGTGTCTATCATTAAATAATAGTGCATCATCATCTTTTTAGATTAAAATTAAAATAGCAAAGGATAGAAACGATAGAACAGCTTAATGTAATTTTCCATCTTATTAGCTTGCTGCCATCTTCAAATTTGAGATTCTATTATTATAAATATATTTACAATGAAGATGGTTTAATATGGTAAGACAAAAACTCTAAGTATGCTTTACACTAATGGGAAATTAGTTATATAGATGCAGAAGATAGGAAAAATTTTGATTTAAATTTTGAATATCTTAAAATTAAAGAGGTGGCTTTGAGGGATTTAGACTTCCACAAATGCAAATAAATTATTTATGAATATTTACCAAACTTAATTGAACAAATGCAATATATGGTACTTCCAGAATTTTATGATTCAATTTTAGTGGGTTAAAAAACAGGATAACCAGCTCACTTGGTCAGAAAATTATTCAAGAAATTCTTGCAGCTAAAAATAGTATTCATTCAATTAGGGTATGCATTAAATTACAAACCTTAAAATAACTATTAAGAGTTTATACTTTATGTAAGGCACTTTATAGAATTAGAGGGTTTAGGGAAAAAAGAAGAGAGACTTGCTTCTACGTACTTTTTATATTGTGACAGTTAGGTATGAGAGACTAAGTGAAATATAAAATATTTTTAAACATAAAATTATTACATAATTCTAATAGAACTGTAAAACTGACTTAATTTTTAAGGGATTCATCCAATTTTTAATTGTTATATATCATTATAAATTAAATGTTGATTCTATTTTAACAATAATTTCATATGTAGGGAAAAAGATTTCTGTCCATTAGGCTGTATACTACAAAAGGTAAGAACACAATTTTTAAAGTTATACTAATTACAGTTGATTGTTGAGGATTTCTTATTTTAGGAATTTAAAATATGAACTAAGGGGGTGTGGGTTAAAAATAGGGAATTGATATTGATTAAAAAACAATAAAATTTATATAAACTAAACTATATGAGTCAAAACCCAATTCCTAAAGTTCTATATGATGTTGATCAATAGGTCTTGATCAAAAGGTTATAATGCAGGTCTCGGTTGCTTGAAAAGAAATGCAATTACTATAAAAGAAGAGAATTGCTGATTATCTAATAATATCGACCAGAAACTCCTAAAAAATTATCAGACTCTAAACTTTCGGAGACATCTACTAATTGTAATTTCTCAACTATGATTGATGAAAACGATTCTTCCCAAAATTTACAAGAAAAAGTCTAATAGAAATAGTGTAAAATTTCAGAACTTCAAGAGGCTGTGGAAGCTCTTTAAAATAAGGTTAAGAGTTTGCAAGCATAAAACGATGAAATGTAAGATCAATTATCAAAGCAAGTCAAAGGGTTTGTTAGAAATGACAAAGTGACTCATTCAGGTATTTCAATACACTACCTATAGTGAATCTCACCAAATCTACCAGTCAGACAGAAAAGGCAATGGCGACGATTGACAAATTTTTTTAACCATTCACTGCAAACTCATTCAAATCTCAAGATGGCACACCTCAATCGACTGAAGAGAAGAGGAAGATGATAAAGAGAATGAGCATGAATGCAGGGGCTTCTGCGTATATGATGGCCATGAAAGGGGATTATACTACATTGTAGAATGCTATCGAGGAGATCCAAAGTAGCAAGAATCTTGAACAATCGTGAATTAATTAATTTTATATATAATTTTGTTGTTGGCACATAAAAATCATATTGCTTGGGTTAAACAAAATTTGTTTTATTAATATTTATGCAAGAATCAGATATTGAATCTCAATTTTTATATCAATCTATTGTCTAGCAATAGGAGGGTGTGGAAGAGAAACAAATATTGATGAGTAGATTGACTGAAACCAATCACATTTAGGATGAATCAGTTCAAATCAATTTAGATTCTGAGATTATCACTTAGTTAAGGGAAGAAATTGTAGAGTTGCATAAAAAAAATCAATATTTAACAGATCAAATTAACGAGAGAGATAATCAGATTGCTCAATTAAAAGAGAAGTTGTAAAGATAAACACTCTTGAATGAGGCATACCAAATTGCAGAAGTGTAACTCAAACAATAAGTTGAGGAGTTGAAGAAGAAAGTAACAGAACAATAAGAGTAAACACCTTCTCAACTGGAAAATTTATCCAAGTTCAATTTTGATTTCAGTTGGGTCAATCACATGGAAAGAGATCTCTCACATGATGGTTTATTGGAGCGATATGATCGTTACAGATCCAACAAGAGGTTAGCACCAATTTAAATTAAGCCATATTCAGAAAAGTTCAGATACAACAATAAATAAAATAGCCCATACTTTGAATAGTCACAATAGACAGAGAGAACCTAAAATATACAGAAGAAGAGAATCAATTAAAATAAAAAATGATTTTGTTTCATCCCTTTTTAAAATTGACGATTAATCACAATTGAGATAATCTATATTACTCCTATTACTGATGTATTCAATAACAATACTAAATAATTTAACACTCTCCTTTTTAGCATTTTTTCATGTTATTTAAAATAATTAGTCCTTCTTCTCACAATTCTATTATATCAAATAATAAATTATTATAATTATTCAAATTAAACACACATTTTGAATATCAAACTATTGAGCTCTTTTCTTAATCAACAATTGATAAGTAAGAATTAAATTCATTCAATGTAATTATAACTAAGAGGATCATTTTATCTTGTAAATAAACCAATTGAAACGTAAAAATGAAAACTATAAAATACCAAAAAATGTAAGATTGTTTTTATAATAATTTTGTATCTTAACTTTAAATTCAACTGAATTTCTATTAATTTAATGTTAAATGATCATTAAATAAAGATATTATCAAACATTTAAGTTATAATCATTTCTCAAAATATTGGAATTAAAGAGTAAATGGAGATTAATACATAGTATATTCTATCTTTCAAATCGGCAAGGATGAGAATATTAATTCAAATTTTTGAATTTACGCATTGGATATACACCAAATAGAATTAGAGTTTTTTGATAATATCATTTATGTATCAATTTAAACGGCTTGCTAATGTAGATGGAATAATGGATAAAAAATTAATAGAAACAACATAACAATAATTGTGAAGTTTATATATAAATACAGAATTATTATACATCAATTTCATATTCCATATTATAAAATGTGATATATGACTCTAAAAGGAGTAGATATGCAATATGAGAATTGAACTATTGACTGTAGTATAATTGGGCCGAATAGTAAAAGAATGATTGGAATAATAGCAGCTACAATGATTATATTGACAATTGATGTAGGTGTACCAACTGGTGGCTCGTTGCAATTCTTGTCAGTTTCACTTAAAAATAAAGGATCTTAGCATTTTGTGCAATTTTCTAGAGATGAGCACTCTAAACATCCTTTCGAACAATCAAGACAAATTTTTCCCTCTTTATATTTCCCTTTAGGACAATCTGCTAGACATTTCGAATCATAAAGAATTAAGCCAGGTTTACAGACATTGCATATATCTTAACTTTAACACTTTTCACAATTCTCTGGACATGGCTTACAAATATAATCTTTAGACATGAAGTACTCCATTTCCTCACATTAAATGCATTTATCCTTCTAACATTTTGAACAATGCTCCTATTTACACTTGAAACACTCCCCATTGTCTAAAAAGTATCCATACTAATCACATGAGGTGCATGAATCCTTTGTGCATATTTGACATCCCTATTTACACTATTTGCATTCGAAGTTGTCAAGGTAAAAACGAGTAGGTTAGCATTTAGTGCATTGATCTTTGCTCATGCAGGTTAGACATGGGGATTGACACTTTGAGCATTAGTCTTAATTTAGATAAAAGGTGTCATCAATACAAGATTGACATAAACCAGAACGGCAAACAGAGCAATTGGGTTGACATTATTTACATTCTAATTTATTTGCATAATACTTATCTGGACATTAATGGCACTATTCCTTATCACAAATTAAGCAACTATGTTTACATTATAAACAATTAATGCCCTCTTGATAATACCCTGATTTGCAAATCAAGCATTCCTAATAATTGCATTTTAAGCAGTTTTAACTACATGCTATGCATTACCCTTGATTGAGATAGTAATTAGTTAGACATTGGACACAGGCTTATGCAACATTACATCTAACACAACCTTCTCCACATGTCTAACAAGTCTCAAAAGTGCAATTGGATTAGCAATATTAGTTTTAACATAGTTAACAACTACCATTTTGATCCTAATAATAATGATCTAAACATTTAATGCATTAGGAGTCTGTGCACTCCTAACAATTTTCCCATTTTGTAGAACATAAATTACAAGTCTCACCATCAAAATAATAGGAATCGTTGCAGGATTGACAATCACTTGATGAGGAACAAATTTTGCAATTGCTAAGACAATGGTTGCAATCATGATTTTCAATATAGGTACCAAATGGACATAATTAACATCCAGATTGATTACATGCTTAACAGGGTGGGTTGCATGGTTTACAAATACCTGAGAATAAATAGATTTGTGTAGACTAGATGCAATTTTGACAAGAGTCTTTCGAATTGCATGCCAGACAATTGGCCGAACAAGGTTCACACTAATGATTTTAATTCAAGAAGTATCCTGTTTAACATTGAGAACATAGGTTATTCGAACAATTTAAACAATTATCGAGTTGGCAATTAACACAAGAAGTGGAACCTTCAATACAAGTAAGACATTTATTGAAGTCTGAACATGATATACAAGGTGATACACAATCAAAACACATGTTTCTGTTTATGTCAAGGTATTGATTGGTTGCACATCCAGTACAACGATCTGGGAATATATCGCAACTTTGGCAATTGGAATTGCACTATAAGCATTTATCTAAATCCCAATCGCGGTATTGACCTTTGGGACAAGTGCAATTATCACACAGTTTGCAGATCTATGTTGTTGCTGAAATTAAGGGAAAGATGTAACCAGTTAAACACGTCTTACATGAGTGATCTGGAGTATTACACTCTTTACAATTGTCTGTGGTTAGGCATTTATAGCAATTCACGAAGTCTTTAGTACTGAAATTAAGTTCGTAATAATGACCATCAACACAGCTGAGACATTGTGATTTTGAATCTTTGCAGGTTCTACAAGGAGATGCACATTCGATACACTACCCATCTTTTTAAAAGTAACCATCTGCACATCCATACGTACATGTAATTTTCTAATTATTGAATTCACAAGGGCCCTTACAATATTTAGGACAGATAGTGCATTTGTTTGGAGAAGGACTGTAAGCGTTGTTCTTGCATTCAGTACAATACTCATGAGAAGCACATTGACTACATGCAAAGGGACAAACTATGCACTTATTGTTTAACAAGTAGAATTCACTTTAACACTTTAGACAAGTAGTACTATTACTACACTTACTACAGTAGTTAATCTTCAATGAACAGTTAATACATTAACTATTGGACAAATACGAGCTATCTGAACAACTCGTGCAGGCCTCAGAAGAGTTCTCACATGCCTTACAATTATTACTGCACTTTAAGCAATCTCCATCCTTCCTATAATATCCTATTGCACACTCAATACAATTGAAAGATGTAGAAGTGCAAGTAGCACACTTTAAATCGCATTGCTAACATTATTTCTAAGTTAAGTAGGATCCTTTGTAGCAGTCTGTACACTCATCTCTACTATTTTAGCAAGACTTGCATGTTTTTGAACAAGGTTGACATTGATTATTGTTTAAATACTTACTTATACCGCATTTGTCACATTTATCCTATTCATAACATGTGATACATTATTAGTCAAGGCAATTTTATAGTTGGCATTTCTATTCTTAATTTAAAACGTAAGTGGATTTACATTCTGTGCATTTATCATAGCTTTCACATTCTTTGCAATTTGAATGGCACTATGCGCATTATCCACTAGACAAATAGTACCCTGAATAACAACTCATGCAAGTAGTTTAATCATCTTTGCATGTTTGGCAATTACTAGAGCATTTTTAACAGCTGGATCCATTCATGAAGTATCCATCTAAACATGATTGACATGTTTGTGAGTTTGTACATTCTCTACATGAACCTTGGCAATATTAACAGTTGACATTCTATACCAAGTTTGATTGACATTGAGTACAACATGATGGACAAGATGTCTCACATTGTCTGCACAATCCTGTTTGATTGTCTAATGTATACCCGGCTTGACATTCCAGACAAAGCTTTTTTGAAGCACATCTTTTACATGGACTTTCACATAAAACACATGTGTTTGATTCCAAATAGTAGGAATCATTGATACATGATAAACATGTGCTGGTTGTGTTCAAGCAAGAATAACAAGGAGTTTAGCATGATACACATTTATTTTGAATTAATGAAAACCCAGGTTTACAACTATAACATTGAGAAGCTGATTCAGAGCAAGATGTGCATTGAGAATCACATGCTACACATTCCATCTTATCAACAAAATAACCGATTTTGCAAACATAACATTGAGATGAATTTGGACAAATCTAACAATTTCCAATGCATAAATTACATTATCCAATTGATTCATAATATCCTTCTACACATCCAGTGCAAAAAGAGTCTGAAGTACAACTACTGCATTCCTTTTTACATTTTGTACATCCATAATTTGAGTTTACATAAAATCCTTTCTGACTTTCCAAACATTTGCTTGCATTTTCACATAATTTACATCCAGTTATAGAAGTGCATGGTAGACATTCAGAATTAGTAAGAAAGTAACCATTTACACAACTAGAACATTGGGTTTGATTTTAGCATGTTTTGCATGGAGAAATACAATCTTTGCATGTGAAGTTATCTATGTAATATTTTTCAATGCAACTTTGGCATTAGGTTCCACTTGTGCAGGTTGAACAGGACGGTGGACATTCGAGACACTTGTTATTAGATTCATAATATCCATCATCACAAACTTCAATAAAACTGGTGCATGTAAGATCATCAGGCTTACACAGAAGACAAACTCCCTCAGTGCAACCTAAAGCATTCTGATTCTTTCCTTTAAAGTAGCATTGCTTGTCAGCATGGAGTTCGCCCTTGCAAACACAAGAGTTTGTTGTTGAATCGTATTCAGCGTGTAGTTTACACACTTTACATGTTTCAATGTTGTTGTAGAAACTACAAATAGAGCAAAGTGGATCCTTGCAAAATCCCATTAGTCGAATTGCATAGTCAACCAATGTTTCTACAAAGTTGATGGCAACAAAGTTATCGCTTTCAAAACTCAAAAGGAATGACATCACTAATTCGTTCTAATTTTACACGTCTAACAGAGTTCTTCTGACCCCCAGTAATATAACTAAGGTGTTCTATCTTATGTATTAATAAACATCAATTATATATTTACTATTACCAAATGTTTTAATACTGCTATATTTATCATAGGTTTTATCGTTGTATTCTGCATAGTCAAATACAATTGTCAAACTACCTTCAATCTCAGTGCCAATTGCCAGCACATTGTCTACTTTAATTTAAATGATATGTTTGTCTTGATTGTTTATAAAGTACTTGTTGTGATTTTCAGGCAAAAGCGGATTTTTTATATTATCAGAAAACTATATGGTCACAGTCTTCATGATATTAGTATCAAAGTTAGTTAGTTGAGCATTTTAGAAAGGAAGAATATTACTCATTAATTTAATAGGCCCACCCTCTTACTGACATTTGACTAACACTTCCTATAATCCTGCTTTATGTTCGCTCAGCACACACTTTTGGGACGATTTTAATTCTTAATAGTGATCTTCGCAAACGCACTTTCCACCTTAGAGAACTCTGTGATTCTCGCTATAACAACTAAAGCAATTATTTCTTTGCTTAAAATCACAATCCTTACAATTGCTATTGCATTCATAGCATTGATTAGATTAAATTCTACTTAGTTCCTTATTTGAGCTAGAACATTAACAAACACCTTCTACCAAAATTCTGGTTGGTTGGCATTAATTACAATTGTTTGCCATGTCGCAAATTTTACAAGTGTTATCGCAAATTCCCATTGCACAATCCAAGAATAAAATATAGAAAAAATATAAAATCATATTTTAATTTATAAATATTCTATCAAACAGAAAGTTGAGTTATTAGCAATTTATCCTTTTTATCTGCTTTCATAGTACCACATATCCCTAAAATAAAGTTAAGAATAATTTTTATAAATATAATTTTGTATCATCCCATTCTCCTCCAAAATCTACTATAAAAAATCTTTTCCAGTTCGTTAGAATCTTACCTTACAACTCCAAGATATTTAGCATCCTTACCATCTATTATAATTTATGTTGAAATCACTGATAATCACATTCTTGCTTTCATCAGATCCGTGCAAGGTCATTTTCAATTTTATTCTATTTGTCAAAAACCATTTTCACGTTCAACTGAAATCCTCTTCTTATTATTCCTCAAAGGATATCTGACTATGGCATATCTTTGCTTACACTTCAACTACATCAAAGTTTCACTCAGAAAATGCACTTTCTCCACCGCAATTCAGAATTCCAATACATTATAACAATTATACGAATGCATATTGATCTTGTTGTATTTGATTAACGGCAGTTGTCTCAAGTTGAATAAAACTTTTGTTTCAGGTCTATAATTACTCAATATAATTATAATATTATTTAGCAATTTAATAAAATTTTTCATACTCCAAATTAGAGTAATTCCTCACTTGTTATGAAAGGTCCATTTATATGTTAAACCTATTGCTGCTTTGATTATGCTCAATTCAAGTGCATAAAAAAAAAGATTAAATAATTTAAATTCGCTTGTTCACCATCAATTCAATCATAATTATATGTGTATATTACACCACGCATAACTATATCTGAATTACTATAATTCACTTTATCACATTTTATTTTAAATGATGACCATATGCTCGCCACCTCGGAATTCATTTGCTATAACTTTGAATTTGAAAGACTTTAGTTGTCATTTACAAACAAGGTCAAGTTGTGGAAAACTAGATGTGTTCTCCAAGAAATCATAGAAATCCAAATGAGGAAGTTCAAATGAAACATATGAGAATGAAAAACTCTATAAAAGCATAGTATCAAAATCAGTATTTGAGTATTCCTTTGACAGGAGCTTTCTGTGATGAAGGTATATTACCAGTGTAAAACGTTGAGATGAAATCCACCCTTTGTGTCATCTTAAATTTACAAACTGAATTTTGGGGTTTAAACTAAACTGAAAAGTCTCGAATTTGCACATCTTCAATATCTCCTTGGGGTTTGAATGGTTTGTTTAATTGCGATTGTGAGTTCATTTGTAATAATATTATTGTTAATTAATTGAAATGATATTTTACCCATTTTTTAATTAAATTACTCCTATTCATCATAACAAAATAACTGGTTAGTTTAATATAATATATTCGATATTCTTAATGATTAGGATTTGTTTTTTTTGATATTTTCTACTACTGAATTAAGAGAAAATCAATTGCACTTTTGCAATTCCATTTAAATTTTGATTGCTGAAAGATGGAATTCTCCAAGAACTAAAAAGAATAACCAAGGGAGGGATTTTTTATTTTACATGCAAAAATCAAAAAAGTAATTTGTCTTTTTATCAACATGATATTTTTCGTAGAGATATATATCATATTTAACAATATCCTGTTACTTTTTTTGAAATAATATATTTTCAAAATTTAGTTTTTATTTTAACTAATTTATCCTTTAAAGTTGTAACTAAATTTGATAAATCACATTCTTTCTTAATCAAATTCATCAGATATAAATCCATTATCTCAATAGAATTATTATTTTAAAAAGGAAATTAATAATAGAATTAGGATTAAATTCTAATAATATACAGCTAATAGATATTTTAACAAGATGGTATTGCATCACATAGTTATTTTATTTGATCAATTAAGTTAATCCTTCTGTTATTACATATAAAGGCTTATGGATTTAAAATAGATTAATTAGTATTCTTCTTTATATATTTTATGCTATTGGTATAATCGAAATTATTTCAATAGTATATGAAACTAATAGAAATTTGGCAAACTAATTTAAAAAGTTGTATAAATAATCTTGTTGCTTTATTCCTCAAATTTAACCAGTATAAAAGTATTGCAATATAAATAAATGCTATTGAGAAAGTTTTTGCTTCCTTCATCAATTTTGTGGATGTCATATTAGAAAACCAGAATCCTTCTCATATGGTAGTAATTGAACTATAGTATTTGATAAAAATTATTCTATAAGGAAATTATTATAGAATTCTAAATATTTTTTTATAATTAAGATGAATAAAATAATAGTTTTTATTTATATTACTTTTTCAACATTTAAACAATTTCTATTTTGATATAATATAACATAGAATTTAAAAAAGAAATTAATGGGATTCGCTTCATATTAATTTTCATTCCTTTTTCAAATACATAAATTAAGCCTATTTCATTTAAATAATATTTTAATCTAAAAGAACCTCGCTGACTCCAAACTCTTATTAAGTTTAATTTTCTCATTTATCACAAACATGTCTATCATAATACTACTCAAAATAATCAATTGCTTGTGTTAATTTATATAAAGCAATAATAAATATTATTATTAAATGAGTACAAATATTAAATAAAATATTAAATTAATAAATGAATAGATTGCTACTCTTTGCTTCAGATTGTGGAAAGGTTGAGTGTCTGTTAAACAGTTTCGAAAAGTACTTCAATGTGTAGGTGATTGAGGCAAATTACAAATAGGTAGTGAATGAAGTATTGAGCAAAGACACTCAATGTGTATTTGTCACAGAGAATAGTTTGAAATCTTAAATAATATTTAATAAGTTTGATAAAATAAGAGCGGCAATTTGTTACAATTAATACTTTGTATAAATGTGCAGAGAAGTAGTAGCATTAGAATATATTAGCATAATGATGCCAATGTGATCATTATACCACTAGACAATATTGCCTAGAATGTAGCTATACATTTCGCATAGGGTTTGTCACAGGCAGAATTTGACACCAAAACCACTCCAAATCATTAAAGAAGAGTTAATAAATTAAATTTAATATAATGATATCATTGATTCATAATTTGCGTATTGTTAAACATCTATATACAATATCAGATATTCTCTTAATATCATCTTGGGTTTTAGCATAGACCTTGGTCTCATTTTATAGGATCTCCACTTTGGCACAGATTTAGTTGTCCACATTGATGAATTCTATATGTTGCAAGGAATGGTATTGGGGGAAGAGACCAAATTGTTTTTGTATTTCTTCTGAAATTCTCCTGATGGTTTCCTCTTGAATGTATCCTACTACGTACTAGACATCAGGAGGGGAAGACTTCTGCAATTCTGCTTCATTATTGTCGGTGATATTCATTTTGACATTACTAAGTTCAATGTTGCCAATGATGTTCTTTCCTGATCCTTATATTTTTGGTTGGATTGGGACAGTGATTTAACTGATTCTCAATGTCATTTTTTAGAGCATTTTGTAATTGAGTACAAGGGATTTGGTTTGGAGAGTAGAGGATTCTGGAACAAGGAATGTTTTAATGGAGGAGTCAGGCCAGGGAATGAATTCAGGTTAGTTGTTGATTGGTGTTTTAGCAATGCAAAATTTGTATGAGGATTTGATTTGATGCAATAGTTTTTCATCGTAGAATTCAGGATCAATTAATTGTAAGCCAAAGGAAAGGTCTGCATTGCTGACCTTTTGAGTGTAGATCGTCACCATTTACCCAATTTGTTCAAGTAGATCAAATAGAAATACAGCTTGAGCCAATCGAAGACTACTGTCAAAGATGAAGAAAACACTTGGAGTAATCCCTTTGAGAGTTTCGTTGAGAGAGAATCCTTCGAATTTGATTTTTTCAATGGAAGGTACCACAATAATCTTTTGCGCTTTAATTAGATAGAGGATTTTGTTGAAAGGATTCTGCGGGTTTTCTTTCATGATGCTTGCTTACAACTTATTGTTCAAGTACTCCACCAAGGAATTAGCTATCAGAGTGTAATTGTGGAATTCCGAACTTATGATGAATATCTTAAAGCATTAATGTTGCAAGTGGTCATCTCTAATTTACTTAATGGTAATATTTACATCTCATCTTGCAAGTCTAATATGGTCTAATATGAATTGAAGGGGATGACAACATTTTAGCTCTGCTTTAAGAATTCGTAGGTTTTAGACAGGAAGGAATGATTGATTCTGCTCTGCGGCATGCCATAGATGAGATAGTCAGCCTCCTTGAGTTTCATGGATATCTCCTTGTGAGCGTAAGTCATATTGGTGTTATTGAGGCTGTTGGCAACAATAATTTTGAAGTAATCACCCAGGGATATTATGTATGCTGAATCTCCTATGCCGGTTCCACTGGATTGGGCTTCGATGGAGATGGCTTCTTAGATCTTGGTATGACTACAAAAATACTTAGAGTAAGGGAATCTTGACGATCTATCCGTAATTAACAAGGGTGCAATCCATCTCTTTGAATGGGAATGCCTCTGTGAATTCCTAGAAATTCGTGTGATAGAGTTCTTCAAAGGATCTAAACGATTCTTCTTCCTTGTTGTAGTTTTCCTGGAAGGAATAGAAGTGACGATTCCTTATCTCAGACCACTAATAAAGTTCTTTGATGAAATGCTACCCCAAAAGGTACGTAGCATTGGTGCATATGATTTAAGGCTTGAATTGCTTCAATCTCACCAAGTAATTAAGCAAACACAGATCCATCTGAGTGCATACCAGAAAAACATCAATCTCATTGAAGATTATGTGATTGATGAATTACAAATCAAACCTCACTGTATTGTTCATAAACAAGTACTCCCCTTCCTTGAATGAGTAGTCCTTCGATTCATTCAACTTCACCTTCTTTAGTTTCTATTGAATCGTCAAATACATCAGATCATGAAGAGGGAATCCCTGGCTCCACATCACTTTGATCTAAGAAGGTATTACCATAACTTTACTCCTGCAATCTCAAGCACGTAGAGATACGGAAATTTACGCTCTAGGGAACATAGTGGGTAAAAGAATAATTAATCAGCCATTTTTTTTAATAATCAATTAGCAATTACAACACTCTGTTTGCAAACAGGACAATTATTATGCTGCAATAACCATGTCTTTATGCATTTCGCATGGTAATGATGATTGCAACCCAATCGTCGATACTTCTCCCCTATCTCCATGTTGCATTGACAAACTGGACACACTCCTTGGATGTTATCACTCGCCTAAATTTCTCGTTTAGGAATCCTCCTTATGTCCTCTCTCGTCATCCCATTCGACACATTTCTAAGAACCCTTAAATTAGAGAATACCCTATCTATTCTCCCAGTGACAGCAATTGTTCATAATTCATATTGTCTACATCGATAATTTGACTTTGATATTGTCTCAATCTCTACTATAGTTATAGGAGTGGCAACACTTGGGCTGTCAATCTGAATTGCAGCAGAAGTTCCCTCATTCCTAATAAGGAATGAAAGTGATCTTGTTGTTGTTGTTGTTGCTGTTGCGGTTGCTGTTATTATAGGGCTAAGAATTTCATCTTGTAATCTTTCTTCTTGTTTCTCAATTTGGCAATGAGTTCTTTCTATTATTTGATTTCCTTATCCTTATATTCGATCTTGTGAATATAATAGTTAATATCACTTTCTCTTCTCTTTAGTTGTCCTTCTAATTTGTGAGCTAGCTTGGATAAGAATAATAATACTTCGTTCATGATTTAAACTTTTTTATCATAATCTTAATATTTAGTATTAAGCTAATGTCTTAATTGTTCATTTTCATACTATAATTTTTAAAATTCTTCTTTACTAAAATAGTTAAATCTCATTCATTACATTAATAGAATTGAATTATACTCTGGTACTTAAGAGTGCGATAGAGGAATTTGTTGAAGAACCTTCCCAACAGGTTTCAATTGTACTTGAATGAAATATTCTATTTTACTTGTTTCAGCCTTTGGCTTCTGCACTACATTAGGTTTTCGAAAGGCAAACTATTTGACTTATTACATCTATATATTTATTAATATTCAATTTTTTGTGTAAATACATGGATTTATATTAATACATTTAATTACAAATTTACCAAAATGATACAGAATTAAGGGTTAGAAAAAAAGGTGGAAAAATATCAATACAACACTTTACATATTTTGGGAGATGGGTCATATGGCACCGTGTATAAGGGCATCAACACTTTGACACAACAACCAATTGCAATTAAAGTAATTCCCAGATCGAAGGTCTATGATGCTGAAGCCTTGAGCTTTGAGCTCAGAATCTTGGCCAAGTTGAAGGGAGAAAACATAGTCAGACTGCATGAAACCTTGATGACTCAAAATAATTATTATTAGGTCATTGATCTATGCGATGGAGATTTAAAGCAGTATGTCCCAACACTCCTATTTTTAGATTGCTTGATAAGTAGAAATTCTTGACTGAGCAAGAAGCCATCAACTTGATGATAGATCTCTTGAAAGGATTCTTGGAATTGATTTAGAATGGTATCATCCACAGAGATGTCAAACCAGCCAACATCCTAATCTCCAAGGGGAAGTACAAATTGGCTGATTTTGGTTTTGCGAGACTAGTCGATAATTATGCTCAATAGTTGTTTGTGACTGTCCTTGGCACTCCGCTGTACATGAGTCCACAATTGCTGCAAAACCTATAGTAAAAATATACTCTCATCGTGTAGATATTCAACCAAATGCGACATATGGTCATTGGGATTCATATTCTATGAGGTACTATTTGGGCGAAGTACATCAATCACTTCTATCTAGCTCCATGGAATGCCAACTCCATTCCAGAACTAATCAAGAACATCAATGAGAAGCCTCTTTTGTTTCCAGACAAGATCAAGCAAGTAAATGATTTTGTGAAGGATGTCATAAGAAGGTGTCTGGTCATCAATGAGGGTATTTACTATTTAATTTATCACGATCAGATGAGAGAATCGGTTGGTATGATCTGTATAAGCATCCCTTGTTCGCCAATCACTTTAAGGACATTGCTGATTTGGAGGAAATTTGCAATGTAAAAAATGAAAATGATAGTAGAACAAAGAGAAAATGATAGCCTAAACACTTAGGAATGAGATAGTCAGAAAAGATCTCTCACTCGACTAGTTAGTCATCAAATTGAATTGGGGTCCTCAAGTGACCATAAAGGATATCGATAATCTTTTTACAAGGGTTGATCCGCAGTTGTAAAGAATTCAAATTGAGCACATCTTTAACAATATGGAAAAAGCAAACAATCAATATCTAACCTTGTAGGAGTTTTAAAGATGGTTGGACAAGTTCTAGGTAGAGACGATAACAATTTAAACCTTTAGATCCCTTTTTCATCTTATCGACAGAATCCTATGGAATGTTTTAGAGTAATTAAATAAACGATGAAGAATTACAATCGAACCTTGGATCAATATTTCGATAAATTTAATGAAGCAAAGGATGGAAAACTAAAGTATGAGGAGTTTAAATAATTCATTTTGTAATGAAAGCTTTTATATATTAATGTAGGCGGTGTAATAATCAAATTTTTGATTCTTGGATTAAGAGTTCCTTTGAATTTCTAGATAGAAAGAAACAGGGTTTTGTGACTCTGTAAGAATTACAACAATAGCTCGATAAAACCAATTGATAATTATTTAAATTATATATGCAAATCATTATTAATTAGGTAGGATGGACAGGATCACATCTGCAATCTTATTAAACTTTTCCAGTTGGTACTTCCTCCTGATTGCTGTCATGTTGAAACTTTTCAAAAGTGAAATCACCGGTAGGAATTCTGACAGACATTCCCTCAATTCCTCTTGATCTTCAATGTAATGTAAGGATGAGGGCAAGACCTGAGGAGATCGGAGCAAATTGATAGCTAGTAATATGGAAGTGGTGGCTAATAATGAGGAAGAGAACCTAATTTAGATTTTATAGTTACTTCAAGCATTTGATATCCAATAGGGACAATTCCAGAATCATGCGGGAGGCATAGTTGATTTTGTCACAAAGGTTGGCTCCTTGGATCTATCGTTCTAAGAACTTGAGTGGGGAGGTGTAGGTCAAGTTGAATTGGACGGTCAAGAGGATTTTGCTCTCCATTTCTAATTTGTTGATAAGGCTGCAGAAATACCTAAGATTTCTTCTTTGGTGTAGGCATTGTCACACACATGCACGAAATCCTTCAATTCAGGTGCATAGATCTCTTCGAATTTGGATGCTATGAATAAAGATGCAATCCCAACCAATTGTAGTTTGTTTCGCATAATTGTGTTCTTTGACAAGTAGCGATCGATTAGGTTGATTGTCAAATAAAGGGTTTCTGATTACAACTTAAATTTGAGATGCACATCCACCAGCCAATCTATCAATATTGAACGCATCTGATTAGTGATATCCAATTATAAATTCATATAAAATGGAGTCTAACACATGAACTTATGTTGATTGACACATAAGTAATCAAATATATCACCCACATACGGATTCACCAATTCTGGAGGTATAGTCTCCTCCTCCATTTTAAGAAGAGGCTTCGAACATATGAATTGTGAAGCAGAACGAGTGGGTATTCGTTAAATGTTTGTGAGTTCATTTCCAAACTATCTATTACGTGTGGTCATAAAGTTATTATATGACACTCTCACATAATTGTTCTCGTTGTTCTGCTTCATTAATATTTAAATTAACTGTTATAATTAAAAATTTTCATATTTTCATATAGATTGATAATCAGATCTCTATTCTCACAAAAGCACTCTCTCAAACAGTGAAATACCATCTCTCCCTCCTTCTTGAAGTTTAAGTCAAGCACCTCCTTCACTTACTCCTTGTATACTTAATTAATGTTCAATCTCAAATATCAAGCATAATCATTAATATGATTGGCTGATACCTTAACAGCAAAGTAATTTTTTGCAGCTGAAACCTTTCATTTAGGGTTATCTCTGCATAATGTGATATTAACCATAAACTAATGGTTGTTACTTTAGTTAAACAGTTTAATATAAACTAAATCCTTCATTCTGTAATTCTGAACAATCCGGAGTGGGATTATTTTTATTTGATTCTCAGCTGACATAACATTACTATTATCTTAGAACTCTTACATTTTGTAGTAAAAGGTTAATATGGTTCTATCTGAGTATTGATATTATTTATACAGATATCTCAATAATATCTATAAAAAAATGAGGTTTCACTGATAATGATAATTATTATGAAGTGAAAAGTGTTGAATCACATCAAGTTCCAAAAATATATTTATCCCGCCTCCAAAACTTTTCTAACTCTTTTAAGCATACAATCAACAACCTTAGTAAATTTTAATTGTTCTTAAGGAGTCTAAACTTCTTTTACACATTCTGAAAAAATGACAATAGTTTTTCGATGAAATAGCTTACAAAAATTAAATACAAAAATATAATGAAATATTTACTATATTTCCAGTGATAACAATTTTTAAGGATACTTGAAAGAGAGACGTTTTAGCTGTGTGCAACTTCTTAAAAATATTTACGTTATAGGGTTTTTCTAATAAAAAGCGTATAGATAAGTAATTTCATCAAAATTAAGTTAAATTAAGCAAAATTTAGAATAATTTTCTCTTGATGTTATTGAATTTACTAGAAGGATTCATAAAATAAAATCATCATATAACTTCAATTATACATTTAAATGTAATAATATTTTTGGCTAATTTGTGTTTAAAGGTTACGTTATGTAAATATTTTTTTATTATTTTTTAAATGACTTTAGATTACTAAAATTTCAATTTTAACCAGCAAATATTTTTCAGTATATTTAATTAATGCAAAATAGATATTTTATTTTTTTCATTATTATTATTTCAAAATGTCTGAAAAAATCACCCAAGAAAAAATAAAATTGGAAAAAAGGTAAGGAAAGAACAGAATATTATTTTGATGAAGTTTAGAGAATAGATGAGAAATGGATGTTCTAAAATTGCAATCAAGAATTTATAAGGGAGCAAGATAAATAAAGATATATTTTTGAGTTTCATTATAAAAATTGTATTGAAGAGGAAAAATGTTGTATAATGATAGTAGCAAGAAGAAAATGATATATATAGGTAAAATATATAGTATTTGAATCTGTTTTTCATTTTAATAATTATTCAACTTATTTCTTTATAATGATTGGTATGAGATTAAGAATATCAATCAGAATTAAAAAATTAATGTAAATGGAAAAATAAACTTCTTCTTTGCCTGTAAATGTAATATTACAGGTATTACAATGATGAATGTCAATAATTTTATTTAACTTATGTGTATAAAGATATAAAATTATAAACAAATAAGGAAGAAAAGAAAAAGTAACGAACCATAAGATAGTAAATGTATTTAGCTCTTAATTAACTTCCAAGTAATGGAAAATAGCCTCAGAATTAGGTAATTATATTAAACCTGCAATTTAAGTATCATATTTTAGAATTTCGATTGATATGTATAACAGCAAGTTCTAGAGTGTCCTGATTTTCTCACTCAAACTGATTTGCTTTTTTATTTGATGAATAGCTTAAGTTATCGATTTAAGAATTTGTAGGTTAATTATTTATAGTAATTTAATACAAATAATATCACTACAGGAAATACTGAATCAAAAATATAAAAGTATGAAATTAATTAAACATATACATATAAATGTTTTTAAATGAATAAAATTAATATAACTAAAATAATTCAATTTTGTTTGAATTAGAAATATAATTTACTTTATATTATTAAGATATTTTGAATGCAATATCACTAAAATTCAACAATAGTTTAATAGAATTATTTTTAATATGGTTAAAAATTATGATTTAAACAGAACAATCATTTATAGAAAAAATGAGAATAATGTTCATAATCACTATCATAGCTGTACTCTAATTAGAGTCAGTATCAAGTCTGTCAATCCATGATCGTGAATGTGAGAGATATTTGGAAAAATTTGGAGGACCAGATTTTCAAGATGGGGCAACCTTTTCAAAGGTTTCTTTATCTGGAGATGTTTCCTTTATTGCAGGAACAGCTAATGCAAAGATTGACATCAGTTATTTTGATTTTAATCTTTTTAATCATCCAATCTATTTTGGTCTTGTTAAAGAAGATGGTAAAACAGAGGATTAGGTTTGTCTTGAACTTAAATTATGGTAATATACATCTAGTACATTCGATAATCCGGTTTAAGTCACTGATTTAACAATAACACCATCAAGCAATTCAGAAAAACGATAGAGATATTATTCATTCATTATTCCTTAAAATGAATTCAAAGCCAGATTAGTTGAAACATCTAATTCTGATTAATTCATTTACGCAGGATATTATTCAATTGCTTTTTATGCAGTTGGTACAGATATGTTATAAGAAACATTCTTTTTTAAATTTTCTCTTTCTATTGATAAAGCAACAGGTGCTGCACTTGAATCTTCATTCGAATCTTTGAGTAATAACTACATTTTCTATCATAAATCAGAGGATTATAGTGTAGAGTGGTGCACCGATTTGAGTTGTACAGAATTTGCAACTCCAGATCTTCATTTAAATGATGAGTTTATTCTCAGATAAATATTTGCAGATGATTATGGTTCAAGATTGTACTTGACCAATACACAGGTTTGGTACACAGGAAATGGATTATTGAAGAGAGCATCACCAATTTTTATCTATAATGCAACTCCAGGATAAGTAATTATTAAATTTAAGGCTGAAATTGCATGGAGAGAAGTCACAATTAAAGTTATGTCCACTTTGTCATTATTGTAAGCAGGAAGACGAAAATGGGATGAATAAATTGAATTTATTCAACTCTCTGGAGAAGCTAAATAAATTGAGTGTATTAAAGCAGAAGGATCAGATGAATGTGCAACATGTGAATAAGAATTCGAGGCTAATGGATTTGCTCATGATGGTTGTGAACGTTAATAATCTTCAGAATAGTTAGGAGTTGTTTTCTGGGCCATAGTGTTAATTGTAACAATAATATTCCTTAATTTATCTGATATTATATCATACATTTTATGATTAATTTTTCATTACTAAATGTTATGTATATAAAAATTTAATTTCACTCTTAAAATTACATTTACTATAAACTTAATATTAATATTCACAAAATTGAACAGTCCTCATTTTCAAAATATCATAAATCTTATTTTCGTATTTAAACAAAATTTCAATCATTTAACTTGCCAACAAAATGATAAATATTACTAGTTAATTCTTCTGAAAATACTTGCTTTTAATATCAAAAAAGCTATTGATAGTATAAGGAAGTGACTATTGAAGTTGCTGCACATTTTTTTACATTTGTCATTTTTAAATCCATTTTATTTTTAACATTCTCTTCTTATGAGTGTTTCTATTTAATAAAGAAGCTAATCTTTATCTCAAATAAGCTATCTAAATTTATTAACATAAAATTTCTGAAGTTAAATTAATGAATTTACTAATAATTAAGTTTATCATAGAGATGAAATAATATTTTTTGATCTTCTTTAGTTTTGTTATTTAAATTTATCTCATATACCTTTTATTATGTAAATCTAAATAACAATAATTCTACTTCATAATTAAATAAATCGGTCTTTAATTTCATATCGAAAAGAAATCCAATAACTTAAAATTTTTATTTTACTAAGATGGATATATCAGGTTCTTGATAGTAACTGAAAGGTAAAACAAGTTCTATTGCAATCTATTTTTAGAATCACATATTTTTAATAAAGAAAAGCTTTTATAAGTTTAGAAGAAATTGTTGAAGAAATTAGAATGTTGTATGTGATAAAAAATAAGTGAATCAAATTGTGAGAACTAATAAAATTGCAAAGAAAACAATTGCAATCTAATGGGAAAATAAGCAACTTGGACATCCATCATGAGCAAATCCATTAGCATCACATTCTTATTAACATGTTGCACATTCATCTGATCCTTCAGCTTTAATACGCTCAATTTAAAAAGTTTCTCCAGAGACTGGATCAAATTCAGTTTAGGCTTTTGATGATCCAATTCAGAAAAATAATGGAGATATTATACCTTCACAATTCGAGGAAAAGAATTAGACACTAGATTGGTTAAAACATCTAATAATTCATTTATACAGGATATTATGCACTTGCTTAATATGCGGCTGATGCAGATTCGCTCTAATACGTATTCTTTTTTGAATTTTCAACTTTTATTAATAGGGCAATAAATCCTTTATATAACCTTTTTTCAAACCTTTGAGTTGTAGATCAAATTTAATTGTACAATTACCAAACCTTGCAATGCCTTATTTGATACATAATTGAAATGGTGCACTGATATTACATGCTCCTAATTTGCCATCCTAGATCTTCAATTAATGATGATTTTTTTTTATTTTGTTCTTTAATGAGTTGTTACAACAGCTGGAATGGATGCCTATTATTTAATAGAAACTGAAGTTTGGTACACAGGAGATGGGTTATTAAGGAAAACATGACCAATTTCTATAATTAATTCAATAAAAGGAGAAGTAATTATTTAATTGAAAGATGAAATTGCATGGAGTGCAGTCACAATAAAAGTTATGTCCACTTTGTCATCATTGTAAGCAGGAGGAAGAAAGATATTGGTTTAAACTGAATTTGATCCAGTCTCTGGAGAAACTTAATAAATCGAGTGTATTAAAGCAGGAGGTTCAGATGAATGTGCAACATGTTTATAAGAATGGAATGCTAATGGATTTGCTCATGATGGATATCCAAGTTGCTTATTTTCCCATTATATTGCAATTTTATAAGTTCTCACAATTTGATTATTTTTTATCATATTATGTCATACTGATTTGATCAACAACATCTTCTTAACTTATATAAGCCTTTCTTTACTTCAAAAAATTTAATATCTTTAAATTAAGCGTAACTGTATCAAATAGAAGGGTGAATTCTTAAGTATATATAATCTGGTTTCAATATTCAAAAAAAGCTGAATAAGTCATTCTCTATAGGAAGATCTATTGAGATAATTTTATAAATATGCAATTATAGATGATATTTTTACAAGAGGGTAGCCATATAGAATTTTATTTACCATACAAATATATTGTATCTTAAACATAATTAATTTTATTCCTCATAAATCTTATTGCATTTACAATCATATGTCTAAATTAAGGTCTATTACAATACAGAACTAATTATATCGATATATTTGAATTAAATTTCTTAATTATTTAATAGAATTAAAAATTACAAGAGATTTAATCTTTATATCCCTCGTTTTTATATATTAAGTCTATTTTATGTTCTCATAAGTATCTTTTTACGCGTTTTGGCAAGCATTTGAAATGCTTCAATAATAACTTTCAAGTAGAATTTATTTTTATAATCTCTTCAACAAAAGATTGATAATGATTATTTGCAAATATTTGGTTTAATATATAAATGTAGATAAAACCAATCAAATCATCATGAATAAAAATGTAACCACTAATAACAATACAGTTAAATTTGATTGATTGCAGGCTTCACATCCATCATGAGCAAATCCATTAACTTCGCATTCTTATTCGCAATTGGGGCATATTTCTGCTCCTTCAGCTTTGATACAATTTATATCTGGTAGACGTCCGGTATAAGTATCATAGGTCACTTAGGCCAACAATCTTCTTTCTCCAAATTAACTAGTCGATAAGATAGAAGAAACTTAAATAGAAAGATTATTCCATGCTATGTCAGCTTATAATTAAATGATAGCCTACCCTTTAATTGAATTATTCACAAAAATTGGGGTAGCTTTTTAAAGGATTCCATCACCAGTGAACCAAACTTCTGTATCAATTAAGTAGTAATCATTCTTATCACTTGTGTTCATCATTTATAATATGACAAATAGATCATTTTCATGAAGGTCTTGTTATGCGAATGCAGTACAAGTTAAATCTGTGCACCATTTTAAAATGCTATCTCCCTAATTCTCACAAAGTTCATTAGGGTTACATGATGCAGTTGCTTTTCGACTCAAAGGTGTAAAGGCTGTTTCTGCTTGATTTGTCATTCTATCAACAACTACTGCGAAATCAAAATAGAATGTGTATTAGAGTTGGTCGGTACCAGCAGCATAATAAGCAATTGCGTAATATCCTTTGTAAATATATTAGTTAGAATTAGAAGTCTTTACTAATCTTGTTTCAAATTACTCACCTGGAATGATGAATGAATAATATCTCCATTATTTTTATAAATTGTTTGATGGTGTTATTGGCAAATCAGTAACTTCTATGCCATCAGCATATTAGTTTGATGTGAATTTGTATAGTTTAAGGTCAAGGCATGTTTCATCCGCTTTTTTCCCATCCTCTTAAACAAGACCGAAAAATTTTAGATCATTGAAGCGATCAACATCAGAATATCTTAAGTTTACCTTCAGATTAGAAGTACCTATGATGTAGGAAACATCTCCTGAGAAAGCAAGCTTTGTAGCACCTGATCCATCTTCATTATTAGCAGTTCCGAATTTTTCCAAATAAATATTACATTCTGGACCTTCTATAGGGAGTCTTGCTAATCCAATAACAAAACAGGTAAATAGAAATACTAGCATTTTCATAGAGAATAATTAATCATAACTTTATTATTATCATTCTTTAGAAACACTCAATTTGAAGTCAATATTCTATTTAGTTTACTATAACAATTATTAAAATTCATTGTAAGGTAAACCTAAAGAAACGAATAACAAACGAAAATTATAAGATTCAAATAAAAATTGATCGCAATACTTGCATGAAAGAATGTATTTTTATATACTTAGATATATATACTCGCGCTTTACTAGTTTGTATTCTTTGTATATCTTTCATAGATGTTCCAGCATTAATTGTGTTTATTGTGTTTGGCATTCATTAATTTCTACATTTTAAAGCTCATTTTAGTTATTTTTTTTTTATTTTCTTTAACAAAATTAGTATTTATTTGCTATCGTTCAATAATTAATTTTATCCAAAATTCTGAGTGATAAAATGAATTGAATTTTCAGATTTAAACTTATTTGAAGTTTGTTAATTTTTCTCATCACAATGACTAATTAAATCTGTAGATCATATTATCTTCTTAGGGTGTTTTTATGAATTTGATTCTTAATTTAGTTACCTACATCCTCAATCAAAAAGAGAATCTAAGTCGTAATTCTAAATAGAATTGATAGGCATATGTAAAAAATTATTAATATAAAAATGATTGTTAATAAATTAAAATAATAATTCTGTGAATAAAGGTATAATTTAAAATTTCATAAAAGTTGAACGATTAAATTGGCTCTGTAGTTTTTCTTTTTGGAAAGAATAAAATAGTGATATAATTGATAGATCAAATAGTTGTAGCAAACAATAATATCATGTTTAAAAATATTAAGAATCCGTAACATATATGTCTATGGCATTCTCCGCATGAAGTAGAAGAAAATCCGTTTATATTGCATTCTTCTTCACAACTTGCGCACATCTCCGTTCCTTAAGGTCTTATACATCCAAGAGAAAAATCGTTTTCAGCTGGTTCTGGGAGTTAGCTTGAGTTGGTTGATAATGGATATGTGTAGAAATCTGGGCCTGAACCTGTAGTCGAAATCTATGACTTAACTTTAATCGAAACTGCTTTCCAAACTATATTTACTTTCAATAGCATATTAACTTATCCTTCAGTAGAATTTATAATTTAAATTGGAGTTACCTCTACATTTAAGCCTTCTCCAATAAACCATACCTGAGTATTAGTCAAACCGAAGCCTAAATAAGTTGGGCTTTTAATAACTTATTAAATATTAACAAAATCATTAAAGTGCAAATTTGGGGTTGTCTCCAAAAGTTTTTAACACGTAAGATCAGAGCACAATCTTAACTAAGTCTCAATTTTAATAGGGTCATAAGGTTATGGAAAAGAGTTTGTAGAAGTAGTAGACGAAGTAGACGAAGTAGACGAAAAAGCTCTGAAAGTAATTTCAACATTGTTTTCAAAAGTATAACTAGGAGGTTTTCTTGATAAAGTAGAAATAACCTTGATACTAACCTTTTTCCAAGCAAATGGCACTTTCAAAATAATTATAACTTAACCTGGAGTTGTATTATTATATCTCATAGTTTTTGCCTTTGTTTGAATTTAATCAATTGTATAGTAAACCTCAATATTTTCTAATTTTTCATTTTTAAATTCACAATCTACAATTACCTATTATAAAAAAAATATAGTATTGAGATATAAAAGTGGAGGCTCATTCAAATAAGATTAGCAAGTGAAGTTACTACACCATAATAGTTTAGATCCAGGAACAATTATAGGTGATTAATCAAATATAATTTAAGATGAAAATTTGGTATCGTTTAGTAGTTAAGAATTATTATTGACGTTGATAGTGAAATTAAAGATAAACTAATATTTAAAAGATCTTTTCAAAGTTGATTCAAAATTTATTGAATAAGATCCATCATATGTTTGAATGCTTGTATTTTAGGTAGAGATGTCATGTTTATTTAACTTTGATATTGGGATTTTGAACGAATAATATCTCCATTAAAAATTTGTATTATTTGATACAAAAATCGATAAATTTGTGAGTAATTAAGGTAATTAGTCTTAAGTGTTAGGCAAATGATACACTTGAAGATTAAGACACGTTGTTTCTGGAGTCTTTCCATCTTCTTAAATTAAACCAAAATAAATTGGATCTTCAAATAGAACATCAGTATATTTCACATTAATTTAGATATCCCGAGATTCCTAAATATACACCACATCTCCACTAAACTCAAGAGGTGACTTTGTCGTTCCAAATTTATAGAAATATTTATTGCAATCGATTGAATCGTTAGTTTAGCTTAAGGCAGTTACGATGAATTAGATTAATACTATGATTATTCCCATTTATGTTAATTAAATTTATTTCTTTTTTTCATTTTATGAATATCAATTTTAAAAATTAATTCTACTTAGTATTTTCTTTCTAAAGCACTGGTTAATTCAACTGAATTTTAGTACTCTTTACCTTTCGAAGTCCTTGCTTTTAAAGTTGTTGATTTGATGGAAAAATAATAATATTGTAAAAGTATTTTTCTCCTTGTAATTTCTATAACAATTTTGCAAATTTAATATCTATATTAAATATATAGAAAATAAATGAAAAAATGATCAATTTATTAATTTTTTTGAAATCCAGTTAATTTAAGCAATGATAGATGATAAAGAGAAGTATTGGAATGCTGTCAGTTAGTTCTATTTTCACATATATTACTTTTGAATAATGAATGATGAATTTGGATGGGAATTTCGACATTGACTTTGAAATCATTGAATGATGTGAATTCGATAAAAAAAAGACTCTAATTTCTAAATTCAGACTAAGTATATAAAAAATCGATACATTTATGATTTATAATAATATAATAAATGGGATCAAGTTGTAAGTCGAAACCAATGCGTAATCATATTCATTACAATACTTATTTGTGTGCATCTACACAACTAGAGAAGCCGATAGTGTAACAGTAATATTCGGAGGATGAGATTGTGTAGGATTCCGTTTCTTCGTGTGATTACGAAAAAGAGAGAAGTGACACTAAATCCTTTGTTCTACGTTCTCCAGATGTTTCTTTGAATTCGCCCACTTAAAACAATTCTGTTGTAATATCGAAATTACACATCACATCAGATGACTTTGTAAAACTTCGAAACCGCAACTATTTGGATTATTATTCAAATGAAAGGTTGTTGGGAGTAGGCAGTTATGGTAAAGTGTATTTGGTGAGGAACAAATTGACAAGTAGAGTTGAGTTTAAAATGTTAGATTAACTGAGAGCAATGAAATAAGTGAAGAGGAAACAGAGCGTGGCATCCAGGAAGTGTTTGAGAGAGATGGAGATTTTGGAGAAACTGGATCATCCCTTTATAGTGAAGGCTTTGGAAGTGTTTCAAGATGATCAAAATTACAATATGATTATTGAGTAACATTAATTATCAAATTTAGATTCATATCAGGAATCGATTTGTAAGAGGATATATCCAATGGGAAATTTACAGAAGAGAAGGCGGCCAAAATTATGAATCAGTTATTATTAGCTATTAGTTACATACATCATTAAGGAGTGGTACACAGGGACGTAAAACCAGAAAATATCTTGTATCAATACAACAATGGGAATGACTGGATTAAATTGATAGACTTTGGAATATCAGCCAAAATAAGAAAGAATAAAAAGTTAAGTTCTTAATTGGGATCGGTAAGCAATCCTGTAAATTTAGATGTACTTCATGGCTCCAGAGATATTTCAGAAGGATTACGGCAAGTAAATAGACATTTGGGCATGTGGAGTGACTCTCTTTTATATGGTTCAGAAACGCTATCCTTTTATGGGCAAAACGGATCAAGAAATGAAGAATGCCATTATGAGTGGTCACTTCACTTTGGATCAAGGCATCAGTCCAGAGTTGAAGAGTCTCTTGGGCAAAATGTTATAAGTAAATCCCAACAAGCGTATTACAGCTTAGTAAGCCTTGCATGAAGATTGGTTTGCCAAGTTTAATTAAGGCTTTCAATTAAATTAATCAGTATTTGTTTATTTGAAATCCATAGGTAATTCAAAAATTATTGAATTACAACAGCACTTCCCTCTTTGAAGAACTCATTTTTTCTTTGATTACTTACTACGGTTAAAATTCAGATGACTCAGGATAAGCCCTCTAAACATTTCTATGTTTGGATAGGGATTAGGATGGGTAGATCTCCAAATAAGAACTAAAACAAACTATTAAGAGTTACAATCTGAATATAGAAAATCAATCTAGACTTATCGACAATCTATACTCCAGTCTTAATAAACAATAGGATGATACATTAACTTATAAAGGTTTGTATTTTTATATAATTAATAGAATTTTTGGCTGCATCAGTGGCAAGTGAGAAAATCCAGACCAGAAAATGCTAGAAATTGTGTTTTTAATTGATTGATGCAGATTAGGATGGCAAATTTTCAGAATCTGATTTTTGCCATCTTATGGGAAGAAAATAAGCGAATTTGTGGCATTTGTTGAATCCAACAGTTAAAACCTACATCACAGAAGAAGAATTTTATGGCATGTTCAAATAATGAATTACTCTTTATATACTTTAGTATGTCATTTTTTGTTTTGCTTTTCTTGTTTGGGGTTATTCGCAAAATAAATCTTGAGGCCTGTCTTGTCATTTTTATCGAAACGATATCCCTATGAAATGTAAAAAGGTTTAAGTTCACTTGAAGAGTTTGCATCACAATAGTAGCTTGCAAGGCATCATCGAAATCTACGAAACAGAGCAAATATTCTCTTCCCTTTTGAGTTTGCTTTTTAATCAGACGGACTCTTTGGAACCCAGGGTAAGGACGAAATATATCTAAAAGTATATGAAGTTTTTAATACGTGCCACTTCTCGTTCTTGTGCATCGTTTGGAATTCCTATTGCATTTATTATCGATGATCTTACCGTCGACGTAGAGAGAGTGAGTAGACTCCTTTTGAGGCTGGAATTGCTGATTATCTCTGATCAATTCGAAATACTGATTATTGAACATGGGGTTTGGGTATGGGTTATTGAACATTAAATATATAAAAATTATTAATATATTAAATGGATAAGTCATAACCTATCAAGAGATCTTCGAAACAAAGAGACACTGATTACCAAGAGAAACCTCAAGTAAGACAACCATTCTAATCTAGTCCAAAATAATGCAGGATACTCAACAGAGCAGTCAATAATACATCATAACAGATGCCACTTTCGAATTAATTATAAGAGAGAGAGATGCCTTGATAGAAAGGTTGGAATACGACCAAAGATAATTAAAATATCAACTGGAACAAAAGAAAATTGAATTATATGAACTCTCTTAGCGATTTACATCCCAAAGAGGGAACCACCTACTCAAACTCTAACAGTCAGGTGTCTAACTTAAGCAAATTCAGCCAGATGCAGACGCTTATAAATGACTTACTTAATTAATTATAATTTTTATATTAAGGTATCAAACAAATTCTTAATAATTCCAAATTAACAATAACTTCCCCTAAAATTAATCTGAGTTATGTTGTATCTTCACTTTTCATTCTCAATCTTGTATTTAGCCAATAACCAATTATTAAATTTATTTAATTTTATCTTTTTTGTTTTATAAATATTATTTTCAATAGCAAACAAAAATGCTATTATTAAACAGATTTGTGTATGAAAACCTCGTTGTATATCCAATTCAAAACTACAATAATATCTTTACACTCCTCAATCCACAGATTTAAATAGAATTTGCTTTCAAAGTAACCCACTATAAGATTATTTCATATTTTATAATGGATTGTATGAGGGTGTATTCACAAGTTTCGATTATGAGGCTAATAGATATTTCAAAAGAATTATTAGAAAAGGATTATAGTATTTATTTTATTGAATTTTTTTATTTAATTTGGTTACATTTAGTATGTTATATGAATAGAGCGAGCATGGAAACTTTTATGCTTCAAATATTTTAATTAAACAATGTTCAATTTTTGCATTTATTAATCTTAATATAGTTGAGAATATATAAATATATATCTTTTGTTGATTGAATTCTTTTATTAATTCCAATCGAATCCATCTTGAAATGATATTAAATATTTTTTATTTTACTAAATAAACAATCATTATATTGATGATGAATCAGATTAATTAAAACTCATAGTAAAGGCATTTTTGGTAATAAATCACTAGTGAATCGAATAGCATTTGCAAAACTAAATTATTTACAAATCAATACTCTCCTTCTATGACTAACTTTTTTCTCATAAACAATGTCCTTAGATTCGTTTATCCCTTAGAAAAGCAAACCATATCATCATCTTAAATGTTGAAAATGGTATCAGCATCTTTACTTGTATCTGGTATTACTTTTTTGCTATCAATATCAATTAGCCAAAGTTTATGTTCAGATCCTCTAATTACTTTGAAGCAAATCTTGCCTTTGACTTTCTTCCTTAACTTATCGGATAATCCTTTTGAAGCCATAAATACAAAAATTGGATCGGAATGCATTATTTTTATTTATTAATAATAAATAAGAATTCACTCGAACAATTATCTCTTTTAGACCATAGTTAAGAAGTTTAAAAAATCTGGAAAAAAATTTGTCATCTAAATATATTATCAACTGTTACTTGAATCAATATTTTGATAATCCATTCAATTATTAATTATTTAAGCAATAGAGAAAGGGTTAATTCATCATTTCAGGAATTCTATAAAGATTAAATTAAATATTATTCTTTTCCAAAACAAAGAATCTTATGGAATTCTATTTTATCTGTATAAAAATGAATTGTCTTTATAATTTGTTCCTGCTATTACATGATTAATAAAATGATCTATATTTGCAAAAATTATTTTGTTGAATTAAGATCTATAGATAAAGGGTTCAGAATTATAAGATGAATTAAGACAATTGGTTGAATGCATATTTAAATAAAGATAAAATTTATTTTAATTTTGAAAATGAGGACTGTTCAATTTTGGGAATGTTAGTATTAAGTTAAGAGTGTAATATAATTTTAAGAGTGAAATGAAATTTTGATATAAATAAGATTTGTTAAGATTCATAATATATATGATTAAATATCAGATTCAGTTTAAATTAAATAGTATTTATATATTCCAAGGAATGTTAATAACTTATTAGATAAGAAACTCATGGTTGCAATTCAGTTTAAGGAATAATGAATGTATAATATCTTACCATCTTATTTAACAAGACCAAAGTATCTCAACTTAACTTTTCCATTACTAGTTCCAGTGATAAAGGAGACAAACAGTCTGGATCATTCAATGACAAACCTCATACTTACTCTAATTACAGTATAACTATGATAATCATTATGAATATTCTTTTCATTTATTTTTTAATGATTTTCAGCTTAAATTATCATTTAACTATTTTTGAATTTAACTGATTTAATTTTCACAAATCTTAAGATAAATATTAATAATTTATGTCAATTTATATTTTAATCCAATCCAATTGAATTATATTACTGATTAATTTTATTCATTTAAAAAACATTTATATTTTTCTTTGTTACGTAAGTCAATTTATATATAATTTTGATTCCCTTTCTCCTGTTTTGTTATTACAATCTTTTTTTATTAAATTACTGTAAATATTTATCATTTTAACCATCCGATAGTCAACGCTAATGTGGAAACAACATAAGTTTTAGGAAGGAATATGTATCCAAAATCACACTCAGCCACCAATCAGAAAATCAAATATAATCATAATTCTCATATTAATAAAAGTCTAGGATTTTATTCAGTTAGACAGGAGCGTCTGAAATATTATTAAAAATCCTCAAATAATAGTAAAAAAATACAAAAAAAAGTGTTAACTCTAAATTAACCTTTCTTATACAAAAATATCAGAAATCTTCGTTCAATAAATACACAGATAAGATAACTGTATTTTTATGGATTGTTCTAGCAAATATAGCAGCAATATCTTTATCTGAAGCTTAAAAACTTATGGTAAAATTATCATTCCTCATCATTTTTCAAAGAATTTTAACAGATATTAGAAATAATTAGAGAAGGTTTATTACCCTTTCCTTTATTTTCTGTAACTTTTAAGAATAAATTATATCTCATCATCAAAGCCGCTGTGTAATCTATAAAATTCAATTAACCTAAAAATTGAATTAATGGGTTTAATTCTTTATTTCTTTTCATCTCTTAATTAAAATAATGCCAAATAATTTTGTGGGCTTAATATTAAGATATCTTTAATATTATTACAGCAATTTAATAAAAAAATGATTGAATAACTATAAACAATAATAAATTGGAGATATTAATCAAAAGTAGAATAAAAATTAAATTATATAACCTAGAAAATAGAAATTTGTTTTAAATTAATTAAATGAGCATCTCTAAAATAATACAACTCTTCTTTGATTTAAAATATCATTTCATTTATATTATTAACATATATCATTAACTACTCAATGCTCTTAAAATTTGTTATACATTAAATATATATACCTTTAGGTTCTACTATTTGAATTGATTTCTTTTGTTTATACCAAAATATTAATCATTTTAGATTGAAAAATATATTTATTTTTCATATATTTTTCAAATAGAATTTGCTTTCATTTTTGGGTCATAAAAAGAAAAGTTAAACAAAATAACCATTAAAAAATAAATGAAAAGAATATTCATAATGATTATCATAGTTATACTGTAATTAGAGTAAGTATGAGGTTTGTCATTGAATGATCCAGACTGTTTGTCTCCTTTATCACTGGAACTAGTAATGGAAAAGTTAAGTTGGGATACTTTGGTCTTGTTAAATAAGATGGTAAGATATTATACATTCATTATTCCTTAAACTGAATTGCAACCATGAGTTTCTTATCTAATAAGTTATTAACATTCCTTGGAATATATAAATACTATTTAATTTAAACTGAATCTGATATTTAATCATATATATTATGAATCTTAACAAATCTTATTTATATCAAAATTTCATTTCACTCTTAAAATTAAATTACACTCTTAACTTAATACTAACATTCCCAAAATTGAACAGTCCTCATTTTCAAAATTAAACCTTGTAAAACAATTAAGAAAATTGACTTAAATTTAAGGAAGAGCATTAATCTATAAACAACATAATAAAATAAATGTAAAAAATACTAACAGGTTAAGAATAAAATATATATATATAATGAAACAAAACTATTAAATTTTGGGTTTCTGAAATGGCTGATAGTGGATAGGAATATAATATTGAATCTTGAAATTTATCAAAGTAACTATAATAGAAACCTTCATATCAAAAATGTTATTCAACCCCTTTTGCAAAAAATCAAATCTTAGACACTCAATAAATTATCCATTCAATGTAAAAAAGGTGAATACTAAGTTATAGTTTATTTTAGTGAAATTTAATTTCTTTTGATGTAGAAAAGCATATTATGAATTTCTATAATTTCAATATCATATATATGAATGAATCAAATTGTGAAAACTAGCAATAAGGCCAAGAAAACAAATGCTAACTATTGGGAAAAGGAACAACTTGGACATCCATCATGAGCAAATCCATTAACATCACATTCTTATTCGCATGTTGTACATGTATCTGATCCTTCATCCTTAATACACTTAATTTCTTCAGTTTCTCCAGAGACTGGATCAAATTCAGTTTAAACCAACATTCTTCTTCCTCCTGCTGCCGATGTTGATAAAATCGAAGTGACTTTAATTGTAACTGCTCTCCATGCAATTTCAGCTTTCAATTAAATAATTACCTATCCTGGAGTTGCATTATTTATAGAAGTTGGTGATGCTTTCTTATTTAATCCATTTCCTGTGTACCAAACTTCAGTTCCAGTTAAATAAAAGCCATTCATTCCACTAGTGTTGATAACTTATTAAAGAACAAACTGATCATTTAAATGAAGATCTGGGGTTTGAAATGCAGTGCATTTTAAATCAGTGCACCACTTTAATGTGGTATCTGCTGTGGCTTTGCAACCACTAGTTGTTGTGCAACCAATAGTGGATTATTAACTCAAAGGCTTGAATGAAGTGTCAAGTGCAGCACCTGTTGATTTATCAATTGTAAGAGAAAATTCAAAAAAGAATGTGTATTAGAGTTAATCTGTTCCAGCTGCATAATAAGCAAGTGCATAATATCCTTTGTAAATGAATTAATTGGAATTAGATGTTTCAACCAATCTGGTTTTTAATTCAGCTCCTGGGATTGTGAATGAATAATATCTCCATTATTTTGAGAAGTTGTTTGATGATGTTATTGTTAAATCAGTAACCTACTATGGATCTGAATACGAATTGGATGTATATTTCCATAATTTAAGATCAAGACAAACCTAGTCAGCTGATTTACCATCTTCCTTTACAAGACCATAATATGTTGGATCATTATAAAGATCAACATCAGAGTATCTCAAGTTAACTTTTGCATTAGCAGTTCCTGAGACAAAGGAGACATCTCCTGTGAAGGCAATTTTTGAAGCACCTGATCCATCAGCATTATTTGCAGTTCCAAATTTGTTCAAATATTTAGCACTGCATTCAGGATCATTAAATGACAAACTTGATACCTACCCTAATTAGAGTACAACTATGATTGCGATTATGGAGATTGTTTTCATTGTTAAATTAATGTATTTTTTGCTAAATTTTTGTTTATAAAATCTAAAAATTAGCTCTAATTCTATTTAAAAAACAAACAATAACATGTTTAGGAAAAGACTAATTTTCAATTTTAATATTGTAGAATTCACAGATACTTCATCAACAACTTACCCCAGCAAGATAAATCAAATAGAATTTCAAATCCTAATCAGTTCAATATTTTCTATAATTTTCTTATTCTAAAAAATTTGTAATCTTATTTTAGTTAAATTAATAATCTAATCGAAAGATAACATTTAATAGGCTTCATGATAACATAAACAGGAGGAAGAAGAAGCTTAGTATTGGGAAACTCTGGAAATTGACAATTTTAAAGATGAGGAGTATATACATGCTGCTCTTAAGAATTAACATCAAGCTAATCGATTTGAACAATTTTGGTTTAAGTATATAAGAAAAAATGGGTCTATTTTTCAGTAATTGAGCCATTTTTTTAATACAAAGTAAATAGAATATTCAAATTTGTCCTATTTTTGGAAAGACTTTAAAACAAATTTTTTCTAAAAATGCTAATAGCCTTAATACCCATCCTATAAAGTGTTGCCTCTACTTCATAATGTACTCAAATATACCCAATCGTCCTCTCCAACTTTATAAAATAAATAGTTCTACTATTGACCTCATGATTAAGGTTATAAAGCAAAGAATTAACATTCTTACATCATCAAATCAATGAGGCCTTGAACTTGGAGCAAAATAATAAGCATGATAATTAATTCATTTTGCTCATTAAATAGATTTATCTTTTTTTAGATACCACAAAAATCTATTTTTGATATTTTGAAAAATAGATTTAATTGAAATAATAGTTTGGATAAAATTTAAAGCAAAATGATTCTAAAGTAAGGAAAAGAATATAATAAAATATCTTTATAATCAAGTTTCTGCTTCAGCTGTTTAATAATTATCCGAGTCAATTTTAATTTTTCGACCATTTTCCCAGATTCCAAGCATTCTTTCTCCAGTTTCAGTAATGATCACGCCTTTTCCATGTTATTTCCCCATTGCCCACTCTCCATCATATGTTCTGCCATTATTCCAACAAAAAACCCCTTAACCATGTTTTTTATCATCTAAATAATACCCTTTATAACTCTTTCCATCAGGCCAGATTGTTTCACCATAACCATTCATCTTATTATTTAACCAATTTCCATTATAGATTTTTCCATCATACCAAGTATATTTCCCAAATCCACTTATTTCATTATCCAAAAAATCTCCCTCATAAATACTGTTGTCTGCAAATTAGAGTTTTCCCTTTCCATTCTTTTTCCCAAAAGTATACATTCCCTTTAGATTTAGAGGATTATTTACATCATATTTGGAACCATCAGGCCAACTTTCAACTCCCTTTCCATGTAAGAGATCATTCATCCACTCTCCCTCATATCTAGCACCTCCAGCATGTACGTAACTTCCTATTCCATTTGCAGTATCGTTTATCCATTATCCCTCATAAATATCTCCATCTCCATGAACTATTGTTTTTGAGGATAATAGAAATACCTAATTTCCCTTTGCCCTCAGCTTTATCATTTTTCCATTCCCCTTCGTAATAGCCACCATCAGCCCAAGTCTCTTATGAATTTATTAAGTTTACATGCAAGCCAAAGCCATCCCTTTTACAATTGAACCATTCGCCTTCGTAATAACCTCCATTAATCATGTTGATTCTTGGAAGTTTTTTTCGAATCCCTTTGGTTTTCTAAACAAGCTCTTGATATTCATCATTAGCTGGTTTATTGTCCTCTGAATAAGAAGAATAAAATCAACCATGAGTTAATGATTCTGTATCTTATTGTTTCTCTTTATCGATAATTTAATGTTCATTACTAACTTTTTGAGTTTATAATTCTTCTTCTCCTAGGTTTTTCGGAATACAATTGCAGCTCCCCATATTTTATTAATATATTATATAAAGTTAAATTGTTGTCTATTTGTATTACCTATTAATACAAGATTTCAATAAAAGATTTTTAGAAATTATTGTATTACTACTTGTATAATTTTATTGAATGAGTAGTTGAAAACCTAAATAACCAATTTAATTCGCAATTAGATGTAATACTGTTGCTAAAACTATAACCATAGTAAATGAAAGAAATTCAACTATAGAATAAAGAATCTAAGAATGGCAATAGTAGCGAGAAAACATAGAGATAAAGAAAGGATTTAAGGTAGATATTATTCAAAAGAAGAAGTGATCAAATTAATATTTGTATAAGGAATTAAAGCCTTTATTGAGTAAGCCGTATGCTTCAGAATGAAATCAAAAATTGTATCGATAATAGCTATATCACAGAAAATAATCAGGAACAGGATGTCTTCCAATCAATCCTCGTTATTCCACATTAGCTGCTAAGAAAATTTTGAATTTTTTCTCTAGGTTATCATCCAACTCCAATATTGAAGCTTAATTTCCTACACGGTAACAGTAATTTGGGGCACTCCAGACTGTTATCAGTTAATCATCAAACATCGTCTTATATCCTTCCAATACAAGTTAATGAGCGCGACATATAAAATCGTAATTATTGGTCCTATTGAATTCTTTAGTAATATCTCCTCCAAATATATATCCAGCTCCTCTTGGAGATACTCCCCAACCTATGATATCTTCTGGGTCACTCCATAAAAGATCGCACATAGCTCCTTCATGAGGAACTTCCTACTTTCTATCCAAAGATTTAACCTATAAAATATTACGAAAGATTGGTACATCATCAATTTCAACTATATTTGGAGATAATCCTCCATGTACACAAAATACTCTATTTTCTATGACTGCACTAATCGTTAGATAATCAAAAACATCAGTGCAATGTCTCCAAATATTTGCAGAACCATATTTACGTTGGCATTCATCATAGAATCCATAAACTTAAGTAGTTTATCTTGACTCATGATTTCCTCTTATTCTTAAAATGAAAAGTAACAATTACATGGTGATTCTATCTGGAAAACGAACTTTGAATGCCAATAATAAAAGAAAGGTTTCTACACTATTGAATCCGCGGTCAACCAAATCCCCCAAAAAAAGATAATTAGTGTCAGGACAATCTCCTCCCACTTTAAATAATTCAATCAGATCATGAAATTATCCATGAATATCGCCACAAACCTATTGTGATGACAATATATACAGTGACTGGAGTGTGAACAATTTCTACGTTGCTTTCTGAGATTAGAATTTCCTTTGCTTTAGTACACAACTATATCACCTCCTGCTCGGTTAGAAATTGGCAATTCTTTAATTTAGCTATCCATTAATCTAAATCACTCATAAATATTTATTCATAAAAAATAATCAGGAATTGGTTTCTTGGCTGGTAATCCTCTGTTTTCCTATGCTGCTTCGAATATCTTGTATTGTTTAGTAAGGTTTTCGTCCAACTCCAGAATTGAAGCCACATTGCCGCATCTAATTCAATGCAAAGATATACCTGTAACAATAATTTGGAGCACTCCAGACTGTGACTAGTTATTCATTGAACATCACTCGATAGCCTTCCATCACTAATTGATGAGCCCTGCATATTAATTCAATGTTATTTTTCCTATTGAAATCATCCACAACATCTCCTCCAAATAAATATCCAGCACCTCTTGGAGACAAATTCCATCCCTCAATCTCTATAATAATCCTAAATTCAAGATACCATCTGGATCACTCCACATCAAATCACACATTGCTCCATCATGAGGTACTTCCTATTTACGATCGATTGCTCGGATCTACATAATTAAATTTCTAAAACATCATCCATTGTCTTTATTGAAGGGGATAATCCACCATGTACACAAAATATCTTCTCTTCAATAACAGCAGCCAAACTCAAATAATCAAAAATGTCTGTGCAATATCTCCAAACATTTAATGACCCATACTTTCTGAGACACTCATCATAGAAACCATAAACTTAAGTAATTTGTCTAGATTCATGATTCCCACGTATCCTACATAACTTATAAATATACAATGTTATCCTGTCTGGATAGCGCACTTTCAAAGCCAATAATAATAAAAATGTCTCCACACTATTGAACCCCCTGTCAACAAAGTCACCCAAGAATAAATAGTTAGTGTCAGGACAATCCCCACCTACCTTAAATAACTCCATTAAATCAAAGAACTAGCCGTGAATATCTCCGCAGATCTAATATTACAATATTAATACTGTCACTGGAGCATCAACTCTCTGCACATTGCTCTCTTCAACAAGAATTTCCCTCGCCTTTGTACATAAGGCTTTAACTTCCCCTTCTGTTATGTTTTCACAATTTCTAAGTTAAGCTATTTGTCTATCTAAATCTGATTGACTCATTTTTATATTGGAGAAATAAAAATTTAAATAATTATTAGTGATTAACTTACAAATTACAAATATATTTGGAAATCCAAGAGATTATCATTTTATTGATTATTTATGGATTCCATGAAAGTTAAATGAATGATCTTCACTCTTAACTAAAGAAATTAAATTAGAACCAGAAAATAATTAAACCACTATATCAAATACTTCAGGATATATATTTCATTCAATTAGTTTTTGTTATATTTTTAAAAAACTACTTTTTCTACTCACATTAAACTTTAGGTTCAATCTATAAATAACTATGTGTGTAATCATTTTATACTCTTAAATCTTTATTATAAACTTAAATTTTAATAAAAGTTACTAAGCTTCCTTTAAAGTGATATGTTAAGGAATATTAAAATATAATAGAAACTTATTTCTAATTTTTTTTATATAAATAAAATTAACTGAAAATGTTTCAGATTAAATCAGATAATAGATTAAACAGATATGAATCGATTGAAATTGAACGCCCCAAGACATCCATGGATCAGAATAGCTTAGAAAGGGAGAATCGCGAATTATAACTTTAGTTGTAGAAATTCAAGGAATTATATTAATAACAAAAGCATTATTTCTAATGTTAACAAGAGCAATTTCTTGATTTGCAAGAGAAGTACGAGGAAAGTGTATCTAAGATAAGTGAATTGGAGGAGTAGTTGTATTAATAAAATGAAAATTAAGAGTAAACTTAACTTTGTGTCTCATTACTCTAAGATCTTCAAGGCTTGGAATATTTAGTAAACAAGATGAAACTCTTGATACCGAATAAGCAAGCATTAAATTTGATTGGTCAAATCTAGAAAACCTATGAACAATTAAGAAATAAAGAATCGGTTCCTTGCGAACAATAGATTTATCACAAGTTGTTAACAGCTCTCGATAAGAAGTTAAGCGACATCATAAACAATGACAAGGAAAATTGCAACATGAATACGAATATACAAGAGTCATAACCAAAACTGAAAACTTACTTGTCCTAAAAAATGATGTGAACTAGTTATATTTTAGAATTTATTAATATTATAATTGATTTATCTTATGACAACATCAAATATAGTTAGAATTTCATTAAGGCATTCTTGATTGCTATAACTTTTATTAATGATAAAATAATCAAATATTTAGCTATTATTCTCTAATTTAGATGAATAGGATTACTCTAAATTGTCAGAAATATATTAAACCCCCATTCTACAATAATTACACATGTTAATTTTACAAATTAAAACTAAATTTCCAATACCCAAACAAATAAATCAGGTTGAATTTCCAACTCAAGACATGGCAGTTCAATTTTTTACAACTACAAACCGATCACTCTCCAAATGAGTTCAGTTAAAGATAGCAAAATAAAAATTATATAAAAATGCAGCTTATTTTGGAAAAATAGTTGATGGATATCGGTAAGGACAAGGAATTATAATAAAATAGACACTATAAATATATGAGGGCTAGTTTGAGAAGAATAAAAAGGAAGGAATAGATTCGAAATTCTGAAAGGAAATAATATTATTATGGAAATTATGTAAATGAATTACCACAAGGAGAAGGAATTAATTGGTCAAAAAGTCAGAATTACATTGGGCAGATGTATCAAGGAAAAAAAGTAATGAGTGAGATTTAATATGTTAGCATGGCATTGGATTGTATTAAGGACTTCATCAAGACTGCTATATGGGTTAATGGGATAATGGAAAACGTTGTGGTTCCTGCTTGCATATTAATGGTTTCATGTATTTCAATATTTAAAAGTTATTAGAAATGTAGGGAAAGTAACTATTGATCTGAAATATGGAGTAGGTTAGGAGTATTTGGAGAATGGGGATTTTTATATTGGTGAGTTTCGAAATGGGAAGCCTAATGGTAGGGGAGAGTATATTTGGAGTAATGGAAATTGTTATCAGGGACAATTTGAAAGTGGGTTGAGAAATGGTTATGGAACATGGTAAAGTAAAACTTAGAGTGGAAAAAATTGTTATAAAGGATATTATGCAAATGATAAGTAATGCTGTGAGGGAATTTTTGAATACTCAAACGGAACTGTGTATGTGGGTAATTTTATAGAAGATAAACGATTTCGTTATGGTGAGATTGTTTGGAATGATATTCAAAGGTAATTGGAAATAGAATTAGCTTTAAACTTTTGAAAAGGCTAGGATTTCATTAAATGAATTTCCTTAGTAGCATCAAATTTAAAAAATCTTAGAGAATTAAGAAACTTATTCTGAAATTGCAGATGAACCAGATTTAGATCAAATTGAAGACCAATTCTAAATGAAATTTAAGAATCCAATGCAGAAAGCTTTGTTTAAAATATATCTCACAATACCAGTCACCATGATATGTATTTTCATCCAAAAAAGGTTTTATTCAATTTGATTTGTTGAATCTTTTTGATGAAAGTCTCTAATATTAATCTTTAGAAAGTTCAAAAAGGTAGCATAAGTCAAATTTTGCTATTTAGGCAGAGTCGAAAAAGTAACTCTTGCTTAAATTAAGCATGAAAAAGTAACATCCCACTCAATTCAATATTAATCACTCTTTTTAAGAGTAGAGAAATAGAAAAAGTACTCATTTTCAACATGATGTATCATAAAGATCTCCTTAGATTAATGGAAATGATATTTTTCATTAAACAGAGAATGCAAGTTCTGGCAATAGAGNCTCCAAATGAGTTCAGTTAAAGATAGCAAAATAAAAATTATATAAAAATGCAGCTTATTTTGGAAAAATAGTTGATGGATATCGGTAAGGACAAGGAATTATAATAAAATAGACACTATAAATATATGAGGGCTAGTTTGAGAAGAATAAAAAGGAAGGAATAGATTCGAAATTCTGAAAGGAAATAATATTATTATGGAAATTATGTAAATGAATTACCACAAGGAGAAGGAATTAATTGGTCAAAAAGTCAGAATTACATTGGGCAGATGTATCAAGGAAAAAAAGTAATGAGTGAGATTTAATATGTTAGCATGGCATTGGATTGTATTAAGGACTTCATCAAGACTGCTATATGGGTTAATGGGATAATGGAAAACGTTGTGGTTCCTGCTTGCATATTAATGGTTTCATGTATTTCAATATTTAAAAGTTATTAGAAATGTAGGGAAAGTAACTATTGATCTGAAATATGGAGTAGGTTAGGAGTATTTGGAGAATGGGGATTTTTATATTGGTGAGTTTCGAAATGGGAAGCCTAATGGTAGGGGAGAGTATATTTGGAGTAATGGAAATTGTTATCAGGGACAATTTGAAAGTGGGTTGAGAAATGGTTATGGAACATGGTAAAGTAAAACTTAGAGTGGAAAAAATTGTTATAAAGGATATTATGCAAATGATAAGTAATGCTGTGAGGGAATTTTTGAATACTCAAACGGAACTGTGTATGTGGGTAATTTTATAGAAGATAAACGATTTCGTTATGGTGAGATTGTTTGGAATGATATTCAAAGGTAATTGGAAATAGAATTAGCTTTAAACTTTTGAAAAGGCTAGGATTTCATTAAATGAATTTCCTTAGTAGCATCAAATTTAAAAAATCTTAGAGAATTAAGAAACTTATTCTGAAATTGCAGATGAACCAGATTTAGATCAAATTGAAGACCAATTCTAAATGAAATTTAAGAATCCAATGCAGAAAGCTTTGTTTAAAATATATCTCACAATACCAGTCACCATGATATGTATTTTCATCCAAAAAAGGTTTTATTCAATTTGATTTGTTGAATCTTTTTGATGAAAGTCTCTAATATTAATCTTTAGAAAGTTCAAAAAGGTAGCATAAGTCAAATTTTGCTATTTAGGCAGAGTCGAAAAAGTAACTCTTGCTTAAATTAAGCATGAAAAAGTAACATCCCACTCAATTCAATATTAATCACTCTTTTTAAGAGTAGAGAAATAGAAAAAGTACTCATTTTCAACATGATGTATCATAAAGATCTCCTTAGATTAATGGAAATGATATTTTTCATTAAACAGAGAATGCAAGTTCTGGCAATAGAGAAATGTAAATCGATCCATTCAAAATGGAAGGAAGAGAAATAAACCACTTTTATTATCAGCAAAAGAATAAAATATATGGGTTATCAAGATGAGTAAGTTAAAATTAAGTCCTACAAAATATTGTAGATTATGGAATCGTAAAGTATATGTACTCAATATTTAAGGTGGTTAATGAAATTAAGCAATTCCTCTACCCTCCTGTTTGGATGCCTTCCTTTTACCTACTTTGAGTTCACATAATTCTATATATATTCTACACTATTAATTATTATAATTAAATTTTCATCAAATGCTCTAAGAGTAGACATTATAAATAGAAGAGCTAAAAAATACCTACTTTTCACAGCTTATTGGAGAGATAATATACATATACAAAAAGCAGGATTTTGGAATCATTAATTTTTTCTATAAAATAATTTTTGATAAGACTTATTATCAGCTTACTAGAGTAGCTAAATATTCTGAAGTTGAGTTGAATTATGCAATTGCAAAAATGTTATTGTATCCAATAAATGGAATTCAGATAAAGAACACAAATTAGGTAATTTCTTTGATTCCATTGTTTTTAATGTTTGTAATAGGGTAAAAATTGAATATAAATGATTGCATTAAGTTAGAATGTGAAAATGAATGGGATTTATTTCTAACAGCAGTAGCTAAAACTATTAATCATGAGGAGGATAAGGCCTTTGATTATTTAGAAATGTTTCATTCAAAATTAGAAATGTAGTCCAAATAATTTCTTGCCTTTGATTTAGAGAAAACGATGAGTTTAATAGGTAGCTACACAAAAGGGGAGAAATTGCTAAAATTATTGAACCTAATGTTTTATTAAGATTGCTCTATATTTGCAGTGAGCTCATAGAAGAGCTAGGATGATTTTATAAAGTTTTAAGCTTAAAAAAAGTTTGAAATCATCATCAATGCTTTTGAATTTATCTAACTTAAACATTAGAAGGAGATTGAAAACACAATTGAAGAATCAAAAATGAAAGTTGCTATCTCCTTTTTAACAAATAACTACGATTATGATTACTTAACAGTAAAATTTGATCATTTGCAAGCAGGTATCCTTATTTTTAGCTTAATATAATTGGATTACAAATAGTTTGAGAATTTCTTTTGCATGAAACAACCTTCCTTGTAAGAGTAATTGTTGGATCAAATTATAATCCTTGCAGGAAATACAAATAAATTCTTTTTCAATTTAGTCTTAGTTGGAAAATGCTTGTCCAAATTAAGACTTTGGGAATATGCATTAGGCTTTTTTCATAAATTGTACAAACAAATATCAAATTTACACAAAGAAAAATTTAGAGTCTATATTTATTATAAAATGTGCAAAATTCAACTCTTGCAAGGATAGATTTAAGGTTTGTTGAAGAAGTTTATCTACTTAGGTGACCTAATGTAATAATATCAAGAAAAGAATGTAGAGTTTTATTAACCAGGCAACAGAAATCTCTATAATTCTTGTCTGTTTTTGCAATTATTAGTTAGTGCATACACAAAATAAATAGATAAATTGAAACATATTACAATAAAGATTTCCACACTTCACTTAGTAAGCAATCATAAAAATTGTTAATAAAGGCCTTTTAGTTTGTTATAGTATGAATTCTTTAGGCTTGTTTAACAGCAAGGTGTGATATATTAGGAGAAAGAGGGCATAAATTAGTTGGAACACATTTTATAAGTAACGTAAAGATGTTGTTTGTAAAGACACAATATTGAATCTAAAAAGTAGGGTCTGTTAAATAATTTGATTTCAATTTTTGATTCAACAAATAAGAAAACTAATCAGTTAATTGAAATTGGTAGCTACTATAGAGCAATAGAGGAGATTCTGATAATCAATGTACTGGTTCGCCATAGAGAAATTTACATTCTGTAATACTTAAATCCTAACTTTTATCCGTTATTAAGAATTTTTCTAGCAGAAAAAGATTTCTTCAATAAATAATTGAAATCTTAAATCTATTTTTTTATTCATGACTTCAAACAAGCATACAAAATAGCAACTGAAAACAATAACCACAAAATGATTGGGTAGGTTTTAGAATATTGGGGTTAATATTAAGAAGCAATTGAAAATTATAAAAAAGATATTAGTCCAAGCTGCTTTTTTAATTGTGCAATGTTGTAGAAAATCCAACTTGATAAAAGTTCATTAGAGAGAAGTTCGTTAGAAAAAAGTGGTTTTGAGAAAAGTCAATAATAGCAAGTGTAATAAAATGCGACAAATAGTTTTAGAAATTTGGCTTAATCTCAAAATTAGTATAGAATGATTGCTTAAATGTTTTAACAAGTGCTATTAAGACGATATAATTAATAACAAGTCACAGAAAAAATGGAAGGAGAATTAGAATATGTCAACACAATTGAAATAGATCCGAGATTGACATAATCAACTAAATTGCTGAAATCATAATAAGATTAATTAGAGGATCAAAGCATTAAATCAGGTGAACAATCTACAACTGTTAGAAGTGAAAATTCTAGAATGAATGGGTAGAGTAAGATTGTTCAATCATAAATAGCAGATGGTGTTGAAAGTGAAACAAGCAGTGTTCTAGATTAAATATCAAATGAAGAGAATATTTTATTAAAAATGTAATGGAATTTTAATTTTCCAATAAGAAAGGATGTCGAGTTTTTTTATCTAAATTTAAAGAGTGACATTATAACTGAAGAGGATGGACATTTAGAAAAAACATTAGATGAATTTGTAAAAAAAACTTAGTTTCTGAAATATGAAAGCTCTGAGTTATTCAACAACAATGACTTAAGGGAGAATATTGGTAAAGGAGGAAATAGTGAAGTTTACAAATTCTGTTTTTAAGGGTAAGAATACGCAGCCAAAATCATATAGTTTGAGTATAAAGGATAAGGGGAAACCATAAATGTTGACGAGAAATTGGAAATTTAAAATAAACTTTTAGAAATCTGTATAGTTTGCGATGTCACTCTTTCAAAGATTAAGTATTGTTTAAAAATTGAGCACTTAGGATTCAAGTTTGAAAAATTGTAAGGGTAGAATAAAGTATATAAAATAATCCTTATAACAAAACTCTACCATAATTATCAATAGTTATTAAAATGGGAAGAAATTGATAAAATCAAATATGTTTACAAGTTGACTTTAGGACTAGCTACTTTACAATTTGACAAAGAATTGCTCCATCTCGATTTAAAACCTGACAATGTTTTAGTAGATCCAATAAAAAAAAATCCTGTATTAGCTGATTTTGGATTATCAAAGTATTCTTAAGCCTCTTATTTTCTTACTACAGGCGTAAAATAGATGACTATAAAATACATAGATCCCGATTTGGTTAACAACAGCTATTAAAGCAAGAAAAACGATGTTTATTCTTTTGGGGTTTCATTATTTTAATATTTTTCTGGATCTATCCCATTTTAAGAACTTAATTATCAACAAGTTTAAGGAAAGATTGGAGAATTTTAATCATATCATAAAACCATTATTTCTGAAATAAAAAATGAACTGATAACAAAGCTAATTTTAGATTGTACAAAACCTTTGTAATAAAGAATTACGTTTGTATTGGTTTTAAAAAGACTCTTCTTTTATTTGCAATAAATAAATAATCCTAAAGTAAAATAATTAAATGAAATGATGTTTGATCTAATTGAAATTTAACAAAATAGGAGGAATGTTAAAAATCTCTATACCTATCTGAAAGTAATGAAACGATTTATTAAGTACACAAATTATTTCGAACCATTAAAAATAGAAAAGAAAGTTCTTTAATCTTACATAATAGTAATTTCTAATGATTCTGGTAATAGCTTTTCAGAAATAATATAAAGAATGAAACAATTTATAAACTGGACAATATTGAATAAACATGAATTCATATTGAGACTTATAGATTTCAATATCGAGATTAACCAAATCAATCAAAATGAAACGGCGGTCACTTTTAATTTTTTTGTCGAAGATGCATAAAAAATTGGATAAAACAAACTCGTGTAATGGAAACCTTTTTTCAAAGAGATAGCCACTATCTTGCTATAAATTCACACTTCTTAAATATGTCTATTATATATACCATTATCATAAATATACGAAACAAATGGAAAGATTAAATTGAACTGTTTGGATTATTCATAACATCTTACAATTGATTAAAACTAGTTATATGATCTTGATTGCCAATCAATTGACCCTCAGATCAAACAATCAAAGAAATTTCAAATTCAAAACGACGTCTATGCATTTTGCATATTAATCGAAGAAACAATAAAATCAATTAAATCACTGCTTGATCAATATGAACAAGATTAGATTTCTAAACTAGAGCATTACCTTGAGATAGAAAAAGAAGGAATATCATTATAATAAATAATTGACAAACTATAAAATTGATTATTAAAATTAATATAACCATCACAAATTATGTCTAAACCTCTAACTTAAACATTGATTGCCTAGAAAGCTAAGACAGAAGCTTTGTACAGCATCAAATCACTAAACTTATGGGGCAACGATCTTGATGACATCTCAATTATTGAAAGACTCCCTAATCTTGAAGTTCTTTCCTTGTCTGTGAATAGGATTACTACTCTTGCTGATATCGCAAAATGCAAGAATATAAAAGAACTCTACTTGAGAAAGAACAATATTTCAAGTATTACAGAATTGCAATTCCTATAACACTTACCGAAATTGAAAGTCTTATGGCTTCAAGGTATAATTTAATCAAATAATAGAAAATCCAATTGCTGATCATCCAAATTATAGAGATGCTGTAATTTGCAATTCTTCAACACTTGAAAAATTGGATGATGTAGTCATTAGTCAATAAGACAGAGCAAATGCTTAGTAATAATTGTAATATGGAATTTCGTAAAGCCCACCAACAAAGATTCAAAGAGTAGAGGAAGAAGTGCCACAATATGTTGAAGTTATTAAACCAAATCAATACTCTCCAAATAATGGCGGAGGAAGATATTCAAATTAACGAGAATAATAATCAAATCAATAACGACAATCATTATAGCAATCATATCAATAGCCACAATAATAGTAACAGTTCTATCAATAACAATAATAGCAATTATAAAGAGAAAGAGAATAATAATAATATTTGCAACAATAATAATATCAATAATAACTGTAGCAATAACAATAATCACAATTATTTCTATAACAATAATAATAACAATAACAATTATCAAGACAAGTCGTGAAATCAGATTATGCTGATGAAGAAAGAAATTCGAACATATTATGCGCCATCCTATCTCTTCTAAAGGAATTAGATAAACCCACATTAGAAGTGGTCTAAAGAGAAGTATATGATAAATTATAATAATATCAAGAGTGATTAAGTAAATTTTAAAAAATTATCTTTTTTTTGAATTTGTTATGATTACATTCCCCTCCACTAATAACGATTTGAACTAATTTTTAATACAAAGAAGATGTGGTTATTTTAATTCTTTTATGAAAATTCTATTAAATTAAATTTAGTACTTAAAAGACAAAATTCTATTATCAAAGCAGGCTATTAATGTTGATCAGAGCAGGAAATCGATGATAATAATATTAAAATGCAAGAAGCATAAAATACATCTTAAGATTATATCTATGAAGGATAGTAAAAGATTATTATGGAGAAGGATTCAACTGAATCAGGTTCAGAAGTTGTTGATACATAAGGAGAATAGAGCAGGCATAATGATTCAAGAGAATTGTAAGATGATGAGTCTGATTCTTAACATTAAACTTAGACGATAATGAGTGATTTATCATAAAATTTAAAAATTGATGAATTTGATCGCGATTGTCATAAGTAGATGTAGGTGGATATAGAAAGTTATTAAGAAATGAATCTTTCAGATAGAAAGAGTAATGAAGTGATTAAGAATGAATTATCATATATTAATAATAATTCTATTAGGTAATAAAATTATAAGACTGAAAGAGAAAATTTACAAATAGAAAAAGAAGTTTCTATAGAAAAGGATTGTTAAATAAGTGAATTTATTGATAATGGGATGGAAGAATAATTGATAAAGAATAATGATATAAAAATAGAGGAAGAAAGTAACGATAATAGCAATTAGATTATTTAAAAGGAAGTGAAAAATAAAGAACTGTCTGAAGAGAATCATGCACAAAATGGTGAAGAATAATTGTAGGATGATTAATAAAATGAAATTGATTTAGAAGAAAAATTATTAGAGATCAAATAAGTAGTTATTTAATCAAAATTATAGATTGAATAAAAATAAGATTCCGATTAATCAGAACAATAAGTTGAATAGAAATAAGAAAGCCATCATTCAGAATAATAGTTTGAATAGAAATATGAAGTAGATCATTCAGAGCAATAGGTTGAATAGATATAAGATGCTGATGATTCAGAATAATAGGTTGAGTAGAAATAAGAAGTTGATAATTCAGAATTATAAGTTGAATAGATATAAGAAGCTGATAATTCAGAATAATAAGTTGAATAGATATAAGAAGTTGATAATTCAGAATTATAAGTTGAATAGATATAAGATGCTGATGATTCAGAATAATAGGTTGAGTATAAATAAGAAGCTGATAATTCAGAATAATAAGTTGAATAGATATAAGAAGCTGATAATTCAGAATTATAAGTTGAATAGATATAAGAAGTTGATAATTCAGAATTATAAGTTGAGTAGAAATAAGAAGCTGATAATTCAGAATAATAAGTTGAATAGATATAAGAAGTTGATAATTCAGAATAATAGGTTGAGTATAAATAAGAAGCTGATAATTCAGAATAATAAGTTGAATAGATATAAGAAGCTGATAATTCAGAATTATAAGTTGAATAGATATAAGAAGTTGATAATTCAGAATTATAAGTTGAGTAGAAATAAGAAGCTGATAATTCAGAATAATAAGTTGAATAGATATAAGAAGTTGATAATTCAGAATAATAGGTTGAGTATAAATAAGAAGCTGATAATTCAGAATAATAAGTTGAATAGATATAAGAAGCTGATAATTCAGAATTATAAGTTGAATAGATATAAGAAGTTGATAATTCAGAATTATAAGTTGAGTAGAAATAAGAAGCTGATAATTCAGAATAATAAGTTGAATAGATATAAGAAGTTGATAATTCAGAATAATAGGTTGAGTATAAATAAGAAGCTGATAATTCAGAATAATAAGTTGAATAGATATAAGAAGCTGATAATTCAGAATTATAAGTTGAATAGATATAAGAAGTTGATAATTCAGAATTATAAGTTGAGTAGAAATAAGAAGCTGATAATTCAGAATAATAAGTTGAATAGATATAAGAAGCTGATAATTCAGAATTATAAGTTGAATAGATATAAGAAGTTGATAATTCAGAATTATAAGTTGAGTAGAAATAAGAAGCTGATAATTCAGAATAATAAGTTGAATAGATATAAGAAGCTGATAATTCAGAATTATAAGTTGAATAGATATAAGAAGTTGATAATTCAGAATTATAAGTTGAGTAGAAATAAGAAGCTGATAATTCAGAATAATAAGTTGAATAGATATAAGAAGCTGATAATTCAGAATTATAAGTTGAATAGATATAAGAAGTTGATAATTCAGAATTATAAGCTGAATAGAAATAAGAAGCTGATAATTCAGAATAATAAGTTGAATAGATATAAGAAGCTGATAATTCAGAATTATAAGTTGAATAGATATAAGAAGTTGATAATTCAGAATTATAAGCTGAATAGACATAAGAAGTTGATAATTCAGAATAATAAGTTGAATAGATATAAGAAGTTGATAATTCAGAATAATAAGTTGAATAGATATAAGATGCTGATGATTCAGAATTATAGGTTTAGTAGAAATAAGATGCTGATAATTCAGAATTATAGGTTGAATAGAAATATGAAGTTGATAATTCAGAATTATAGGTTCAGTAGATAAAAGATGCTGATTTTTCAGAATTATAGGTTGAATAGGCATTGTCTAATTAATAAAAACTAATTGTTTAATAGAAATATGAAAATACATCATCTGAAAATTAGGTTGAATAAAAAACAGAAGAAAAATATTTGGAAGCATAGGATTAAACAAATAATATAAATTCTTAATCCATCTCTTTAACCTAATTGAACGATTCATAAAATATCATAATAGCTTAAGTTCCTTAATTGATTGAATCCAATCCCAAGTAAAGCAATTTATGCCATTACAAAAATATTTTCAAAGGTAAATGTCTATCAGCCAAAACAAAATTTTCTCATAATTTAGATAGCATTATTTATTTAGTTTTATCCTTTTTTTATTCTCTAAAATCAATTTTGATAATATACCTTAAAACTAAAGCAGTATCCTCGTATTATTACATGAAGAACATTTTTACGCTTATGTTTTAAAAAGTTTTTGAAAATACTCTTTTAGCTTTGAATTCAATTTGTACCTGCATCAGAGAGGAGTTTTAAAAGAATAATCAATACACAGAACCATATTTTGCTTAATTATCTTAACACTATAGTCAATTAAAATGTGTGCTTCAGTATGGTGCTACTTTATTTATGAAATACATGGCTCCTTTTAAAAAGGCATTTTTAATTACTGTTAATTTTTTATACAATAAAGTTTTCATCCTATTCCTATTTTGGAACTTTCTCGCAATATCTTTGATAAGGTGCTTTCTATTAATTTAGCTAATCATTAGATTTATGAAATTCATTATGCATCTACTAAGTACTTTGAAATACATTGTTTTTCCTTAACGGGTACCTTAGCTAGATCAAAATCTTATAGAACCCAACCTTGAAGAACCTGAAAATCCTTCAGAGCCACCACAGCCTGCTTAAACTAAAGAATACCCTGTTGCATTATTAATTGGAGAAGCTGGTGTTGGTAAAACATAATTGTATAATAAAATGAATGATATGGAAGCCTTGTAATATGAAATTGTAGATACAAGCTATTTTGATTTCAAAAATGATATTGAACACAGGGAGTAGCAAATAAAAGAATTTTAAAGTATATTTGATAGCAAGCCAAATAAAGTGGCTACATTATTCTTGGTTGTAAAATTCGAAAGAACCGACTTGATGAAAAGGTCTATAATGAATATTTATCCCTATTTTAAGAAGTTTTAGAGTTAAATTAGCCTTGTGGTTACTCATTTTGATTTAAGTGATGACGAAGAGTAAGACAAAATCGATTTATAAAGAGGTTTGAAACTTTTTAAAGCAAAGTCAATTTTATTTGTTGGTCAAGAAACAACTAAAGAAGAATTATTGGATTAAATAAGAACTTCAGATTGTTTAATTCCGATTGAGGAAGGATATTAATTTGATTTAACTGATACAATATTTGAAAGACAGAATGAAGAAGAAGGAAAGGAAATATTTAATGCTTTACAACAACAGTTGGCTGTAAGATCGTGAGTTTATTATTGATTTATGCTTATAAATTATTATATATATTAAATTATGTGTTTTGTTCTACTTTTTCGAGCAAAGAATCTCTTTATAATTGAATCTGATATTTATATAGTAGTTTACAGAATTCTGTAGAGTTTCTTAATTGAGTAAGTTTTAAGCAGTGTCTAAAAGACTATCTTATTTGAGTGTAATCCGAGAAGAGTTATGAATGGGAAAAAGAGATCTCTTTTGGAGAACTGAGATTATGGCAGGAGAGTATAAAATCTTTTAGATCTTTCGAATTGTATACGGAATTATCTACATTTCTATCTTATTCGATGAAAAATTTCTTCTAAATTATGATAACACGCAAATACTTATTTTCAAAAACAAACAAAAGAGGAGTTAAAGCTTAAATGTTTATTATTAAAAAATTAAATAGAAATTGTTAAAATAGTTTTTAGAATCAAAATATTGCGATTTGATAATGCAATATGTAGAAGATTATTAAATGATATGAAGAACTCTACTAGATTAAGGACAGACAAGTATTTAATCATAAATAGTATTTTCTGCCTCAAAAAGTTTATAACCTTTATCATTATATGTTTCTAATTCTATTAGACTTTAATATATTATGAGTTCTTTTACTTTTTGGAATAGATTAAATAAGATATCTAAAGAATGAGGAACTTAAATCAGTCAACTTTTATCGGATTTAAAGTATTTTAAAGTAAGTAACCTTCTTTGAATATCCGAATAACTCATACTAATCAATATTCTAATTGCAGATCAAGCATAGATAACTTTTCAAAAAATATAGACAGTACCTATAATTAGCGTCGAACGTTTGGATTGGAGAATAAAGTGAGTTATACCTCATTCAAAGCAACTAGTAGTACAAATACATAAAGACTTTATGGAGATTTTTTCACTTGGAATAAAGAATTAACATCTCCAATAACTCCAATAACTCCTTTAATCCCACCCTCAGTACCTCCCTAAGAGACACCAGCAATGCCACCTTCAATAAAAATTCTCAATGATTCTGTAACTAGTTCAAGTGAAACATAAATGATTAGTCCTGAAAGTTTGAGTGAAGAGAAAATTCCGTTGTCTCTAATAATTGGTTAGGCAGATAATGGGAAAACGTATATAATGAGAAAGATTTTTGATGAGGAGACCAAAATAGAACTGTTTTAGCCAATACTATCAAAAGAATTGAAATATTACTTTGTCGATACTTAGTCCTTTGATTTTGATTCAGATTACGACTTAAGAGATGAACAGATTAATAATTACAAAATATTGTTCAATACATTCCCAAATAGAGTGAGATCAATTTTGATAGTGGTTAATTTTGAGAGGACTGATCTAATGAAGAAAAAAGTCCTAAATATTAATAAAGAATTTTAGAGATTCAAGAACTTGTATACTATAATAATTACTAAGTTTCATTTGAGCGAAAATGTCGAAAAGGATAAGGAATAACTAAAGAAAAGTTTTTAGTTTTTGAATCCATAAGATATTATCTTCGTTGGTAATGATACAAGAAAAGAGTAATTATTGAGAGATTTAAAATAAAAGAGTTTGCCACCTTTAGAGGATGGTTACGAATTTAATTTAGTTGACACTTTATTTTAGGAGGACGATGAGGATGAATAGAATTATATATTAAATGAATTACAAAATAGATTTATTTGATCTCTGTTATAAATATCATTTTAAATTGACATTATATTTAATTTCTATAATTAAGAAGATAATTAATTGGACAATTTTGTCATACATATGAATTATATTATTAATATATAGGACAACAAAATTACCAGAATCTTTGAATTTGATAGAAACAGAAATCTACTTATGAATTCATGGAGAATATAATCTGGTTCACAAAAACACATAATAATTATATTATATTCATAGATATAATGTTATAATTTGTATCATTTAGAAGCAAACAAAAACTTCTATTGATTGATTGTGCTCTCCAAGATTGTGTTTTCTTTAACAGGGAACATCAGATCAAACATTCCTGTTCCTTGAGGCACATTCTATCCAATGATTACTCGTTGAGATGCACCATTCATTGAATCTTACTTTCCTTGGATGGCAGCATTAAAGAAGACGTCCATAGTTTTTTCAAAGGAGGCAAGCATCAAGGCTGAATTCTTGAGTTAATCTATTCCTTGTCTGGTGAACCCAAGGATTCTTCCTTAGTTGAGTAAAAATTGAATAAATACCTTTGAATGTCATCAATTCTGCCAACAATAGGATGTGTCTTATGTCAATGGAAATGCTGTGACTTTACATGGTAGTGTACACTTCATTGACAATGCTCTATCTAGCAGCTTCAATTCCAAGAGCACTTTGAATTTCCATGATGTGATTGCTGACTGTTCGTTTCCAATCAATATTGTCCAATCGTAGGATTTCTTTGAATCCAATACCAGATGCAAACAACCTGGCTTCTCCCTTGACATTCTCCTTATCATCCTTGTCTGTAACCTAGATGACAGTTTACTTGATATTTACACAACCGTATATGTGCAACCTCAATAGTTTTCGTTATAGCTCTTTGATCAAGAATAGTAGATTTTCTGATTGCTTCTTCTTAGAATTCTTTTTAACCGTGATTCTAATAAATTTGCTATCATATTTGACATCATCAGGTGACAATTTCAACTCTTTTAGAATCAGAGTAGACACATATTTGGGTGTCACAAATTCTAGTTTCAATCTATTTAGACAATGAAAATCTAATTCTAGTTCTATATAGCAATTATCTGCTGTGTAAATTTCATCCATTTTCTTGAGTATCTACATCAATTTGGTTTGCTCTATTTGTATGTTGACATCTTAAGCCTACTAAGCAGATTGGATGACTGCACGATGAGCATACTCATATTGAGGATCTCCAGACTTAGCAAACAACTTGGCATGATCCATGACTTGTCGATTGATCAATTTGACATTAATTTGGGGTGTTTTGATGTCCTTACTTGCATTGATGATTTCATTCAGACGAGGAACACCCTAAGTGATGGACATTCCTGCAACACCAGCAGAATGGAAAGTCTTCAAAGTCATTTGAGTAGCTGGTTCACCAATGGATTGAGATGTGATGGGTCCCACACTGGTACCAGGTGCCATAACCATGCTTAAGAAGCGTTCCATCCAACTTCTGATGAACCATTACAATTATTTTTCAGAAACCAATTAGTTGGTACTCTTAAACAAGGCCAAAACTCTCTTCTTCTCCTTCTCATAGGTGGCTTCATAATTTTCCAAGAATTTCTTGTGTCTCTCCTCTATTATCATAAATAGTTCATCCAATTTGATGAGCATCTGTTCTTTATTCAACAATATTTGATTCTTCCTGAGAACAGTGAACGAATTAGTCAAAAGATTCTATAACTTAATAACTTCGTTTGCATCTTCCACAGCCAGTGGATCTAATCCATCTTCTCCATACCTAAATTGAACAATCTCTTTGGTGTCACAAGAACGCACTGTAAGATCGTAAGCAATGTGCAAATCCTCAAGCATCTTCACCAACCTACGCTGCATATATCCAGTAGTGGCTGTCTTGACTGCTGTATCCGTCAAGCCTTCCCTCCCAGCCATATTGTGGAAATAGAACTCAATTGCATCCATTCCCGTATAAAAGCTATTCTTGACAAAACCTTTGGCCTTGGGATGCAGGATGTCTAAATTGGGATAGCGATCGCCACAATCCTTGAAGTGTGGGAGTGTCCTTCCTGTAAACCCTTCTGGAACTCTCTTTCCTGATATGACTTACTGTCCCACACAACCAATCATCTGAGCCACATTCACATTACTACCCTTGGCACCACACAGATACATAATCAACACCTTGTTATCACTCTTCAATTACTCCTGACACTTCGAACCCACTTACTCCCTCACATCTGAGAGAGTCTTATTCACCTTGGCTTCCAAGGTCTACTCAACTGTCAGCCCAGGATCAGCATCAATCACACTTCTTTAATAGTGTTTGCATTGCAAGTAACTCTGTTCAGTACTCTGATGGATCTATTCAATCAAAGATTTGGGTGCCATCACGTCCCCAATTCCAATAGTCATTCCATAATGCGATATCCATCTCGAAGACAATTTAGCGAATCTTTGCATGACTGATGCAGCTATTTACGTCGAATTGTCTCTTATGAGTGCGTAGAACAACCCTAATTTCGAAGCTCCCAGCACCTTCTTACCGATATTTCCGCAAACCAATTCACATTTATCAAATACTACATAACCATCACCGGGATCCATCCACAAATAATCCAACTTTCCTTTAAACGCATTACTTTCTTTTGCTTCTAAATTCAATACAAGTCTAGTCTTTCGATTTGGTACAAGCAACGAATTGATAACTTACTTTCCTGTCCATAATTATTTAGGTTTTAGTATTGTTGGAGCTGGCAAATCTATTTGTTCATTCGAATCGGAGAAGGCTGCACAAAATTACATAAATTATTCTCTGGAATAAAAGACATCCTTATTTGTTATCAACCAGGCAGTGGTAAGGAAATCTTATAGTAAGCAAACAAGGGATTCGCCACTTTTGATGGTTTTGAGATTCTTCTTCACATCCATCAAAATTAATGCTTCTGATCTTGCCTCGTAGGTTTGTGGTAGATGTATGTTCATTTCATCTCCGTCAAAATCAGCATTGAATGGAGTACACACACATTCATTGAATCGAAGAGTATGCCACTTGTCCACCCTGGCTCTGAAGGCCATCATAGAAATTCTATGCAAGGACGGTTAACGATTAAAGATGACGATGTCTTCTGATAATAAGTGTCGATCGACCACATCTCCGATTTTTAACTTAAAGGCCAAATGAGCTCTTCTTGCAAATTGCAAATTGTAATTGACTCCTCCCAATTTAACGAATTTGGCACCAGGATAGATGGAGGGTCCATTTTATACGTAGTCTCTCATCTTCTTAATGTTCAAGGCTGTGACAGTCTCAGGTACTGTCAGGATGCAAGCAATATGCTATGGAATTGTGACCTAATCAATAGCTAAATTAGGATCTGGAGAGATGACTGAACGCGCAGTGAATTCTGCTCTCTTACCTGATAGATTTCCTCTTAGTCTTCCTCGCTTCCCCTTGAGTCTCTAATAGATACCACGTATGTCCACCTTCCCGTCCTTGCTTGAGAATTAAGGCAAGCGAGGAGTCTCACTATTGAAGTAATGGAAGTAGTGTGCTTGAGTCAGGAATTAAGTTTTGAGAATTGACATGCCATCCTTTCCTTCCTTAATCCACTTCTGCAAGAGATCGTTGTGGTAGAGGATGGTTTTCAACTTCATCGTCAAATCATCCTCGTCTGCCTTGGTGGTATTGCTGAGCATTTTGCTGGGTCTTATATTGTTGGGTGGAGCAGGTATGATGGAGGTGATCAGATCAGACAGGTCGTTTAAGAATGGGTTGATGCAAAACAGGAATTGATGTTGTTTGGGGATGTTGCTGAATTGATTCCAGGCATAGAGTGCATTGATGTCCATGGTGTCCAAGATGATCTTGCCTGCATCTCCTTTGGCTAGTTTTTTGGCTTCTCCGATCTGATTGCAAGAGCAATGGGGACACTCTTTGTTCGATCGGCATTTCTTGAGGACCTTCTTGAAGACCTTCAGCTGTGCATTGTAGGATCGTGTTTATATGCAATGTACCATCTTTTGGGTCAATTGATTGATCTCTTCGGGCGTTAACCTCACTTGACCGCATTTCTAGGACTTCAGTTTAATATGATACATAGCACAGGCATTTCAAGCACTTGACCACGTGATTAAAGAAGCCGAGGTGATAGATTGGCAATTAGAGGGGAATGTACCCAAAATGTCCTGGACATTCATTCAATAATGTGCAACTGCTGCATTGAGTGTCTCGCAAACTTTGACCCATGCGCAAATCAAGTGGACCGTGTTCGATATTCTTCCCAGTCATTTTATCGTAATTTTTGTCTCTAAAGATTTTGACTTCTGCTAAATTGATAGCATCTTGTGGGGACAATATTGAGTATTGCAATCCTCCTCTATATATATATTGTGGATGATAGTGTTTACATCTTCCTCTTAATGTCATTTAATTTGATGTACATGTTTGGTGAAAGAATATAATTAATATAAGATGAATTCGGAGTTGTAAATGAAGAGGGAATAGTTTATGGTTCAAATCAGAAAGCAGGCTCGCGAGGAGATTTTCTCTAAGAAAAGACAGACGAGCATCGGACAGGATGGGGAAGTGGTGGAGAGGTGCAATCCTGACGAGCTAATCAATTTCATTTATCAGACTTATTTGGAGTAGGATTTCAAACATTTAGCTCGCTTGTTAAAACAATACAATTTGAATTATTTGAAATTGTTGGAGGAGTAGAACATAACTGATTTGCCCGTTCTGAATCAATTTGTCACTCACTTTAGCAGCAATGGCAACAGTTTAAAATTATTCTTCGATATAATTCGAATGAGTGGCATTCCGTTAGAAATCAATCTGACCTCAGATAGGTTGATGTGCATAATCCAAGTGTTGGTAATCTTGATCAATTTCACCTATTTGGAACGGAAGGATATAGTGGAGAATCTGTTGCAGAACGACTTGATCACTCTCCTACTGAAGGATTTGATGAGTAGAATGGTATAATCTGATAAAGTCCAGATTCACTTCGATAGATGGTGTGAGATTCTCGAGAGTGTAATCAATCTTTACTATGAATTTATCAGATTTGCCTAATTTTGATAAACGTCTAATTCGAATTGGATAATCGGAAAGTATTGACTTTTAGAGAGGAAATACTCAGATCTCAACTATTTAGAGTTTGGTCTAAAATATATCCCAAAAACCCCATAGCGAAGGCATGGAAAGCCATTCTGCTGTTGGAGTGCAAATTGCTGGAATCCAACGAGATTGATCTCGCTGACATTCCTCATTACAATGTATGATTTTTCACTCATTATGTATAAGTTTAATTGCATCATCTCGCAATGCACCTACTTGATAGACAAGGTGCATATGGAGGATGAGAATCTCTATAAGAGAGTGTTGGAGATCTTGTAGAAGTTGTCTGAATTCAAAGTCGCCTCAGCTCTGACCTTGACCTTGACCAAGTTCGTTTGGGAGAAGATCCTGAAATTGAATCTGTTCCCGAACAAGTTCTTTTCGATCTTCGCCAATTTCCTCGCAGAAAAGGATAATGATCATTACATCCTTCAGTATTTGATCGACATCGGTTTGATTGAATCCATGATCAACTCGTTAATGAATCTCGCAGATGTCTCCTTAATCGAAATAATCTACAGGTGCTTCAATAACATACTTTACTATCCTCACGCCTTCATTGCTGAAAAAGCAATCTCAGTGTTTCTACCCTTCCTTCACAATTACTTCAACCAATCTTCAATCCTCAAGTAGGAACTTTGCATGGAATACCTATTCCTACTATAAACCCTCGTTGTCCATTAGTAATTGTCAGACTACCACCTGAACGAGATCTTCATTAACCTCGATTGCTTGAAATACGTTAGCTAGATGTAATTGTTGTCGAAATCAATATAGGTTGCTTTTGTGTACCTGCTTGACCAAATAGATCGCTGAGTTGTTCATTACATTCCCTAAGTTACCAGGGGAATTTAAGTCGATCATCCTGGAGAAGGTGGATGATTATGGCTTTGTGGAGATTCTGAACAACCAAGCTACCATGAGTAAGGACGATGGAAGCATCAACTTAATATTGAACCTGATACAATTATGGGAACAGAGCGAGTAGGAAGTAGTTATAACCTGATGTTGCAGTTGAGAGTATTTTAATATTTATGATATAACTTACAATTAAGTATAAATAAAATTTATAATCATGCAACTCAGAAGGGAAAGAATCCATCATCATGGCAAAACCAATAAGGACATCAAGTAAGACTGCAATTAAAGTGTAGATACATTTCCAAGGTGAGTGAGAGTGGGGATCAGACTGAATTGGAGAGACCCAGAATCCAGTCATTAAATAGTTCCAACAAGAAGAACTTCCCTCAATTGTTGGAGAGTCGTAGAAAGATGATATCCAGTTTTGTAGACCCTGTTGCTGAAACCATGAGTTTCACAAAAAAGAAATATGATCACCATCAGATCGGTTATCCGAGGTAAACTCAATTGGAAGACCAATCCAAACGACCATTTTGCGGAGATTCTAATGTGCACTATAATCGAAAGGACATCTCAAGGAATTTTGACAAAGCGGATGACCAGAATTCGGGGGACAAAGCCAAGTTGGCAAATCAAAAGATGGAGGAGAATGCGAAAGGCATTCAAGAAACACAACTGGTCGGATTGGAAAACAAAGTAACTTTGGAGGGCAAGGTGGATTTGGAGAAGGTGAGAGATATCAAGAGATCCATTCGAAGAAGATATGCAAATAGGAAGAACTTCCAAAAGATTTTCAATTCTTGGGATGAAGATGCTAATGGAGCCATCAGTGTTAAGAACTTGTACAACATGGTCAACAGGATGGGCATTAATATCAATCAAGACGAAGCTAAGGTGTTGTTGGCTAGTGCGGATAAGGATGGATCAAATGATTTGGGAATGGATGAATTTATGGATCTCATATTTAACGATAAGGACATTCTGAACGTGGATCTCAAATAACTAGATACCACCGATAAGAATACTGCCATCAATATTTTGATCTAAGATGCTTAGTTGGCTCATCAGAGGAAGCATCACAATCAAATAAATATCATACTTAAGAATAGGGTATTAATGGTGTGTGTATTCTTGAATAGCAATTGAAATTGGGATAGTGGCTGTTGGAAGCTGATGAGAAGCAAGAAGGCTTTTTGAGTCAGAAGAAATTCGAGGAGGTGGTAAAGAAGTTGAGGATTGACGAGAAGATCTTAAGCAATGAGGACATTAAGGAGTTGGCTAGCAATTTTAGGGGAGACAATCAATTTATTGATTACAAACAATTCATCACTCATTTGAAATAGTTTCAATTGAAAGAGGAAGTTTATGTAAATATATTATAGCTATTGATCAGGATGATCCATACGCTCTCAAGGAAAAGATTGAATTAATTAAGAATAAATAGGATAAATAGAAGTATTAAAATATTACATTATGTAGATTTCGAATCAATGTTTTTGATCTCACTAAAGTGAATGGGTGGCATCTGGAAAGAATGAGATATCGAGCCAATAATATGATCAATAAATTAAAGAAGTATCTCCCAGATAAAGAGAATTTCCAAGAGTATTTGCAGGAGAAGGTCAATGGAGATACAATCAATCAAAAGGAATTCAATAAATTAGTTGTCCAATTCCTCAATAGTGTAAATGAAACGCATCATAAATTCGACATTGAATCTCTCTTGAGTGTTGTTCAATTCAATCAATATAATACATAATCCAAATCTGAAGTATTGAGAATTCTTTACGAGTATAAATATCTAATTATATAAGCGAAAATGATGATGACTTTTTCGAAAGAGCACAACAATAGATCAAGTAACCCCCGCCTCCTCAAGATAAGGCGATCTTACAAGGATCACTACCTGAAGAAACCAAAGATACTCAATCAGAAATTACTAAGAGTTATTACTGCAGAGATCTTGGCTTGTCCATGAACTTGCCAAATATAAGGAAGCAAGTCCAGGCTGTTCTAAGGAAAGTGGATGATTAAATATTTAATAAGAGAGAGAAACAATTGAAGATATTTAAGGAATTCGATGTAGATCAGGATGGTTATGTTTCATAAGTAGATTTGTAACAAAGAATGAAACACATTTTGACTTAGGATGAAATACGTTTACTAATTTAATATATCGATCCAGAGAATAAGGGATTCTCAAATTTCACAGAGTTTTCATCAAAGATTAGGAATGGGATGACCATTCTGGATGAGAATGGGGCTCAATTAATCAACGTCAACACCCAACCGAGCAAAACCACCATCATAGCGGCTACTTCATTTCTACCTGAATTGTAAAAGTCTATTGATGAATTCAAAAAACCCTTCATTGCCTCTAAGAACAGATCTGATTATAAACCGTCGACAAGATACGGAGCAACACCTTGTTTGAAGGATACCTTTGCGAATATTGTTCCTTTAGAGAAGAGTGGTCTATGGGCATCGGCAGAATAAAGATTCAGTAAGAACAGGGAAGAGTACTAGAAGGAAGAGAAGAAGTTAAAGGAGTTTAGATAGGAGTAGAAGCTGGAGAGAATTAGAAGTTATCAATAGGAGATAAGGGGTAGAATTAAATCATAAGATGATTTCCAAAAATGAACAGCAATTTTAAATGATATATATTTATGTATTCATTACGCACTATGATCTATTTAAAGATATTTAAGGGTAGGCGTCAAAGGTAGGCATCAAAGGAAAGAAAAGACAATGGAGAAAGGAAAATAGAAGAGAGAGAAAAAAGGGATTAGAATGAGATAATTCGCAATATCTCATAATTCAATCAATATCACTGATGTTATTTTTCTTCTACACCTGTCTCTTTGAGTTGTTTGAATAGCAGTGAAGCCTCAGGGATCTTTGAGAACTCGATGCAGAATCCTTGTATTTCAGTGAACATTTTTTTGGGATCTAGGGTTTTTGATTTGATGAGGGTTTTGATGAAAACAGCTACCAATCTCACATATCTGGACACCATCTATTGTTTGGGCTGTTGTTTAGGAATAATGTGTACTTGCAATTATTCACAATACTGGATGCACTGGGACAGATACATGTGGAGGAAGGCTTCAGGCAATTTGATGGAATTGGAGAGTTTGTTGACAACTTCCAAACTCTGTAGTGAAATCTTCATTTGGATCAAGCATTCGAAGTATTCATGGATGCTGATTCCGCATTGATTGATGCGAGCCAACAGGAAGCTTGACAGATCGGGATTGAATTCAATAAGGTTGGGGAGTTGATTGGGAGTGATTCCGCTTTCCAAGACAAGTCTCTGATCTTGATTGAGAAGATCAATGGTTTCCTATGCTTCCCTCTGAGACAATTTGGATTGTTGAGCTTTCAGGAGATTCTCCTTGATTCTTACTAGTGGCTCTTGGCTGACTTCAATGGTATAATCCCAGAGAGGATCAGCCAATTGAAGGGTGATCCAATTAAATGTGGATGGAGTTGTAGTTGGTACCGGTCGTAGATAATCAACTGAAAAGGAGGTGAAGATGTGTTCAAGAGCATTTCGTAATGATGGACATTGAATCACAGCTCTCATGGTTTGGGGTTGATGATTAATTAATTAGGTTGAAGTACTCCATTCATCAACAAGTTATCTCAGATTACATTACCCGCACTCTAAATTAAGTTATATAGCGAAACCTATTCCTTATTCAACACAAGTCTCTTCTCCAAAGCGTTGCCACACTGCGTTTCATCTCCTGCAAAGTATAGACACACTATCCGTTGTGATGGAGTCAAAGATGCGACATCAATGACTTAGTTTAGAATCCACGGCTCTGGGAGGGACTTACGATAGCTCTCTAGAGTGCCATCATTGATACTCTTTAGAAAGTCATACACTTGGTCGATTTGATTTTTAGAAATCATTTTTAATTGTATTAATACGTTCATTATTATTCCTTTTTCTTTTTTGCCAATTCAATCAGATGTTAAATCATTCTCTTACTTTACTATTCGATGTTGAAGGCCTCGTCCCTCTCAGTCTCCTCATTCTACCCGTTCAAATACTTGATCAATCTGTCGAAGGTCTTATCCCCCAAATATGCATTGGCTGTCCATGAAACACCGACACGACCTATAAAACTTTGGATTTAACTTCAATACCAGCTCTTCCTATCAACTGAAACAAGGCGCCGACGGATCGCTTTTCTGCCATCTCATCAAATACAATGACGTGATTCAAGGGGTAATTGACACCATAGCACATAGAATCATCTGAAATAATCAGAGCCAATTGCCCGTTTGATGCCAACTTCTACACCTCCTCATAATAATCAATGTCCAATTCGGATTACTAATAAAAGATTCATGCAATTTAAAATACCTTTTCTGTATAGGCTGCAATTCCAGAGAAGAGATACAACATAATGTCATCCGGGATATCAAGTTGATAGTTGATTCCCTCCAGCGAGAATGCCTTTCTGGCTCTGTATTGTTCTAGATACAAGGGATCATTGGTAACGAATTTCTAATTGAGAATTATTGCTTACTTTGTAATGTTCCAATGTATTTATTTTCAAGAAGTCAGGAAATGCTATTGTCAACTTCATGCCTTCTTGTAAGGCTTGGATTTGTTTGGATCTCTCGTCCTCGTTATCGATTTCTCTTTCCTTCTTCTGGATTTCCTTCTCCAAATACTCGTGTTATTTTAGATATTGTTTCACGTATTCTGAAGCTGGAGCACACTTCTTGAGGAGTTTGTGGAATTTGGCTCTGATGAACTCGACTGGCTTGTTTACAGCAATCAAACAACCCCCCAAGAATTTATGAGCCATATTGCCACCCAACTGTCTAATATCTAACTTGTGATATGGAGCTGTGAACTTCATTTTGTCCTCATCATCTATTTCGATTGTATATGTGTATTTTGATTTTGGCTTTTATTATTGCTACTATTGTAATTACGAATTATCTTCGGTCTAATTTACTGCTCCTGTATCCTCAACTTCCTCATACACGTATTCGTATTCGTACTCATATTCTCCCTCCTCTTCTTCTTATGGTTATTCTCCTCCCTCTTACTCTTGTTCAGCTAATTCTTATAGTTGAACAACGTCCTGTTTTTCTGAACACACTTTCTTAAATGATTCATCATCGACTGTTAACAATATCTTCAATAACTCAATGCTCTTTCTTTATACAAATTCTTGAGTGATGATATCGAATGTTTCAAAATCTTCGATGTTGGCTATTCCACATCCCTTCATTCTATCATACAACTCACAATAAGCATTGGCATTGTAGCACCTCTTCATAAATGGGTTCTTCTCCAATCTATCCAAGATTTCAGCCAATTGCTATTTGTTCTATGCCTAATAATGTGGCAAGAACTTGTGACCACTATGAGAAAAGACCTAACAACCAATATGGAATTGAGAATCATGGACCACAGGGATATCAATCTCTGAAATTTGAGCCTTCCTGTAAAGCTTGATGAAACTTGGGATTTTCTCAGGAGGTGGCAACGTAGCACTTGATAATATCGTAATGGGGGGAGCTCGACGAATTATGTCAATCAATATCTTGGTCACTTCGGCATCTGCAAAATCAGCATCAACTGTGGGTTCATCGATAAACAAAATGTAATCCTTTCCATGCTTGGCTGGATTATGAGACACCAATTTACGATCCTTACCCTACCATCTAACTACTTGCTTCTCCCTTTCTGACAAGGTGTGTTTCTCCTTCAACAACTCCAAGGTAGTCTTGAAGTCAGCCACAACCAAAGTTGGGAATTCCTCCTGTCTATTTTACCAGGAATTGACTAATCTTGGACATTCAGCATATCCTAAATCAGAATCCAGCTTGGAACTCTATGAATCCTTCCACATGGATGCAATAGCAAATTTCAATTTCCTCTCATACGCAGCAGCACCTACTTAGGTTCTCACGGTATCCAAAGGACAACAATACAAAAATTAGACTTCTCTGGGATTCCTATATCCTAGATTCTTCAATTAATTATAGGCATTGTTTTCTTGAAGTGCATAGCTATCCCTCAAGCGTGCCAAGTATTAAGCAATGGCCACACTCAACACAGTCTTACCTGTACCAACCATAGTACTAAAGAAGATCAAGGAGGGCTTTTCTGCTTTCTTCAAGATTTCCAAGAGGTTTTCCTATGACTTATATGGACGCACATCAGTTCTGATGAATGCTTGATTTAAATCTGTATCGATGACCAATTTTGGATACTTATTAAACAAGACTCTGTTTGAGAAACCAAAGTTCTTGTACAACTCTTTGAGTTTGTATCTGAGATCCTCGACTGCTTGAGGTGCCAATCTTTCCTTCTTTGTCTCATCCAAATAGGATTGACCCTCGTATTCCTTGTAGTTGAGATAGACATTTTTCAGAAAATAGATTAATTCGAAGGCGTATTCATCCCTGAATTTGGAGTGGATGTGACACTTGATCAATTGAGTGGCATAGATCATCAAGGCTGAGAACTTGAGTTCCATCCATTTCAAGGATTTGATACGTTTACTTGCTTATTCAGTTTTAAGAAATTCATTTTCCTTAGGCTTTAAATCCTGATTTAAAATGATCAATCCCATCTATTGTAACATCTTCACCGTTTGATCATTAACCTTGTCCTTCGACAACTCAATACGCATCAAATCTTCCTTCTTGACTGCATTCTTACCACCCTTCTTACCCTATGCCTGCTTCTTCTCCTCCTATTTGGGATTGCCATCATCAATCTTGCTCAGAATGCCATACTCGACCAATTTTGGTCTCAGGTACTTCAAGTACAAGTCTTGACCCACACAAATTTCGTAGATGACATTCGATTTCTAAACCTCCTATTATTACGGCGCTTACTCTGGTTTCTTCTGCTTACCACCCTTTTACTTGCTATTATCCTTCTCCTTCTGCACAACCTCCGCGACTGCTTATTTCTCGATCAAATCCTCTGCACTGTTATTACCCAATTATTGTAGTGTAGACAAGACTCTTGTCTCAAATTAGCTGAAATTCTTCTTTTCTATTTTCTCCCATTGCTCTTTGACAAACTTACCAAAACGAGTGTTCGTCGTCTAATCCTTTTGTTCATATTCTTCCTCATTTGGCACGTATTGATCCTCGATTTGCTACATATTTTAATTAATATCTTCATGACCTTAATTATATGGCTAACAATTATATGCCAACAAAAATCCCAATGACCCTTAAATGTGATACAACTAGAATTACTTCATCTTTGCACTTTAAAACGAGATACTCACTGGCGAAATGGCCAAATTAGTCTTAGGCTAACCCTTTGAGATCCCAACATCTGAAGCCCAAACAAAATAATGAGTTGCAAATGCTTAATAAGCATTAAAAACAGAATAAAGAATTACAAAGCATTCATCAAGAGCAGTCGTCAATTACACCGAATGGAGTATGATGGTCAACCTCTTTGTGGCTATTAAAATCCGAAATCTCACCAATAAGATAAGTCGATCATTTAGTCGTTCAATTATAGAACCAATAACTTAGGTCCTGAATAACAGAGAGGTCTTTGCAAAACTAATCCAAGATAAACCACCAAAAGAGTGTCGAGCGCTATGAATTGTAGAAACACAGAATCCATACCAGAAATGCAAGTTTGGAAGAGAGATTGCTATATGGACATGTTAAGACTTACTGGGAGGCGAGAAGATTTATATTATTATACAGAAAGCGTTTTCCTGTTTAACTAACGCGATATGAGGAGGGATTCAATTTTTTCAAGTAACAACTCTAATTCGCTAGAGAACTCTTTAATATTCAACGAATAAAGTGCTAACAAGAGAATAAATGACTGCCACAAAAGGAAGCATTATGCTCTAGACTATTAACTGAAATTTCTTATTCGGACGAAAGAGCTTCCTATTAATTAGAAGAATCAAATAGAAAATTAGACCCAAAATTCGATTAAAGAGCAAGAAGGGGTGATATTATGACTAAGAAATCAGATTTCATTTTGTAGAATAATTTAAATTTGGCAACATTTTTGTAAATATCAAAAAATTTGAATGTTTAACGTCCCAATTATGTATATCAAAAGGAATTAGTATAACAGACAAGAATTCGCATAACTCATCCATATAGAAAATGTTTAAAATTAACAATTTTAGTGATGGCAGATTTAATAGGATCACAAATATTTTAGTACTTCTTCTTAAAGAAATAAGAAGATATAAATGATATAGCTTCTATATTTATTTCAATATTAAAGTTTTTTATCCTACAATTTGCCTTCAAATGAATCTAGCATTTTGTTTACATCCTCCTCAGGTTAATTAGTTGATCTAATATTCTGAGGCATTTGTTATGCTTTAATCTTTTGATTCGAGATTCCCTTAAGAATGGTACAATTAGAACGGATGGTTTTACTGAAATTGTTGTCGCTAACATCGCAAGCCTATGCTAAGTACAATCCCTTAAACTCAGATCTATCCATCCTAAGAGTGCGTTTCTTATTGACACTAAGTGATTACTATCTTGTTATGCTTATACAATTTACTTGGCTAGACTATGCACATTTTTAGTTGACTGACTATTCTAATTTACTAGTTTGAGGTCTTACATGTAATGAAAATGATGGTTTATCACTGTCTACTGTAAATGGACGACTTGTTCTTTCCTGTTTCTCCTCGATTTGTTACAGAGTCTATTCAATAATGTCTAGAGAGGGTCGAGATGCACGAGATGGTCGTCTAACATGAATGGTTTTAGAGATTCCCATCTTGTGAGATGGAGACAATCCTGCTTTATAATGTATTTCATCGTTCTCTTATTACCTCTTGGCATTGAGTTTCCGAATAAGTTTCATATTCTCTTGTTTTAAGTCCCATCTTATTTATTCAACTTTGTGTTCGTTCTCAATGCGTTTCTCAATCAATTTCACTGCCTCCTCTTCCATGGCCAAGATTTTGGGATTCACCAGCATTCTAATGTGCTTCTGAGAATGCTGTCCCACTTTATTCCAAAACAATTCAGGCCTTCCTTGCAAAGTAGTATTGTATTATATGGGTTTGAGTTGTAATTGATCTGCTTCAATATCTGATTGTTGTTGACTCAGATTTTATAGACCAGCCCTCTCCAATTTACGGGTTTGCATCCTCAAATGGTCCTCCTACTTCAATTAATTAAAATAGATGTGCTTGCTCATTTAATACAATTATTTGTCTCTCTCTTCTTGCTTTTGCAATTGCTTAATGCGTTTCTCCCCTCTAAGTTTCTATTCCTAGATCTTGGCAAACACCTTCATATTCGAACTGGATTGGTGTTGATTGTTCCAAATATTCGAATTATCATGATAATAAGAATGATTCTTCTTCTGCGCCTACTACGGAGGTAGAGTCTGATATTTAGGGAGTTGTTGCTCCATATAATACTTTTCCATTGCTGATTTAGGACACAGAGGATGATTTTAAATCATTAATAAGAATAATTAATATCATATATTTTAGATTTAAAAGAATTCAATCAAAAGCAGCAACCTCTCATAGCTGCATAAATTCTAAAAACACTCACCTCAGCCATCATAAAGATTTCTACCAAACAAATCGTCTCGATCAAATAAATTTACAATACTTACATATTCATAAAAGTTGGTTCATTATTCAATTTCGTCTACTTTTTAATTTGCTATTTAGATTGATAACAATACGCTTCTCGAATTTGTTCAAATTTTTTATTCTATAGAAGAAGACCTTTATCAATACATAACTAAATTGTAATATACCTATATAGATTCATCTACCAATTGCATATCTGTTAAAAAAAACAACATAATAATAGCCCTTTTGGTGAGGAAGAGAAGTCGATCACAAGAGTAAAAATAAGTTTTATGCGTTATTCCAAAAATTAACTTTAGAGGATAATACTATTGCAAATTTAGTGAAGTCGGAATACCTAAAATTATGTCTTGATTTAGAATTTATTAAATTACTTTTATATTAAAATAATTAACATAAATTAATATAATTTAATTATGAGCACAAAAAAGACCTAGAAGGTTATAGGCAAAACTTAGAAGATTGTTGAGAAATAAAGTTAAGAATCTTCAAATAAAGAATAAAAAATAAAAAGTAAAGTCAACAGATTAGAATAATAACCACAAGAAAGACAAAATGGAATTATTTATGTTGGGCATTTACCTTATGGGTTTGTTGAAGATGGATTGAAGGAATACTTTACTTAATTTGGTGACGTACTTGGAGTCAAAATATTTAGAAGCAAAAAAGTAATCCATAAATTTACATTTTCAGACCAATAGAGTCTAAGGCTATGGCTTCGTAAAATTCGCTGATAAGGAAGTAGCACCTATTGCAGCATAGGCTATGAATGGTTATTTAATGAATGGAAAAAAGTTAGTTGTCAATGTCTTAAGTGACTAACATCCTGATCCTTTCAAATATAAACATGGAAATTAAAAATTGCATTTTATTAATTGGTCCGAAAAAGCGGTTGAAGAATCAAACAAAGTATTAATATAGTACTAGGTAGGAAAAATCAAATGAATAAATTGTTAAGGAAGTAGAAAGGTTATTATCAAATGAAGAAGAGAAGAGATAAAAACTAAAAGAATTAGGAATCAATTACACTTACTAAGGATTTGTATTTATTCAACTTTACTATTATTTTAGAAAGAATTGCTTAAAGCCTGAATTGACCGATTTGATAATAATTATTCTATAAATTAATATTATTGAATTTAATTAAATCACACTCTATTTTTTGAGATCATATGATTATGCATAGTTTTTTCCTTCTAACCTAAATACAACTTTAGAATAAAAGACTCAATAAAATGATTATACTCTTTGATTAGAAATATAAATTTCTGAATAGCTTACTGGGTTTATCAAAACTTATTGCTCAATTTAATATGCTAAATTCTGACATCTTAACAACTTTGGGTCAACAGCTTTTGGTAACTCGAATATTGTGCTTATAATTATGTTAAGTCTTAACGAATTAAGCTCAACTAAAAATAATTAACAATTGTGTTTATTCAATAAAATATAACTATAATGTTGTTGAATCCCAATTGATAATTTAATTATAAATTATTAAAAATCATAGTCATAGACTAATTCTCTCTTACCTTTTGTATTTATATAGTTTTTGACTTCTACACATATATTAGTTATTTAACAGTGAGAGGGCTAACTTTAACTTAATCGTACCATTAAAATTGTCTAATGAAATACAAAATTAAATTCTAAATTCATTAGCTCATAAAAAAGTACATTAAAGTTCAATAAGCCATAAGAAAGTGCTCAAAAATATTTAAGATTTTATGTAGCATTCAAAATTCTATTTTCTTAATCATTATTAATATTGTAAATGAATACTTAAGAAAACATTCTCCAAGGTATGAATTTATTTAAAAAAACTAAGCCATAAACTTAAAAAAAGAGAAAAGGTATGATGAAGCCATTTAGGTTCTATCTAAGTGTGATCAGAATGACTCAGAAGTGCTTTATCATATTGGAGACATCTATTTAATATTTAAGTATCCAAACGAAGCTCTGTAATGCTTTGAAAATTCACTCATCAAAAACCCCCTTTCAGCTGTGACCATCAAGGATATGGGAAGAGCCTTCATGTTAAAAAAAGAATACACCAAAGCTGTAAACTGCTTCCTAAAAGCATACAAAATAGATTAATAATAATTAGACATATTTAAATTGATCAGTATCGTTATACTTATTTTTGTTAAGCCATGTGTTACATGGAGAATGGCGAATATGATAAAGCCTTTGTTTATGCCAATTAATAATTAGCTCGCTTTCCAAAAGATCCAGATTCCTATTGTTTGAGAGGTGTTTATATAAATATATTCATAGGGAAATACTATTTAAATACGTGCAAATATGAATAATCAATAGACAGTCTCAATATATGTCTGAAATTGAGACCAAAAAATGCATATGCCTTAGGAACTAAAGGTTTCAGAATTTGTTATTATTTCCTTAGGATAAGCATTTATGATGCTTGGCAAAATGCACGAAGGACATCAATGTCTTAATGAAGCAATCCAGATAAATCCAAACATAGCAGAATTACATGTTGATATTGGATTGCTTTTTGAAGGGATGAGTAACATTTACCTCGCCATTTTATCGTATGATCAAGCTCTATAGATCCAGCATGACAATCCAATATCGATTTAAAGATTATGTATAAATATTGATATTTCGAGACAATCTGAAATTGCATCAGTATTAAAAATTAGACAACAATAAATCACCAAAAACAAAATTGACCTAAAATTACAATGAAATAATCGCTAAGATTCCCTAGTCTCAGTAATATTATATTGCCTTATTTTATACCATATCTAATTTCTTGCAGGGTTATTTAAATGTGACTGATATGACCAAATTGAATTATTAGAAGCAAATTGGTTATATTAAGAATCTAATAGACATCAATCATCAGTTGGGAGTGTTATGCTCTCCGATATCTTCATTCTTTAGAGGGATTGAGTGCTATCTAGGTAAAACTAACACTGAAATTCAACAGTATATTTCTGAATGGATAAGCTAGAAATACCTAAAAACCTTTAATCTTAAAGATTTGAATGTCGTTCTATCAAATATTGTGGGAGAGGTCGTCATTCACAAACATTCTCAGTGCCTATTTAACCAAGAAAATAACAATCTGAAGGTTGATCATTTATTGCCTATAATTCAAAATAGTGAAAATTAACTATTCAATAATTATTTAGCAATATAAGGATTGCATGATGGTGTAAATATGATTCAAAGAATGTTAATATTTTGTACTCCATTTTTGAAAACGTGGGATGCTGATTTTAAATCTATTCTAATCAATATTTTATGTTATGATGAGTGACTAATTTAATATTTTATATATATATACTTAAAGGATGTAATCTTTACATTTATTATCTGTAGTTAATGATTTTGTGATTAATGAAACTATATCAATATAATAAAATAGTAATAGAAAAACCAAATATTTCAAATAATTAGAATTCTGAGATCAAATAATCTAGTTAAGAAAGAATTAATAAATTAACAAGTAAACTCAGTAATTTCATTTGCTTAAAGGTTTGGGAAGAATAATTTAGGTGATATAAATTTTGATTAATAATTTGAATAGCATTTTAGAAAATTCATTAAGAAAAATTAAGAAAAGTTATAATACAAATTTAATTTGAATTTAGGATAAAAATCATGATTTGGAATTCTATAATTAATTAATAACAAAAATTTCATTAAATTTTATTATATGAAGTTATAGTAGTTTTCGAACACATGATTATGCAAGTGTTAAGGTGGTCTTTGAATTTAGGATTTGGATTTCGTGGAACTTTAGTAAAATGCTCTTCCTTGATAGAATTCATATACCAATGTGAGAGGGCTTGAGAGGCTGTTATTCTTTGTAATGGATTGTGATTTAATAAGCTTCTCAAGAATTGATATCCACAATCTGGTATATCCAACACAGATAATCGAGATATCGTAAATTTCTTATTGAGTTTAAGGATGTCAACCACTTATTCAGCTCGGAATAAATGTTTATTAAAGTAAAGTTAATACATGACTACTCCAATACTGAAGATATCAGATTTAAAATCAAAGGGTTTGTTGATCAGGACTTCTGGAGCTATGTAACCAGGAGTGCCACAACTAATATTTCTGGATTCTATATTAATAAATTGACATGCTAATCCAAAATCGATTATTTTAATTTAATTCTCGTCATCAATCAAAATATTATCGATTTTTAAATCTCGATGTATAATATTTTTGGAATGAATATAATTAACGCCCTCCAGAATAGCCTTATTAATTATTTATCATACTTTCATAATTAATTTAATTTCTTCATGATCGTAGTCATTTCGTAATTTGTTTAGCTTTTCCATTACAACATAAATTGTATTTGTACTTTCATAAACTTCATAAAATCTGGCAACATTTTTATGTTGCAACATAGACCAAATATGGATTTCTCTTTTGATGTCATTGATAACCTCATTGTTTTCTTTTTTCATACATTTGGCAGCATATAATTTATGAGTTATTTTACACTGAAGCAAACATACTTATGAATAGTTGCCCTTCCCCAGAGTGCTGAGAAAGTTGTACATGTTACTGATCTTCTTATACGTAACCAATTGGCCCAAGATAGATTTGAGCTTCAGAAGATCATGATGATCACCCAGAAACAAAAACGCGTTTATTTCAAAGCCTTTTAAGAAGTTATTCTCTTGTCTCCAGACAATATTCGCATCTAGGTTTAAAGGAAATGTCATCATTTGGATTTAATTCATGATCACCAAGTTATTGTCATTGTCAATAGTAAGATGACATTAAGTGTTGTTAAATGTGACTTTGATGTAAAAATTCATTATTATTAGAAAAAATTGCTTTGATAAAATCAGAAAATAATTTAAATTATAAAAATAAAAGTCAGATAATCATGTTTCCAAAGCCTTTCTTTATTTTAATCGCTAGCGAGATTAACTTAACTTCTATTTCAATTTATTCAAAGTTCTAATAGCCATATTGAATGATAATCTTGTGATAGCATTATGAATATCACTCTCCGTCACTATAAAATTCCCTTGGTGTTCATTTTATAGAGGAAATCTACCATGCTTAGTCACCCACGGATGTTCCTGAAATAATTAATAGAAGATACTAACACTTATTATGTTGTAATTCTATCATTAGGATTTTTCTCTAACATTCTCTTGAGTAAGTCTGTCAAGTCTGAGGTTTCTCTCCACTTAATGCTCTAAGTGAGAATATTATTCTTTAATTGATCCTATCTTAATGAAATAAACGGATGTTCATTATAAACTAATTGGTATAATGTTAACCCAGCAGCCCAAACATCAATCGGCTTGCCTCTTACTTACTCGTCAGTAAATACTTCTGGTGGTTAGTAAGCTGATGTTCCAATTTTTGTTTTGACTAAATCATCATCCATAATTTGAGAAACCCCAAAATCTGCAATTTTCAACTTCATTTCTTAGTTTAAGAGAAGATTCTCAGGTTTAATATCCATGTGAGCAATATTGGCAAAATTGTGCACTTATAAGTTAGTATAGATATATTATACAATATTCTAGTCCTAGCATGAAATCACGAAAGAGTTTCCATACAATTTCAATACTTTTATTTTTAATTGATAATATCTGAGGTCCATCCATATATTCTAAAACCAAATACAATTTATCATTATTAGGATTTTCAATTACTTCATAGAGTTAAACGATGTTATCATGGTCTACTTTCTTCATTATTGCTATTTCTTTATCCAGTAATGAATAAGCATCAAGTTTACTCGAAAGTAATTTCAACTTTAACTTCTTTCTATCGCATATTTTCATTGCCTAAATTTAATTACCTTTAAATTTATACATATTTTCTATTGTTATTGTCCTTTGCCAATTTCACTTTCCCAAATGATCCTCTACCAAGTTCTTGTAGTATTGTGTATTAATTAATCTTCACTTAACCATCCTCGGTTACTTCTTTCTTCATTATTGAATGATTTATTTATCTTTGTGATCCCATCATTTTCTTATCTCCTCCATTCGAGTTTATTGCATTTTCTAAATCAATTATTTCATCAAACAATGTTTCGTCTGTCATCCCTTGACCATCTACAATCTAAATCGAATCTCCAATTGACTTTTATGTTGATAAAAATTTAATCTCCCCAATTATAGGAGAGGGCATGCTATCATTTTTCTTCTTTGCAAACCTAATCAGATCTACTTCAAAAAGGTTTTTCGGACTAATTTGTCGACTCTGTAATCTGCTTTTTACAAAATCAATTAAATTTCTTTATCTATATTTTATATAATCTTTTAAAGTGCTTTGCTTATTCCTATCTGGAGAATTAGGAGCAGAGGCAAACTAGTTAAAACTAAAATTTTATCCAGGCGTTCTACTTATAATGGGCAATTGTAACATTCTTAATTTAAAATGTATATTTTTATTACTCTTATTACTAATCCAAACTATTCCAATTTACAAACAATACTATAAAATATAATTTATTATTATGGGAGAATAAATTTCCAAAGACTCTTGCAACTGTGCTGATTCGCCTTAATATTTAAATACTAACAATTATGATAATATCATAAATCACTAATAAGCCATTTCTCACTTCGATATTATAAATACAACTCTGAATGATTAACTAACAGAAAAAAAGCATCCATAGTCATATCAAGCAGATCTTTAACAAACTAACAAGATATCGCCCTTTTAACACCAGGAACAATATAGGAAAACGCCAACCTTGATTTTAAGAGTTATCGCTTCTGCCACCTTGGATGAAAATTAAATTTTTGAGTTTCAACCGAATCATTAATCTAATGTTATTTATTTTGGTTGTAAATACAAGAACAACAGAGGAGGTTATAAAATTAATGATTTTAAAATCCCTTCTATAGATAACAAATTGAATAAAAAGAATAGAGGATAGCATTTTTATATTAAATATGATTATCAAAACTAAAACTTTAGAATTAAGGACTTAGGAATTGGATTCGGCTGTTTTTTCAAGGCAAGTGAAATTCAATTATAAAACAATACGCTAATAACAATGGGATCAATGTATTTTACAACATAAATATGTTATGGGTAAGATTTATTAAGGTTGCCTTCCTTTAATAATTTATATGACGTAAAGGAATTCATTGTTAGTGGCTACCCTTGCGATAGATAATAATTCTTATCTTTAGATAGAGATTAATGGTACCTTAGAATTTAGCTCTATGGTGGTACTGCAAAGGACGATGTTTACATTCTAAGCTCCAAAAATTACTTACCAGTTACAATAGGAAGAAATATTGATTGTTTGATTAGATACTATGACGATGTTCTTTTATCAAAGTATTAGTGCACAATACTTTTCGATGGCCAATGGAAAATAATTGATGGAATTGAAGGGAAATCGTCAACAAATGGGACCTGGCTGTATTTAAAAGACGAATAAATATTAAAAGAAAATATGCTGTTAAAAACTAATAATACCATCATGGAAGTGAACTTTAAATTAGATTGATATTTTATTATAAAATTATATTTATATTAGGGTATTTGCTTACAGCAAAATCTCCCAAAATCGAAAGGATGATTATTTTCAGATTTCAAAGATATTCATTATAATTAATAAATACACTCACTAATCAATAAACCTGAGACTAAAGATTTGATTTCTAATTTAGATGTAGAGTATTCTATTTTTTTAAAGTGGCACTATCTCAATTTTTTGTTGATGAGGTAATATTATCTAATTTTTGATTTTCGAAATTTTGCTATAATAGATTTAGCAGTAGCATAGTTAATGTCTAAGAGTATAGAAGCCTAAATAGAAATAATAAATTTACAGATTTGATGGAGTAGGATTTCTAAAAAACTAATTTTTGGAGTTAATCCTTTTAATGCTGTAGCACCTTCTAATATTATCTGACCTTTTCATTTTAAATTATGTTCCCTGACATTTCTTAATCAATGTTTAGATTTTCCTAAGAATAAAATTTTAAATAAAGAAATTGTTAATATATTGGATATAAAGATTTTAAAGCATAATAATTTAGATTTAATTTGATGAAACCTTATAATTTAAAATAAAAAATTTTATAATATAATATTAACATTTAATAATAAAATCAAATAATAGCTATATTTTGGTGATTGATATTTTCTAATTGGGATTTTGTTTCTTTTTTAAATGCCCTGAAAATAAATTAAATTATAATATATACCTACTCCCACACACAAGAACTAAAGTTTGATCACTAGGTTATGGCAAATACTATTCCAAATAAATGGGTTTTAATTAGCCCTTGGGACCACTAAACAGCTTATTAATTAGGTCTTTTTCATTTCTCAACATAAATGTAGCATTTATCTTTTTCTCTTCCATGTACCACATTAATTCCTCCATCAAAACTAGTTCTTCAAGAGTATCAGCTACGTAAAGCAATCCTATATGAGTATTATCACCATTGGTAGCTATGCCTTCTATTAACTATCGTTATATAGATATTTTTAATAACTTAGAAAAAGGCTGCAATAGCAGAAGACTCTGCAACTATTCCAATATATTAGTATTTTGAATTGATATTATATTTTGGGACTTCAATAGCACCATATCCATGGTAAAGGTAATTGGTAAAAGGCCCATTAATATTTAGAATATGCCCTTCCTTTTGATTATTGTAAGTATTACATTTAATGTTGTGATGTGGGTAGAAAAGTTCTTATTTTCAGCGTAAATGGCATGAACCAATAAATCAAACATTCCTACATCATCGATTCTTGAAATAGGACAATAATATCTCGTAGTGTTAATATCAAATTTAGGATCATTTAATGAAATATATTGTCCAATTCTGGTACCTAGGCATTTATCTTATTGTGGAATTGCTAGTTTGAAATTACTAAAATTACCAAATCTCATTAGATATGTGGATTCATTTAATTATTCTTTGGAATGCAATGTACATTATTATTGAGTAGTGTTCAAAAATTTAAATTCTTATTTAATGTCAACTAAAAGATGATTGTAATCTTTACATGGATTGATCATTCGAAACCTCAATTTGAACTGATAAAGTAATGATTGGAACATTTATTAAATATTTTAATTGTTGTAAATTATATGTTACTATATATCAATGTTTAATTATTGTAATAAATTCTTCCATTTCATCGATGCAAGCAAATTTTATTTTGCTTCTTTGTTTACCATTATTAATCTATATTAAATTATATTAGAATTACATTCAAAAACAAGAGATTTTTGGATGGTATAATATCTAAAATTAATTCACCAACTTTTTGAATTGATACCTCAATTATTGGATAGTGAAACACTGGTACATCAATTGCTAATGAATATTATATAAGGATTACCATCAATAGAGTCATCATATTTGAGCCAGCAACCAATAAATTTATCAATTGTAATAACTAATATTGATGGTAATTCACTGTTTTTTTCAACTACATTCACTTTGAATTCTTTAACTAACAGCAATCTGGTAGCCTAGCATCCAAGTTCTTTGATTATTAACGATTTACAGAACTCGTCTTAATCTTTTATGTTCTCAAAATAATTTGAATTAGGAAAAATATTTTTAATACTGTAGTATTATTCTATCTCCTATTTAAACTCTGGCAATTCTACATCAACATTATGAACATCACGAATACCATCTTTATAAATCTAGCAAGAATCCTACGCCCATTTCATTCGTTTTTATTCCATAACTACAACCTATATTTATTTTTCTACAATTTACATGTTTCCAATATTATTTCACCTGCTCAACTAATTAATTCATCAACTTGATTGCATAAGCCTATGATGCCATATAGCTTGCCATTAATTTATATGTATCGACTGCCGATTAATATTATTAAACTTAATTTTCATTTTAAGTTGAGGGGTAAGGTAGAGTCTGGGATTGGTAAATGATTGATCTTTATTTGCTCTTTTCAAATTGTTATTATCTCTCTTTGAAAAGCTGCTATTCTTTATCTTTTTAGTCATCTGATACGCTTTCCTATTACAAGACACATGATTATGATTATTCAAATATATTTTCTTTAGATTATTCGGAATTGATACTCACCTATATTTACTCATCTGCTAACACTTCACTGATATCATTAATTTTTATTACTGAGGGTTCTTCATTCTATTTTTCTATCTCTTAATTTTATTTTAATTCTATATTTTAATTTTATTATTCATTTTAAATTGGATTATCAAAAATTGGTTTTCTTACTCTTTAAGATTACTACTAAGGAAACAAATTTGTTATAGCTTTAAGTTTTTGGGTTGATTGTTAATTATACTTTTATAATTATTTTTTCTGGGCAACTATGCAACTTAACAATTAATTCGATCTATTGTCCATATCCAATAGGTCTTAGAGAATTTCCACTTTTAAAATTTAAGTTGATAAAGTATGAGAAAAGTTAGCTACCTTTTCACATCTTTTCAGGCTAGCTTCCTCAAATAAAGAGATGGCTTAACTGATATCCGAATATAGTTATTGACTCAATGGATTTTATTTAAGTGCTGGTTAAGGTTTAGTTAGTAAGAATTGTCCATATTATTGTTCATGATAGTATTTTTCATTAAAGAATTTGTATACTATTTGTAGATATTCCCCTGATAGTCTAGCCTTTGAATCGCAAATATTCGCTAGCCATTCGATTTGCGCTTTATTTTTATCTAAGATTTCTCTTCTATTATCAGCCCATTCCTTTAGGTAACGATAACTTTCATCCTTTCTCTATTTTGAATTAGAAAATAATAGCTCCTTTTATTCTTTGCCCTCATCCACTTCACTAAAGTACTTTGGAAAAGTGGGAAACTTCAACTTATTTTTGTAATATTTGATAGTTGAAAAAATAGAATTGGGTTCCTCGGTCATCGAAAGTAAGTTATTATTAAATATAAAATTTAAATTTCATTTTAGTCTGAATTTTTGATTTATTTCGACATCAAAGATAATGATCATTAATCATCCAAGTAAAACACCATCCTGATACGATTTAAATTATTTTTATATATAAAATTATGAAAATAATGTCTATTACTTCATAACGATAGTCCAAAAGGAAAAGGGAGAAATCAATCAAAAAGCCAATAGAAAATAGTTTTAAATAATGAATATGACTACTATCATCAAATAATATTAAATTGAGACAGGAATGTATAAAATTAGTTTGCCCAAATCAACTTTAGTTTACAAATATTTGATAATTTTTATTGGCAAGTATGCAATAATTGTATTCACTTCCAGTACTGTTATTGGTGACAAATTGAATTTGAAAGGTAGAGGTAAAAATGATGATTCATGCATTTTGTCTTTCTCTGCGATATTTAGTATTATTTTACCCAAATATAATTTCGTATATTTAGAAGATTATACACTATTTAATGCAGAAACCTGACTTTCTCAAGATTGTTAATACAGATTTCAAAAGGCTTAATGCCTACTCTTATTTTTAGTAATAAACAAGATTTTCTCTTTTAATCTACATTTAACTAAAGTTTTTCAAAATACTTGGAAAAAAAATTCTAATAAGTTTTAGAAATTAAAATTAAATAATCATCAATAAATTATTCTATAAAAGTATGTTTATTGTTATTATTATTGTATTATTATGGAATTTATCTGATATTCCTTAATAAAGAGCCAATAGTCTCTGATGTTATGAATTTCTCCAAAAAACTTGATTCGCTTTCTCCCCAGACACAACCTCTCAATGATTTCATACTATTCTTCAGGCTTTTTAGTAGATCCATAGCTTCCTCTTCAGTTATAATAACATCATATGCATTGATAAAATGTTAATCAGATGCTCTCTTTACAATTTCTCTCAGACCCACAAGGCAATGTTCTTTAACTCTTTTAAACAAATTATCCCCTTAATCTTACCCTGCAACGTATTGATTTTATTTTGAATGGTCTTTGTTAGTTCCCAACCAAACAATGTTCTCACATCTTTTGAACCCCCAAGTTTTGAACAATTCTCTTCTATCATCTAAATATTCAGATCCACACCATAAGAAGATGAAACTGGGACATATGCAATTTTGTCAATTTATAATTATTTCAATTCTTCTAAACTCAAAGATTATTAATGTTCCTTAAACTGCATATTTACCTAAAGCAATCTCTTCGTGTATTCTGCCCATAATGGATCGATTATAATTACATAAAACTACATAAAATATCGATATCAAAACTTTGCCTAATTATTGTAATTTGGAGAATGGATATGTTTCTTCACCAACTTAGATTTTATCTAATCAGTTCTTTCGGTTTCGGGTAATCTTCAAATTGCTCTTTTGGTTTGTATTTCTTTACGAGAAATCTAAGGTCTCTCATTAATCTCTAAAAAATACTGCTCAAATCAGTTCTAAGAAATAGTTAGATTTTTACAATTTTTGTTACATTTCGAAGTAAATAATAATTATTTTATTATATCCCATCCCAATGACCACCTTAGATGAAAATCTTCTTATTTGTCAATTCTAAACCTAAGTTGATCAACTTTATAGGTCGATGAATCAAGAACTCTTGATTAATCTATTTCATCTAGCCAATCAAACAAAAAATGAATTAACATTATAAATCATTGGATCGCTTATTGCAACATATATAGATACCAATCATCAAGAGATCACCTGCTTTGAAACCATTTATCAAGGGGTTTTTCAAATCATAAAAAAATAAAATTCTACTTCAAAACCAGTTTACCATTTTTTAGGCTCAATTCTAGCTACAATAATTTTTCATTTCTAAGATAGACTTCCAACAAACTCGTTTACACTATGTATCCAAGACCTCTTTAACTCTAAGCCAATTGCAGCCTTTGCTATTCTAGAAGCTGTTATTAGAAGATTAACACCCAATCATAAATTACATAAATAAGCAGTGATCACTCTTGATTCCTAACATAGAGCTGTTAAAAATTACTTCTATAAGAATAATCTTGAGTTATTACTAAACAGCATTATGCTGATATTAAAGAATAACTATGTTGATTTGATTGATAAAGCCATTGATTTGTTTAGTTTTATAATTGAAGGCGAATTTATTACAGACATTAAAGAAAAAGATTTTCACAAGCTAAGGAGAGCTGACATTAGAAATAACAACTCATTATAATGCCAATTATCAAGATTCAACCCTTGCATCATAGAAGCTGAGATTTAGTAATTGATGATAGAAAACTCAAACATATAATGGGTGGATCCTACGCGCTCAGATATTAAAAGATTATGGACGAATATCCTTGATCCAGAATTCATCTCGTTACTGCTCAGATTATTACCATAATGCAACATTTTATGGAATGTTTTAGGTAAAATTTGTAAAATATTTAAAAAACATTTCCCTAAAGATCAGAAATCTTAAGATCTCATTCTTTATATGACTCAAGAAGTCTAGAAACTCAACCCTATTTAATTGGATGTTGTAAATCTCTTGAAATTTTCATGTAGAACAATTTTCGCTAATACCAATTAAGATTGGCTTATCTTTAATATGCAATTATTTTCTAAAGCGAATACAATTGAATAACAAGTTCAAGTGTTTCGATTTTTACGAGAAATTTGCCGATATTACAGGCAGGTCCCTAATTTTAATAAAGAATACTTCAATCAAATCTTTATTCAGATTATTTATAACTTTTTTAGCAATTGGGTATTGGCTGAAAACGAAATTTTGGGCACAGAGCACTAGTACTACCAAAATATTAGATACAATATCAAAGTTATCACATAATTTATTAACAAAAATTACTTTTAATTTTTTTAATAATATATCGCTTAAAATTTGAATAATCTCAAGGTAGTTGTTCATGCGTTTGATTTTTTGTTACTTGGGTTCAAAAGTTTAGTTTACTCTACATCATATTAATTAGATGTATTAGTAAAATTGCGTCATTATCAAAGTATGGATAGGTTTCTGCATCCTTTTGATCTTGATTCCTTTAACCAATTTAATTATTAGTCCTTTTTTATAGAACTAATTGATATTCTTTGGAAAATCAATGCTCATTTGTAAGCAAATGGAATATAAACTAAGTTTTACTAAAATCTTTGGGCAGCCTTATTTGATTCCGAACTTCTTATTAAATTTGAACCCATCATGCAATAAATACAAATTGATCGGAAACATTTTTTTGATTTTACACAATTATTAACAATATCTGATGCAAACTTACTCAAAAAAAGCCTAAAATTAATTAGTAGGTCCAAAATAAGATTTGAAAAAGACGAGAATTACAATACATATACTTGCACTATCAATAATATTATTGTGCCAACTGAATGCTTGAATATTTTCGATCATTTTTAACTGATTTAAGACAGAGAGCTGTAAGAACTCTATTATAGTATTAAATGTTGCATTTATAATGCTCAATATGAGGCTTTCTATAATTCTGAAGATTGTGACGATTTGCTCAATAAATTATTAATGGGTTTGAATAGTTTTTTGACTAATTTGTAGGATATTTAATAAGTTTTGCTTATTTTCAAAAGCTTGCTAAATTCTAATGGAAGATTCTTATATAAATAGATTCTGACTATGATGTGGGAATAGTAAAGATTTCTCTAATTTAAATAATTATTATAATTAAATCCTCTTTCTACAAGTTCAATTATTCTATTATCATTCACAAAATAAATGATAAGCATGGATTCAGTCAAATCCTTACGAAGCCAAATTGTTGATGAAGTTTATGAATGGATCTACATCTTATCAAATTACTACATTGATTGGCTAACCAGAAATAATATTGATTTTAATCAGGAAAGATAACTAGGAGAGAAAAGTGAAAAAAAAGTATACTAAGTGTATTATAGACCTATTAGAAAATTGCTTAAAATATTTGTTAATTTGAAAAATATGAGGTAATGTTTAACAAGTAGAGTTAAGTTAAAAGAGCAAGTTTTCCAATTAATTTACAAACTCTTACATCTGATAAATTTAAATGATCTTAATGTTCTCATTCATAAGATGGAGCCTTTATATAGAGTTTGCTTATGGATTGTTGAAATCGAACTTGCAAGTAACAAGATGAATCCTAATGACTTACAATTAATACTTGAGATTGCCAACAAGGCTATTAGAATATAAGAAAAGTAGACTTTAACCTTAGCTATTAAAATATTTGAAAATTTGAAAGAAAATTCAGATATCTTAAAGACACATTATGTATAAATTTACGAATTAATTAGATTCTTGTTCAATAAATTTTGGAAGATTTATTAATAACTGCTTACGTTTATAATTAAAAGTTGTAAGAAATTGGAAAAATCTTATATAATCATTTGAAAAAGTAACCAAATTTATTTGATTAATTATTTCTTTCCATTTAAAAACGAGTTATCCAACAAAAGTCACCACTATGGCAACAATAATTTATTCAAAAAGCATCTATTTTGAAATAACAACTTTATCAAAAGTAGGAACAATTTACTGATTCTTTTGTCCAACTACAGATGCTTTACAATTACCTATAATGATGTAAAGATATCATTAAAAAAGAACATATTTCAATTTTATTTTAATAATTTAATACAATATTTTGTTTATCATAAAGTTTAATCTAATTTCTTTCAAACATTATAATGAAACTTTATTTTACCAAAAGTGATAAGGTGATTTAGTTATTCGCATATTTTACAAAATCATTATGGATTAATAGTTAGGCTATGAATTAGGATCTAGCTAAATTACATTACCTGATTATAATTTTTCCTTTAATACATCAAAAATGATTGGCAATACAACTAGCATAATTTGCCTTTGGAATTATAATTGATTATTAACTTCTCATAATTTTATTAACAAAGCCAATCTGATTTATTAATCGGATAACAAGGATCTAAATATATAGTATTATAGGGTTTTGTGCGTTTAACAATGATTGTTGGAGCAAATTATTTTGGAAGATCGATCATAAGCAAATAATATTATTTATTAAATGAATTTTATTATTTTTTCGAGTTTATTTTAAAGTACCAGAGAAACTAAAATGCAACCATGAATAAAATCATATAATCAGCATTGGATCTAAATATTTGGGAACCAAATTTTCAGATGTCCTATTAATTTTTTTTTATGTATCTTAATTAGTATACTAGATCCCAACAGATTTCTAATCTGTCGCCTTAGACCTGTCGGCCACGCTGCCTGTATTGAGAATTCATGCATTAAATTAATGATGTTTAAAGATTAATAAAATTTTAGAGTAAGCCATCATAAAAGAATATATTAAATTTTTGTTTAATTTTTCAACAACTAAATTAACTCAAAATGTAGTCTTCTAATCAAAAATTGTCCATGAATTTATTACTTTATAAAAGTTCAATAATTCTACACTATTATAAAAAACATTATCTTCTGTGTTTTTTCAAATATCAAAATCCAACAATTACCTTTATTTGGCGTAATAAATTCGCTAAATTAGCATCTCTATAGATTCTTATTTGATCTAGGTGATTTGAACTTTACCTGACAAATTTAGAGAATTTTTATCATAACTCCCTCTATGGGGTTAGTAGTCATATATCTTTATCTGAATTAATTTCATTGTAATCATTTTAAAAATTTAATCATCATCAAATTATATTGGTAAATTTATGAAAATTAACTTATTAATTTCTAGCAAAGCTAATAATTTTGTTGTCATTAATTATACTGAGAAAAGAAACAGATTTAAGATGAAAGAAAATAATAAACAATTAACAAGTTGAAAAAACGAAATTTGAACGAAAGCAAACCAGTAATTAAAGGGGTATTATTAGAAAATTTTCTATAATTAGGAAATGCTTATAGTATAGTTTTATAATTTTAATAAATTTTCATGCGAATAGATTCTAAAACTACAGGTCCAAATAGGGAAGGATTATAACTGAAAGATTTGAAATGGCATTTTAAGAATTACAGGAAGAATTAGTGTTCATGATTTTATTTCCAATATTATACAAATTAAAATTGTTTTTAAGTTTTAAACTAAAAAGAATAAGAAAAATTATAATTTTGGGAAATAAAATCATTTTTCAAAATCAAAAGAAAATCAGAGAGGTATTGAGGCAATATTTTGCTATCATTTCTCTCAGAACTTGCAATTTAAAAGCAGCAAATTCATAATCATGAAGTAATATATAATTGCCTAAGCTTATTTAAATTTAAGAGACTGAAGCTTCTTAACAAGTCGATTCTACTTCTCGCAAGTGAAATTGATGTAATATTTACTAAAGCCTTTTTAAACTTATCAATTTCCTTTTGTATTCTAGCTGTTCATTATTTAATTTTTAATCATAAAGAGTCTGGTTTGGATAAATTTATGGAAGTGCCTTCTTTGCTTTGAAGATTTCTTTTATTTTTGACTTGAATTTGCTTGTTGGATTATATTATTCATAATTTAATTAATTGGTATTATAATGACACTAAACGCATTTTTTATTTTGAATTATTAATCTTATATTTTATAAATAACTGTCCCAATAATTTCCATTACTATAGTAGTGTTATTGACTAAATTCTATTGTTATATGCGGTAACACTTAGTTATATTTTAACTTATCAAGACAATAAATATATCTGTCTTATATTTCAGCACCAAATAAATTATTTATTAATTTTAAACAAATAAAATTGAATTTTTTTGCAGTGGCTTATGTCGCTTTCATTTAGTCATTTTCTCCCAATCTGAAATTACAATTTCATCAATTTGCAATTTTCGATTGTTGTTCTAAAATTCACCCTAATACAATCTCTTGGTTAAAACTATTATGGCTCACAATAAATAAGCAACTAGAGATTTGTTCGAATAAACTTCAACTCTTTCGTTCTCTGAAATGATTTCTTAATTTTCTTTCCATTTAATTTGCCATAAAGCAGCGAAACTTCATTTTTGAAATTTGGTTTCAATTTGATAATAATTATCATAATTATTAAATACCTTATGAAATTAATGTCCAATTTATCATCTCAATATATAAACTAAGGTGAATATTTTATAAACTTCCAAGAATAAAGAGGAAACGTATATACTCAAATTGTATCCCAAATATACTTCTAACAATGAGATTAAAAGTTTAGGAAATTCTTTATATGTTGAATATTTTGTACAAAAAGTTGAGTCATTTTTTAATATTATTTCAAATTGCTTTCCATATTCTTTAAGAATCCAATTATGCATAAGTCTATGTAGGTTTTCACTAGTATAATTTAAAACAACCCTAAATTTTTGCAATATTGCATTTCTTACGAACAATAATGTACAAGATACATTTTGATTCATAGTATAAACTCAAAATAAAGTAATAGAAATTTAATAATCGTTAAAAAAAAGGTAAATGCACCACGAAAAAGAGGAATTGTGTCAGATTTTGGCTTTATCTTAAGATGTTGATGAAGTAGTCTTCCCTATCCTCATAAACATATTAAAAAAAGAGAGAATTTAAGACTGCCTAGAATTTCTCTCATAAGATCAAAACAAATTCCTTTAAGAAATAGAAAGATAAAAGGTTGAAAATTTATATCTGCTTGATAAAAAATTTACGCTCAATCGAGAGTAGAAAATTGTGAGAATAACGGATGTCCTCAAAATGGTTAGGGATCATGACTTTAATACACAGAATTACTAAAGCTTGCTTTAATGTTAATTATATCACTTATCTGATCTTTGTAAATTATCCCTAATAGTTCATGTCGGTTTCAATTCTTCAATAAATTTTAATTTGCTATGCTTTTTCTACCTTCAATTGTTTTTTTATAAATTAATCACTTTTTGCATCCTTGATGAGAATTTCTCCACTTTTGCAGCACTACATACATGAAAGTGCTTCTTCCATTGTATAATTAGATTTGATTGTCAAAAAAAAACAAATATTGTAAATATTAGGACTTTTTCTATGTATTCTTAATTCAAAAGAAATTCAAAAAAATTATCTCCAATCTCCTCGTTTAGATACATCAACTTTGGAATTGACCTAACTAAACGGGACCTTAAGTACCTCACATTTAGCCATCTACCATCACTCTTTTATTGAATTCCTAGTTAATCTATTCATCAAATTTTCAATACTATCCTCTTTGTCCCTTTCTTGATTCAAAAGCAAAGCATCCTTAGAAATTGTACTCCTTTACCAGAATGCTCCACTTATAATGTTCTCTAAAAACTCCAGACTCCATAAAATGACTCTCAAGAAATGTCTAACTATTTTTATCCTTGTCTTTCTCAAGTTCCTTGAAAAATAATTTTTTGCTATATATTTTTAAAAATAAAATAAAGTTGAACTCTTAATA